AGACAGACAGACAGACAGACAGACAGACAGACAGACAGACAGACAGACAGACAGACAGACAGACAGACAGACAGACAGACAGACAGACAGACAGATAGAGTATACAGTCAAACTACCAAACACAAGACTCCCATAAAAGCCTAGAAGCGCCCAAGAAAAATGTCTATCGTGCTGCGAGGAAACAAAACTACATAATCTCCAGCTTGGTGCAAGCAAACTGAGAGGAGACAAAGGACGCGATACGACAAACTACACATCACATCACATCACATCACATACGACACATTCCTAGCCGTGAGGCATGTCCAAATGCCTCTTATTTACCCCCATCCATTCATTCCAGAGAACTGCACCCATCATGAATCCATCCACGCACATTCGCAATCATTCATCACCAGAAACACACAACACGCACACAATACAAAGACCAGTACTTTGGAATTTACATACGTACATAGTACAGAAAAGCCAGGCCCAAGACTAGAACGAATACTAATACGCGGATAAAACTAGAAAAAGACAAAAAAAACTCAAAACAGGTGAAAAAGTGTCCGAAGGTGAATGTCGCTCTCTCCACATGCCGCCGGGGGACGTACGTACAAGACAACCAAAGAAAACAAAAACAGGACAGAAGACCCACGTATAAGACAACAAAAGAACACCGAACAAAAAGCAAAGCGAGAAGAACACAAAAAGATGCAAAACGCTGATGTTGTAGTTGTTGTATGCAATGATGTGCGGATCCAGATGCACTTATGCGGTTGAGCAACGCCATGTATGCCATGCCAGATGACGGTTCGCTGGCCGGCCGGCTCAGATGCGCCACGCATCCGGTAAACAAGAACAAAGAGACATGGATGAACGCCGGACAGATGCGCCGATAAAGACGCCTATGCTATGCAGATAGCAGAACGAAACAATGAGATGTGCGCTGGTTGGGAGACATAGAAGCCGGTTGTATGTCCATGGAAATGCAAGAAAAGTGCGAGACGCCGGGTATCATTTGGGTGGTTTTGGTGGCGATACAATGAGATGCGAAGATGCGATTGAAGCAAAGAGCAGTGTTTTACGGTGGGTCACTTGAACAAAGGACGGCTTGCGAGTGACAAGATGCGATGTTGTTGACGTTCCTGGTTAGACTGATGGATCGCCGTGTAAGCGTACCGAACCATGCTTTCAGCTTCTTCTTCGCCGACGTGGTGGCTGGGCGTCTGGGAGTGGTGGCAGAACGGTGTCTTCCGGGCCCAGCTCACCCGTCAACCACTGGCCCATGAATGTCTGCCATCTCCTCAAGTCCTGATCTTTCGTACGCTCTCGCTCTCGTCGATGTCGCACGAGCTTTTCTGCTGTTTGTATCAGCATTGTCCGCGGAGGCGCGTACGTGTCATGGTCGTGGTCGAAATCTCGGTTCAGGTACTTTTCAGTCACCTCTTCCATTCTCCGCAGACTCGCGCCACCGGGAACAATGATCTCCATGTTCGTCTCTGGATCGATCCAAGGCCCTTTCTCCCAGTTGTCGAGCTTCATCGTTTCCAGACCGCTTGAGACGTTGAGTCTCTTGTACCACTTATGCTGTCCTCTGGCAGTGCTAAGCATAGTGCGGTGCGTTTGTTCACCTTCCGTGTACTTGACCATGAGGTTCTTGACGACAGCAAATTTCTCGGACGCAGTCTTCATGACCTTCAATTGGCCCAAAGGTCCAGGCCATGCACTGGCAAACCCATCATGCGCCTCGTTTGGCTTTCCAGTGCCGACCGAAAGAAGCAGGCTTGGTTCTTGATCCTCGCCATACATGCTGAGGAACTCAGACCACGCTGCGGACGCGGGATTATTTTCACGGATTCCGCCATCCTTGAAGCTCTTGACCTCCCCTCTGATGTCTGCCTCGAGAGCTTTGAAATAGAACGGCGCGGCTGAAGTGGCACGAGTAACTTGCCAGATTCGCAGTGGGTCAGCGCCCTCGTTGTATTTAATGAGCCAGTCGGCAAACTGGACTCGGGTGTTGTATCGGTGGTTGTAGGAGCGAAGAAGGTAGGCCTCGTCGATCTTGCCAGAGTGCGTTGCGGTCAAGCATATACTACTAGAATGAGCATGATTCTCAGTGAATGGTATGCAAAACGTACCTTTGACAGATGCGCTCTTCAGAAATATCAGGTACCCAGGGGTCGTCTGGATTGCGACCTTTTGTCTCGAGATTCCAAGGATGCCAATCCTGGCCATCACATTGCCCTCGCGGATGTGTCTTGCAGTACGTTTTGACTATTCGCTGTACAGCAGTCTCTAGCGGCCGGTGGAAGTACTTCGTGGCTAGCGGCACGCGAGTCCTTCTGTGGCCAAACAGATCGTTTCCAACCTCTCGGTAAATCTTCAGGCATTGCGGGACGCTCATTCGCAGTCTTCCTAGCATAGTGGCGATGAGGCCACCTGTACTCGTTCCATACATGTAATCGAAGTAGTGGCACGGTAGAAGCTCGTTTACCGCGTAGGACCGCGAAGTCGCGCCAGGAATTGGACCCTCTTCTCTTTCTAGTTTGCGTTCCCATGTTGATATCTCGCGCATGAGCTGGAGGAGTATGAGGAGAGTCGAATAACCACGGATACCTCCGCCATCTGCATGATTGTCAGCTTAGATCGCATGCATGACAGCGCACTAGTTAAAGCGTGCGCGAGGAGGATGCTGAGCTTACCAAGGGTGAGTATCAAGGGGTCCCACGCATCAACGACTCTGCGCGACCAAGCACGACCTGAAGTGACGTCCTCGTTCTCGGAGTTGTTTGTAATGACGCTTAGTGGACGACTCGAGGAGAGGTTCGGGGATAGTCCCTGGGAGAGTGAAGCTTGAAGCGACATGTGGAGGAGCTATGAATGACGCGCAGTAGTAAAAGGTGTGTTTCGAGGTAAGGATTCGGATGAATGATGAGGGCCGCAGCGAGTTTTGTAGGCCGCAGGACAGCCTTGGAGTGTATTAGGTACAGGAGAGGCCTCTCCTCTGAATAGTTGACGTATGCCGGCTGTGGAAGTCGCAAATCGGTGAGAGAGAGCACGCTGCACACCTTTAACTACGCAGCAGACTCAAAACGGTCAGTCTGAGATTGATAGAGGAAAGAGCGCACATCGCACACTTAAGCTTCACACGAGTCAAGCCTCATGATGAGGGTGGATACTGGACTACCTATTTCTGGGGTGGACCAGATGCTGTGATTAGCAGTCTATTGCGATCAGCCACCCCCGGTGCCTAAACCCAACACTGCCTCGCGCTGTCGATCAAAGCCTTGCGCGTATAAAAGCATTTCACCGCGGACCGACCCATGATTGCTGCAAGCATCGCTGCGATGGGACGAGAATTCTGCACTCTTTGTCCCCATGGCATGCGGTCAAAGAGGATGATAACCTTGTGGTGTCATGGCCCACCACTCTCTTGTGTACTCGTGTGTACTCGTGTTGCACAGATGTTAGTGATTGCTAGTATATATTCGTTAGTTCCAGGGACCGCGGGCTCTTCCATGCACACTATACGGCACAGCTGACAGCCTTGTAACGGTGACTTTCGACGGGACTTAGGAGGTAGTATTGTGGGTTTGCGAACAAAGACCCGATGACTGACTGACTGCTGCTCGCTACGACGTCTGTCCATATCCAAAACAGACTAATAACGAGCTCATCGGTCTATTTCACTGCTTGCTGAACTGCTCACCTCGTATCTCCGGATTCGACTAATTCGACTATGCGTGAGGTTGTCTCGGCACACAGCCGTTCAGCTGCCATGTCTCACCGGGGCGCGAGGCTTGCTATTGCTGCTGCCGCTCATGCGACCAATAGGCGGAGTAAGAGTGCGCCATGAGAGCAGCCGACCGCCTCTTGCATCATTCGAAAGACATTGATCTCGTGTCTTGCGGATGTTGTTGCCCATATTCTCCTTGGGTATAGGCTGATGAATATAAAGCATTTCCAAAAAGTGCCTAAGGCGTCAAGGCTGAAGCTTGGGGCTGCAAACCTGTGCCAAGCACGCCCTCGTGGCTGAGCAACGTGGCGCGTAGCAAAACAAGCCAATGAGAACAGCCTGAGCCACAGTTTGTGGCTGTAGTGGCTGGGCACTTGTCATCATCATCGGCCCTTCCAGCTTCCGCCCGCGTGTTCACACTTGACTTGACCGATCCGTTCGCTGTCTCTCTCCCTCTCCGCAGAACACAACCACAACTACAACCAGCCAGCACCACCATCACGCCACTACCTCTTCCTTGGCCGAGTTGGTTTCTTGTTGCCTACAAAACCACTCTGACTGTCCTGAAATATCCTCTTTCCCCGTACAACGCTATCGCCCAAGGTAACTGATTGCGATCGCTCAAACGCGCCCTTCACCTCTTCACCTCGCGCTCACAGTCTCACACTCCCACTCCCACCACTCCTCTCACCGCCGTGCGAGTGGAGGTTACCTCATCTGTCGAACATACCTGTCGCTCACTTTCACAAACGCACCATGACCGCTACGTGGAACAGCACAAAGACTGGCTCTTCGTCCAGCAGCGAAAAGTACAATCTGGACCCTAATGACAAGAGCGGTATCTTAGTGTACAAGTATCGTGCCGGCTTGCCAGAGCCTGAGATAACTACACAGGCGAAACTATGCGAGGAACTGGACAAAGGTATGTTCTGCAGACTCCCTCATGCACAACCTTGATACACACCAGCCTTACATCCCTTTCGCAGCATCCTACAACTTGTCCACCCTATCCTTCGGCTCGAAGGACTCCTCAAGCACCTCCAAGTCTGACGCGCTCTCCATTCTAGCCCCGCAGTGCCGTGTATCTCGCAAGAGCATACCTCGCGGCGACTCGCGCGTCGATATACGCATGGAAGATCTCTGGACGGAGGAAGAGCGTGCTCTCTACTGCGACAAGCCCACAGCAAAGAACTCTGTTGCGTCTGTCGGTCTTCCTCGCATCGCGTACTACAAAAGACTACTCCTCAACTCCTACCCTGAACTCTACATTGTGTCGCCGGCATCATCGCCAAACAGCAGCGCCAACACCTCGCCGGAAAGCAGTCAGCACGTCAGCCCGCAGAGCACATTCCCAAAGGAGCCTAGGGAAAGTCCGGCAGATCAGTGATGAAGATAATGGATCGTGGATCGTGGGGCGTGGATCAACTAATACGTCTGCGAGGAGGCCGCCTTCTTCTGCGCTAGCGGCTGTGCAGCTGATGACTCCTCACCAACACCGAGTCACTGAGCGCTCAGCAATCCTATGACTATACGCTTGCTCCTACTACTGTTCGCCGTCCTTGACGCACACCGTCTCCCTAGTCCCCTTTGCCCTGCCTGACACCCTCACGTCGGCAACACGACGGTCACTCATTCTTTCCCTTTCTTGTGTATTGTTTTGTCAGTAATTCAGCGGGTGGCGTTGTGAACAGGCGTTTTCCCCGGTGGCGGCCTCCTTGGAAAATACCCGGACAATGTCACTACTGTTCGTTTGTTTTGGGAGGGGCTTTTTCACAACAGAAACACACACAGCCACAACAACAACGACGGATAACAACGAATAACAGCAACAACACAACACGTCAGTATGTGTTGCGGTGATGCCGAAGGAGGTTTCTTTTTTTTGGTTTTGTTTTTGTTAATTTTTGGGAGATATCATGTACCCCCAAAGCAATGTCTCTGCAGTAGACGAGTTGCGGGGAATGTTAGCGATATTATTAGCAGCCCTCCCGTTTGGAGTGTATCTTTGCTGAGTTTGAAGAAAAGAAAATCATGGTGGCGGTGTTGTGGCGAAGATGCCATACCTAAGTCTCTTTTAACAACAGGCTGTCTGTCTCACAACTCGAAACTGCTAATGGTAAGTACCTTTTGACGTCCCGTGTTAGTCAATACGTGAAACCATGTAATTAATGCTCTCACGACACCGATACGATCAAACAACGATAGTTCCTCGCTAGATATCACACATATCTTTACCTACGAATGGGTAGAATCCAACGAAGCTATAATTATTATTGGAAAATAAACCGGTATATCATGGTCGTGCCTCTGTTATTTTGCAGTCTGTGCGAGAACATACAAACAGCCATGCACACATACTACTACGTAAATGCTAGACGAATATTACCCGGGAATTCGTGACAATGCATTAAACTTCTGATGCATGCTTCTTGCTCTTGCTCTCGCTGATCTGAATATTGTGTTTCCCCGCTTTTGCAAAACAAGATAGATCGACGCCACGCCAACGTGAGGGGATATCTCAAAAAAGATAAAAATAAAACAAATCACAGACTCATAAACACGCACACGTACGCGCGCGCTCCAGGACACTCAATGGCCCCAATCTAAACGCCAATTACTCAATCGCCAAAAAAAGAACGCCCAATTCGCACATCTACGTACGCAAAAACACACATACTCTCTCTCTCTCTCTCCCTCAATCCCTCACCGCACGCCATACTCCGGCTTCCGAGCCATATTGACAGGCGGCGGACCATCGGTATCGGGATACGGCAAGGCAGCACCAGCACCAAGACCAGGAGGCACGAGCGGCACAGGACTGCCCGGATTGCGAATCGGGCTCTTAGGCGGCAACGGCGGTGGGGTACGCGGGACATCTGCGCTTCTGCGGGGGCTGGGATTGTAGCTCCGTTCGGAGCCGGAGGGGAACTGGTCGTGGGAGCGGCGGTAGGGGTTCATTTGCGGGTAGTCTGCGCTGGGGCGAGACGGCGGGTGGTGGGAGACGTAGAGGGGTTGTGGGTATGAGGAGTCGTCGTGGGCGTCGTCAGCGGAAGAGATGGCGATTTTGTCGTCTGGGTAGGAGGGGTAGGAGAAGGTGCTTGCGTTGGAAGGGGTGAGGTAGTCGGAGGGGTTGTATGGGATGTCGTCGGCTGGGAGCTCCACAGCCATTGGGTTTGAGGGAGAGGTGTATTGTGCGTTGGACGAGGACATTTGCATACGCATGGATGGGTCGCCGCCAGCTCGGAGTTGGCGCTCCCAGCGCAGCTTTGCGCGGTGGATGCGCGCGATCTTGCCAGCTGCGTCGAGGTTGATGTTCTGGACTTCGCTGCGGGCCAGGTACATGCGAGTATTCGTGCTGATTTCGGCGAGACGGTTCCATTCGTTCATGCCAAATTCACCGACGCCCACCTCGACGTTGAGACGATAGTAGTTCTCAGGATTGACGTTGCGCTTCGAGATGTGCTCTTTCAGCATGTACTGGTGAGTTTCCTCGCAGCCTTCGATTTTGGCAATCAGACGGCGACGGGCCTCTGCAAAGTCACCCATACCACTCGACACAAACCCTTCCCACCACAGGTGTTGTTGCTGGTTTGTGCCTTTCGGTCGTTTGCCTGTGCCGATACTTATGAATACGCCGACTTCGCGGCCAGGCCACTCGTTTTGGACGGCCTCGTCAAGAATTTGAGGAGCCGGGTTGTACTTTCCTGCCCCCTCGTCGATGAAAACATGTTGGCCAACTTGTATGGGCTTGAAGGCCAGACCAGTAGCTGCAGTAGCTCTTCCAGCTTGCCAGATTGTGCAGTTAAATTCCGGCGCCGGTTCTTTCCGGGAGTCGTAGGACCGCAGCATTGTGGAAGATCCGCTTTTCGGAGTGCCCTTGTAGACCGCTGTGACTGCACTGGGACAAGGTCAGCATACTGAGACAAGCATTTATTCACGAGTTGACGTACGTCTTGGTCCTGTTTTCCCTCGAATCGTATAATAGTGCGTTTGGATTGCCAAAACGCATGGACCCATACGGGCCTCGCGGGTTGACAGGCGTTGATCCAATCTGGCTGTAGCGGCTTGAGCTGCTGGGACTCCTGTGCGGCGCTATGGAGGTTCCAGGAGTCAATGGAGACTTGAGGTCCATGGACGACTCCGCAGCATGTGAATCATTTCCCTCATGTTCCGATATGGTATGCTCACGCACGCAGTCCCTTATAGCGTCTTCTAGCTTCGAGGCTTTGAACAGTGTGCTTCTATACGGTATGCCTGCAAATGTCTTGTCTGTCTCGAACACTCTCTTCGTCATGCGTACGTATACATCTTTTGACGTCTCGATATCAAGCCGTAAGCGTCCCAGCATAATGGCGATCAAGCCGCCAGTACCGGTACCAGCGATGAGGTCGAAGTGGTCGCATGGCTTAGGAGTCTCGTGTCGCTTCGGTGCTCTGCCTTCAATCTCGACGAAGGTGCGGTGCATGAGTTCTTGTAAGAGGATAAGCATGGAGTAGCCTCTGACTCCTCCTCCATCTGTCGATCGTAGTTAGTCTTGTTCCACAAGAAAAGCCATGGAAGCTGGCGTACCAAGGGAGAGGATACGCAAGGGAGGACCCTTTGTGGTGTCCTTCCGTCTGAGTCCCTGACTATCCATGGTGAAGTGTAGAGGAGAGGCGATGGGGGCTAGTGTGGTTGTGGGGTATATATGTTGGTGAGGCTAAGTGGCCTTGCTTGGCTGGCGAGTTCACCTGCTCTTACAGGAAACGTGCGAAAGGCCCGAGGAGCAGTATGGGACGTCCGACTATGTGATATGCCGCTGATCAAACAATCTGTGGGCTCGAGGCAGGCGCTTAGGTAGCAGTTCCGAGTGTGTGTATATGCAGGCAGACTGGCGATGTGCGCCGTTTGACAAGAGTAGTAGGGCGGAGCAGACTGTGGCAGTGTAGCGGTAGGTAGGTGGGTAGGTGTAGGTATGGATGTCGTTGTCGCGCTGTGAAGGGATGAATGCTTCGTGAGAGAGAGAAGGAAGATGGTGAATGAATGTAGGAGAGACAGACGGCCTGCCACGAGACTGACGAACTTTTTTCTTGGTGAGCGGCGGCAAGTTGCGGATTGAGGCTCGAGATGGCGGAGTGAGTGACCAGTTTCTGGTTCCAGTTACAGTTCCAGTGACCTCTCCACTGTGGAATGGATCGTGCTGGGTGCTGCGGGCCCAACGTACTCTGATTGGCGCTGGCCGTGATGACGTATGCGTATGCTTGGGCCCCCGAAATCGCCCAGTCCGACGCTTGAGGGGCTGCCCAGCGTGACTTTGCAGGGTTATGCCGGCCTCTACTGGGTTGTGTGGCCGTTTCGTGGCCGTTCTGTGGCTGCTGTGTGGCGCGCTAGATGCTATTCGATCGTGGCTGTGCATCTCCTCGTCTGCACCCTGTCAGCCAATCAGACCGTCTGGAGTCGCCTCCTTTAACACCTTCAGCTTGCTCGTCTTTTCTTCTTCGTCGTCCTATATGAAGAGAGAATAACAAATACCCCAGATCATCAGACGCCGTTTGATGGATCAACGTTCATCATGCAACGGCTGTGGCGTTCCCGCATCACCGCTCCTCTGGTACCTGTACCTGAGAATCCTGCTGACCACTCTTCTCCGCTCTACTGACTCAACACTTGACTGTTGTCTCCGGCATTCAACACTCAACACCCAACCTCAACCTCTACCCTCAATTGAGCTGACAGTCATTGATGACACGTGATGGACGCTGAATGAAGAATATGATGATTTCACATGTGCATGCTGATTGATGAATAACACAGATTATCGCAGTGCCCTGACGGCAGCATGGATATCTCCTTACCCTTCACATGTGTCATGCCCTAGAATAGCTCGACTTCGGCTTTTGTGCCATGCCGTCGGCCGACACCTTGGTCGTGTCTGACTCACTGATCCTTCCCTGTATCTAATGTACTTCTATAACACCGATATTTGTTCTTTCTTCTACATCCATGCATTATCGGCTGTGAATTGCCAAGCTTCAATCAACATGAAGGTCAAGCAGGTGAGTTGCGGATGCATGGATTGGTGGGTCTCTGAATTCGCCGCTAATTAACGTGCGAGTATGAACGCAGATTCTAGCCTATCCCATCAAATCCCTACGCGGCGTATCACTGCCAGACGCTGTCGTCACCAAATATGGCCTATCCTGGGATCGCCGCTTCATGCTCGTCAAGATCGACGAGAATGCTCCGACACCAGCAGACTGGAAGGTCCAAAACATGGCCGTCTCCATCTTTTCTGCCATGTGCTTGTTCACTGTTGAGCTCAAAGTACCCAACAACGAGGATGAGCAGTCCGCGTACATTATAGTCACCTTTGACGCCGCTCGAAGCGAGAAGCCAAGAACTCTCAAGATACCCATGTTTCCAAACACTGCTGATCTCGACACAAAACCTGTCAACCTGCACGGGGCCAAGACCACAGGCTTCGTTATGGGTCAGAAGTACCGCGATTGGTTCTCGGACTGCTTTGGCTTTGATACTGCCCTGATCTATGTTGGTGACAACAGCAGACATGCGCTTTGCTCCAATCCGGCCAGGAATTCCTCCACCTGGCTGTCATCCTTTACTAGAAACCTCCCAGCCTTCATTGTAGGTGAGGATCAGATTAGATTCCAAGACTGTGTGCCATATCTCGTAGTTTCCGATACATCGTGCAATGAGATGTCCGACCGTCTACCCGAGGGCGTCGAGATGGACATCACCAAGCTAAGACCAAACATTGTAATTGAAGGTGCTGAGGAGCCGTGGGAAGAGGACTACTGGGCTGAACTGGCTGTTGGCAACGTCAAGATCATTACTGCGCACAACTGCGGACGGTGCCAAAGCATAAGTCGGACACGTCGCTCTCTGCTTGTACGCACTGCTGACTGGAATAGATGTCAACTATGAGGATGGCCGATTCAGGACCGGCCCGGCTGGAGCAGCCTTGAAGACGCTCATGAGGGACCGACGTATAGACAAGGGCCATGGATATGCACCCGTCTTCGGGCGATATAGCTATCTCGACAACAGAGATGACGGAAAGATGATCAGGGTTGGTGACGACGTCAAGGTTCTCAAGACTAACATTACCAACACTACTTTTGGTATGCCCTAGTATTCATCCCGGTGCTACAAACGTTGACGCTTCTTCCTAGACTTTACAGGTAGTTTCGCTTGAGCACCTGTCTCCTGCAGATGGCGTTTAGGAGTCTTTGTTGCTTGACAGAAACATCTCATCTGTGTGCATCTCGGCGTTGGAGTTTGCCATATTTTACAAAAGTTTACAGAACAGTTCATTCCTCAGTATAGCTCAACCTCATTCAATCTTGCCGCGCTGCTTCTTCAACATGCACAATGACATGAAGTGCAAGGCGCACGACAAAGCCAACTCGTCACGACAATGCTATCCTTGTGATGCATCCAACCTATAACCATGGTCGGCACATGTTACTCCAGACGTCCCATACCAGGTCGCGGGACTCCACAGTCGTCTTCAATGTGATACTTATCAGATGATAGATGGATATTGCCGTTTATCAAAAGCACTACCATAATATCATTGCTTTGTCCCTAGGACCAAGAAGATTTCTATGCAATTCTAGTACCGTGGTACGTGAGCTCTTTGTCCAGTGAAGGAAGTGACGTTATACAGGATGAATACCACAACAGTGCTACAGCTACCCCGCCAGCTCTCTCTACAGCTCTAGCTCTATTGCGCTCTAAAAGCTCATACATTCTCCACTTCAATCACCAAGTCTTCATATCCAACACCGATTCTGAGTCCACAACCTACTTTCATTGCACCAACATCCCAATTCCCATCCTCACCACTCACTCGCCCACATCCCCAAACACCATCCCCACCTCATCAACCATGTCATCCTTCGTCCCGCACGAACTCCGCGAGCAAGTCACAGCAATATCAAAGCTCCTCAAAGACAAAGGCGAGACAATCTCCGTCGCCGAAACCGTGCGTCAACACCTCCATCCCGCCTCCCTCATCCCTTAATCTCCAAACTAACACCCACCACCAAAGGCCGCCGGCGGCCTCATATCCGCCTCCCTCCTCTCCATCCCCGGCGCAAGCAAATTCTACAAAGGCGGTGTCACAGCACGTGTTCCCTCTCTATATCCACCCCCTTCAATCTAACACCACCAGCTCTACACCCTCCCTTCCCGCATCGCATACGCCGGCTGGACGGAATCCGATATCAAGACCTACAACGGGCCCACGCCTGCCCTCGTTGCCGGTCTGGCAGAGCACACGCGTGTGAAGCTCGGGAGCACGGTTTGTGTGGCTGAGAGTGGGACTGCGGGGCCGGAGGGGAGTGGGAGGGGGTCGAACAGGCAGCCGTGAGTTTTGACCTTTGTTTGTTTGTGTGTGGAGGGGGTGATGCTGATGATGTGGGTGGGTAGGGGATATGTGGCGGTTGCGGTTGCGGTGGTGGATGGTGAGACTGTGAGTAGGGAGGTGTGTACTGGGGTGGTGGATCGGGAGGGGAATATGGTGAGGTTTGCGGTCGAGGCGTTGGGGTTGGTGAGGGAGGTGCTTGAGGGGAGGAGTGGTGGTGGTGATGGGAGGCTCTGAGGGGCTACTGGTGTGGACGTGGGCGTAAAGGTTATGGTGGATGTGGATGTATCCAGTCGAGTAGAGGTATAATTTTGTATCAGAACTCTTCGGTTTACTGTGTATATATACCAATACCACATGCTACGCAAGACCAGATGGTCGCTGGTGTTCTTAGGCATGGCGATGTCACGTATTTCTGATGAAACTTTAGTATGTTCAATGACTCTCACCTGCGTCTCGCATTATACCCACATAATCCACCTAAGAACACATGTCTCGATGAGTACGTCGTACTAGACGTATAACACATTCCCCCCTTACTATAGTGTAATATGGCTACGTATATCAAGATATACAACGTATCCTTCAATAGCCCTACCATCCAACAGCCCTCTTCTTATACTCGTCCTATACGTAAGTATACCCATCGGTTCATATGAATCTAAACTAGAAATCAACATCTAGTTGGTTACTTACATACTCAACTCTCAGTCCTACTCGTCCAATGCCTCTGTAACTTCTACACTTGGTCTGACATAGGTTATATCCTAAGTATATTGCTTGTGTGTATAGATGGATGTGTTGGATGGTAGGCGATAGGGTGGTGGAGCATATGCTAGCTTGGATATGCTGGGCTTGGTTTGCGTTGGTTGTTGGATATGATTCAGTCTGGTACGTTTATTAGGTCTGTTAGGTTTATTTGGTCTATTAGGTCTACTAGGTCTATTAGGTCTATTAGGTCTATTAGGCTTATTGGGTCTATTGGGTCTATTAGGTCTACTACTTCTATCCGTAGCTCTCTTCCAAGGTCTCTTTTCAAGACTAGAATACTATATGCATATCTATTTAACCTAGAAGAGTGGGTATAATATCTTTAGTCTAGCAAAACATTTAGCCTAGAAACAGATGATATAATTGAGGTTTTAGGTAACTAATGAATAGATTTTATATAGAGTAAAAGAGAGAAGCAGGAAGCTTAAGCAGTTAGATAGAGCGTAGCACAACACATAATTAGCCATCTAATCCACCCACCCACATCCTCCCTACCAACCCTCCACACACATTCCACACATCAATCCCAATACCCCACTCTCATAACATCTCTCGACGTACTACTCATCTCTTTTCCCCCCTCCTCCCGTTTCTCACCATCCCCCCCAACCCCAAAACTAACACCCACCCGCCCAATCAAAAACCCAACCTTCTCCCTCCCCGTATCCAGAAACACCTCCTCATCCCTCCTCATCTCCGCCTGCACCTCCTCCCGCATGAACACGTCCATAAACCGCCTGAACGCACCCTCGTCCCGCCATTGCATCACCGTGTATGCGTCTGGATCGCTGGGATCACCTGTGCCGCGGAGGATTATGGGGGGGTATGCTTGTTCTGGGGATCCTGGCGGTGGGGATCCTGGCGGTGGGGAGGATTGGTTTGATGGGGAGGAGGGTTCACGGCGCGCGACGTAGTGGCGGGTGTGCGTGAGGGGGAATGTATCGCCCACTAGGCGTTGGAGGAGCGGGATGTGGACTGTGTCGTAGTGGGTTTGGAAGAAGGTGGGGGTTGTGCCGGGTTTGCGCCAGATTAGGGCCATGGCGGTGTACATTTTGTGATTTTTTTTTCTTTTTTTTTGGAGGGTTTCAGGTTAAGGTGGGAGGTGGTGGGGTGGTGAGATTTGTGTTCAAGGTATAAGTAGTAAATTAAGGGTATGGCAGACGGTTGGAGGGGTGGATTGAGGGTTTATAGTGTCTGTATTTGAGGGTGAGGAGGATTGAGTGTGTGGTTTGGAGATGTGGGGTTGACTGTTGGGATACGGTGTATATGTAGTGTGTATGGGACGGGGCTAGCTGATGTGAGTTTATCTGCGTCACGTTACGGAAGGTGGGGATCCTTGCTCTTCTGGCCTTGTTGTGGGACTGCTAGTCTGGGAAGTGGATGGGAGTGGTAGTGAGCTGGCTATCATTTGCAAAACTATGGATATAGGCTTCCGAAAGTCATTCTGCTCGGTCGTCTAAGTCATATAAGCTATTTCCTGCTCTGTTCTTGCTTAGTTTCGGGTGCGTCTAGTCATGTGTAATTCGTGCTCTAGTCTCTCGCGTTTCTGCTTGTATCTGTTAACCTTCCTTTTTATCGAGGCCGCTGTTCTATACATAGGTAATATGAACACTATCGTTTGTCGCTCGGAATTCCTCAGGTCAATGATCGTCGACCAGAGTCATACATACGTCTGGACCCAGATCTTGGTATAGAGAGTACCTTTTGACTCAGATGACTGACAGCCTGTGAACAAGAGCCCTCTGCATAGGTCGTGAAACACAATGCATCTGAAATATACGCATTGTCCGGTCCATGGACTGGAGCAATACAGCTCTCCGCTGCCTGTTAGTCTTGATCATAGAAACATGGTAAATCTCCTTGCCCTGGAATACATTGCATTAGTGGACCTGAATTGTCAATAATGAGGTTAAATCCTGCTACGGAGACTTGCCCATATATTTCATTCAGGGACTGACGGTGATCTGTTAGGCTTCGTTAGATTTTATGTGTATATTCTATCAATGCCGCATCCATCAAGCTCCAACGTCTAAACTCCGACAGAGTCTACCATCATTTGCCTCTGTCCATACCTCACTGCCAACAGCTGTCCGAGCATAAAATAGGCCAGTGGGATCATACTTCTGCTTTACTTGAAGCAACTGCCCATAGTTTTCGCCGTAGAAGACGCTCTGCCACTCTGGCTCGAAAGGATCTCCCTCGTTGCCGTAAGCATACTTACTGTCAGGCATAAGAAGATCTATCTCAGGTATAATATCATTCGTCATCAGTGCGAGGTTTTGAGTATTAAGGACTCTGTTTGTTCGGTCGTGGAAGCTTTTCTTGCTGTTAGTAATTGCAACGATTTGTTGTTCATCTCGAGTCGACTTACGTTCCAACGACCAGACTCACGTACGATTCTCTCCACGCTTGATTCACGGCATTTGGTGATTTTGAGGGCTTTGATACGTTGAACGACACGCCTGAGAAGACTATCCCGTATCTCTGAAGTGATTGCATAGTTTCCGCGATGCCGCTCGGATTATCCCTCAAGACCCTGCGAGGTATCAGTCGACTTCCAATGTCGAAAGATGAGGTCTCGGTGAGTGGATTCATGGCCTCATACATGTCCAAGAATGTAGGGAATTCTCGAGACAGGTATGCTGAAAATGATGAGCATCTGCTATACAAGACCATGGCACAGGCCACTTACTATAGTTGATTCCAACACCACTCAAGTCTTGCAGAAGCGTACTATGCAAAGCATCCATCCCGGCTTTGCCCATCCCATGCCCAACTGCAGGGGAAACGATAAAGGTCGAATTCGTGCTTAGCCAGTTGCACGAAATGCCAGCATCGAGAAGTGTCGGAAGGTGCTCAAGATAGATTTCCACCCCCTTGTAGAATGTTGCCTCATCGACGCCTACCATGCTCCAGGTCAGATTTGAGGCCGATGTTATGTCGTCCGGATGCACCTGGAGCGTCAATGACCAGACCGCGCCGTACGATGCAGCCCCTCCCCCTGACAGTGCCCAATAAAGATCTGCATTCTCTGCCGGCGAAGCAACGATGAAGTCACCAGATGCAGTGACAACCTCCCATTCCAGAGCCTGGTCGGCGCCTAGCCCAAATTTGGACGCAAGTAGTCCATGGCCGGTCCCTTGGACATAACCTCCAGCAAGACCAACGCTAGGACATGTCCCTCCGACAGTCACTAGCCCTTCGTCGTGCGTAACACGAAACGCGTCCATGAGCTGGACACCTGCGCCGACTTTAAGTGCTTTCCCCGTGTAGTAATCAGACTCGTAGTCGAGAATCTCGGTATACTTGAGATGGTGCGTCCAGAGACCCAATGCACCGGCACCCGTCGACTTTCCAAGCCAATCATGACCCGTGTTTCGAATCACAAGCCGGACATTATGTCTGTTTGCAAACCGAATTGCCGCTTTATAGTCGAACATTTCACGAGCATCAATCGCATACTGGATGTACGTTCCAAGGATACATGACTGTTCTCGCGGCGTAAATGGATCGCAGCTTTGATTGGCAAAGGTCGGTGCCATGATCGACGAACTTGAGTTGATGTGCGTCTCTGGGAGTGTCCAGGCTTCCTGGATGGCCTGGCAGGCATCTTCATCGTAGGGACCAAACTCGCTGTCGTGGCAGGGGCTGGCCAGGGGTACTGTGGATATGAGACGACCGTTTACTGTGGTGTTGAGTTCGTGCCATTTATCTGATGTTGGCCAGCACGCATCACCGGGGAAACATCGACAGGTGTTCGTGGGTGCACTGTATGTGCCAGGCACTGAAGATGCTAAGTAAATGAATAACACAAAGTGTAGAGCCTCGGATATGAGCCCTAGAAAGTACATTATTCTTGCTGGATATACGATAATATCGAGATCGAGGATCGCATTAAATGCACGGGATAGCCAGCATATTCGACAAGCATCCCATCTTGGTCATATTAACTTCAGTACTATTTCATCAGCATTCTGTTATTCTGTAAATATTGAAAAGTTACCGGACACGAGCATTCCGACTATCCTCTTGGCAAGGGACTTACATGGTAAGGGGCGCATGGGATTAGCCGTACCCTGCTGTGACAAGGATGTCGTTCTTGGCGAACTCACATTCCTTCGATCTGCCTGAGACATGAATATTTCGCTAATAGCATTGTCCTACATTATCATCCTCTGCAAGGCTATGAACGAAGATTCAGAGATGAATAAGCGAAGCTCGGAACAGAGATCTTTCGAACACTGCCTCCCCTGCAATCAGCAGGTTTGCCGGAGATAAATGTAACCCTTTCATGCAGTGCTGTGCCAAACGGTGGTGCTGCACCGAGTTTCCAAGGTCTTCATGCAATATGCTTGCCTGTCACTGACTTGAACGGTCGGAATAATGCAGGCTAGCATTACCCGTGAAAGGTGGGCCTGTCCGTAGTCATGGGCAGCCGTACGTGTCATGGGCATTGAGCCATAGCCAATCGCATAGATGCTATCCAAGCGGAGCACAAAAGAAAGCGCTTGAGGGAACGGGCTGTTCCGGTCAGCCACAGATTAACAGAGCCGTTTCTGGGGCGTAAGATGGCCAGATTGCGTCTATGCATGTATGTCGAAGATCCATATCCCCCCTGAGACTCAATTCGCCATTTACAGATGCCAAGTGCTTAGACGGCTAGCAAGGTAAATCAGCCGGGCAATAATTGGGGCAAAGTATACAGTACAGTAATTAACACAGGGCAGGCAGCCAATGGAAAGAAGTCAGAAATATCAGTAACACTGTCGGAGGATCAGGTATGACTCTAGGGTATTATAGCTATAGAATACGCTATCGTTCATATCCTTCTTTCGAATGTACAGAGGACCTGGCCCGGTTGGGCGGTAACTTGATCCTTCATATCACGCCACATGGTTTCCTCGTCGTATCCTGGAGAGAAAGAGACGTTGAAATTGCGGAGTACATTAGCAGTAACGAGGCGAAGTTCAGCGTATGCCAGAACCTTACCGACACACTGACGGCTGCCTATATGAACATTAAGAAGACTGATCAGCAACGCAATTCGTAGAGCAAGAAACGAAGACCTACCAAAAGAAAACGGCCCAAACGCGCGTTTATCTTTCACCAAATCTGGGCGTGAATACCACCGCTCAGGGATAAACTCGTCTGGATGGACGAACGCATTTTCCACTAGATTTGCTGTGAGCAAAGTGCAATTAGCAATGTCAAGATAACTTACTTCTCTTGATGACATATTTTGGCGCTGTGACTTTGGTTCCCGCAGGTATGAAGACATTATCTACTGTAAGCCCCTGCGGGCCTGTGATGCGCCCTCCGCCAGTCATCGCAGGAGGTACGAGACGTAAGATCTCCTGAATAACCCCGTTCAGATGTGGAAGTCCAGCTAGCACATTAGCATCTCCTATATCTACTGTTTCGATTTCCTGACGGATCTTTTCGGCATGCTCAGGATATTTCGCCAGATACCACCAAGTTGCAATCAGCGAGGCACGTGTTGTGTCACTATACCCATTGCAGTCAGCCCTGGACTAGGTCTTTAGACAGGATATCGAATGATCATACCTTCCAGCTACGATGGCCGATACTGCTGTGCCTCCCAAGAGTCTTTGCCGGCTTTGAAGGTCTCGCACCTCGCTCAAGTTGTGGTATTCATCGATGAACCAGGATGCCATGTCAGCTTTCTCGTCCGTTTGTAGCTGTTTCTCAATTATTACCATTCTCGGAGAATACGCAGCAACACTTGAACTCACTTCCATGCGTCTCGCCATGCGCTCCTCACAGTATGAAACCATACGCATCCACGACTTGACTTTACCCAGAAAGGGTACAAATGAGAATGCCAATTGAGCGATCCAGACGGCGTCACTGATAGGACCAAGCAGTGCCAGGGCTCTCTTTTGGTGAATGATTGCGTCATGCGTAACCTTTTCCTGCATCATTCCAAAGCTTTTGCCAAAGACGACGTCGCCCATTGCATCAAAGGAGAACCAAGACATGACATCATTAATGTTTACTGGTGCACTGCTCAACTCCTGAATGCATTGGACCAAGTTGAGAGCCTGTTGGTAGATGCGAGGACGGAACTCATCCATCGCTATTGGACGGTCAGCCAATGTTGCCTGCAAAACGAGATCATGACGAACCTTTCGTGGAGAGAGACTGCGTCCAGACCCGACGTCTGTCCCGATGATCTTGGGCATTTCTGGTAAATATCGCTGACGTTCTTGGCTGGAGAACATCATACCAAACATCTTTCGAATTGGTATTATGAGCTCCATCCAGAAGCTCTATCGCCGACGGGTGGAAAATGGTGATTTCGTTAGGGCCTGAACGTGTCAGCAGCGCCCTATGTGCCGAGATATGTAAGCTTACCCGTTCTGACAACAGTTCCATACTTCTCGTACAGTCTCTGCATTACCAGATAATTTGTTGAATTCCTGGCGTGGTATATATGCCAAAATTTGGAAACAGCGGCAAGTCTAGGTCCTGGGAAATTGACAAGTTTGTGGAACATTGTGCGATAGACAGCAATGCTAGCAAACAGCGATATCAGATACCAGGCTGATAAAGTGATTGTGTAAGTACATGCCGCCAGGATATCGTCGAGATATCGCTGTAATGTACCAAGGACAAGCGCAGCGATCGTAGCATGAGCGCCGATGATAGATCGAGAATGTAAGTGCCATTCTCCATGTATGAAGAAACCCAAGTGTGAGGTGACGCCAGCAACAATGCCACAAAGGGGGATAGCAAAGTTCATCATGCTCAAGTAGACACTTGGCTCGATAGTGGCAAGCGGACCAGTTTGAATCAGGAGTCGAAGGTAAGCTGTGATCGTTGTTTGGAGATACACGACAAGAGAATCAATATGGAATGCTTGTGAAGGTGTACAAATGGTTGAGTGTATTGAAATACATGTAATAGAAGCTGTTTATTACAAATAATACCCATATAGACCATCATGGCCTGCCAGTCGAATCGCTTTTACTTAGCATATGCAAGTGACTTAGCCCCAGTGTCTTTCGAGCAGAACAAGCCAGATCCTGGTCGCCGGCGATGATCGTCTCCTTTAGTTTTGACGCCCTAGACCCTGCAAAGCCGACCGTCTGACTGCTCTGACCATCGCTCACTGCCGACCGCCGTTCTAGCCCAAAACAGGTCATCTTGGTCATAGCGCCTCTTGATAGCCAAGAGTCGCTTGTAGTTCTCGCCGAAGAAAAGCGTCTGGAAATCTGGCTGCTGAAAGTCTGCTTCGTTTAGATATGCACCTCCATTCGGGGTGATCTCAGCTATTCGCGGGAGCAAATCGTTAGTAATCAGATCCTGGCCAGCTATTGTCTTGGAATAGTCTGTGTAATTGATAGGTGTGCCGACCACCATTCCAAACAAAGACTTGCGCCAGTAAGGATTTGCAGAAACATTATAAGGGCCGCTTTGATTCACATTGAACGTAACGCCTGTACTGATTGTCTGTTCGCTGATGTAACGAATGACTTCAACAAGGGCTGGCGTGTCTTCTTCAACAAGAGAGCGTGGTATCAAGCGACCTGCAACGTTATAGTCCGACACATTCCAAGTTGACGTGAGAGAGTCATATCCAGGGAGGAACGAAGAGTATTCTGTGGAAGAATACGAGAACTCCTGCTTGAGGTCGCTCATCTTGTCAAGTGTTGGTTTAATCAAGAGATCGAGTTCTTCTTTATGGATTCCAGGGCCCATTGCCGGCGACATGAGCAGACCGAAAGGTGCTGCGACCCACGCAACAAAAGCTCCGGCATCTGCAAGTGCGGGCAGGTTCTGTAAGAAAGTCCCAAGAACTTCGTATATTGCATCTGCATTCGTGCCATTGTTCATGAGAGAAAATGTGGCCATAGTGATATGAGTATTCGTAAATGCCTTAACAGTCATAGACACGACTACTGCGTAAGTGCCTCCTCCGCCTCCACTCAGTGCCCAAAGCAGGTCGGCATTAGAAGTTGGTGTGGCCTTGACTAGGCGGCCATTAGCAGTGACCGCTTCAATTTCAAGAATCTGATCCGCTGCAAGACCGTGTCTGGAAGACAGAGGCCCATGACCTCCACCCTGGGAGTACCCCCCCGCGAGTGCAACTGTGGGACAGTTACCACCGACGACCATGAGGCCATTCTGCTCAGCGAATGCATACGCTTCTTGTGACTCAATACCAGCACCGACGCGGATTGCAGGACCATCATAGCTAGTTCCATGATATTCAGATATCAATTCAAGAGACTTCAAGTGGCGTGTCCATATCGCGATCGCGTACGCTCCAGTGGATCTCCCGAGGTAGTCGTGCCCGGTATTCCGGACTACTAAACGAATGTTGTTCTTTCGGGCAAACTTGATGGTCGCCTGAACATGTTCCACTGAGGTCGCATTCACAGAGTATACGACATGACCACCAAGCGTACAAGCAGTATCCGAGCCTACAAAAGGATTGCAGCTGTTGTTACTGAAGGGATAAGCCATCGGCGATGAGGAAGATTCGAGATGGGTCTCTGGAAAGAACCATACGTTACGCAAGGCATCACACTGAGCTTGATCGAAGTCAGGCTGGTGACAAACGGAGGCAATCGGAACCGTGGATATCAGGCGGCCGTTTACGGTCTTGTTGAAGTCGTCGAACGCTTTCGAGTCCGGCCATGAGGTATCTCCAGGGATCGTGCGGCATTGTGATGTACGGCTGGGCCAATTACCATGTTTCCTTGCGATGGCAGCAACAAGGACAATGAACGATAGAAAGAACAAGGTGCGTCGGCGAACCATCTCTACCCAGGTCTATGGCCGCGAAAGGCTAGCGGCGTAGGGTAGTATGTGCAAGATGCTGGGAATGCTCAGGTCTTGTGTTGATGATGCCAGAACAATATGAGAGACAAGACTTGACTGGACAGAGATCGGGTCGGCAAGGTTTCCAAGGGAAAGAAGGCATATATGCACTTGATTGGCGTGGCGAAGGCGTTCGGGATTGGAGACGTTCCAGTCTCGATCAATGACACGTCCACACCATGATTAGGTTGCAATCTCACATCAGCTGGTAGGCATGACACGACCCTGGACATAGGTTTCACTCTACATGACAGGAGGTCGAACACGGGGAAGCTGAGATGAAGTCTTTGATGAGCGCTGTCAACAGTGAGTGTCAGTGTCGCACAGCATGCGCCTCCTGTGCCGCTTAGAGCGATTAACACGGATACCCGTTTCCGTAGACGCGGTAAATCTACAAAAGAGGTTAGCTGCTTACCAAGACCCCTGTCTGGTAGACTGCCAAGATAGGTAGTTAGCCCCGGATCGCGTAACCCAAGTATCACCCCACCCTCGCGTGGACGAGCCCCACAGGCCGGTCCCCGTGTTTAGCGTCCTGTCGCTTCGCTTCGGCCCTTCCCATTCAACCGCAAAGGCATTGCTCGCCTCCATTCCTTCGCATGTACACATCATCAATCAGCGCTCCTTTGATCGAGTTTCTTCCCATGTGGCCCCTTAGGATCGTGAGACTCTTCATCCCTGAACCTAGAAAATGCAAGTCCGTGCATAATCGGGTCGATCGCTCAGCTCGTTCATCTTCCAGACCCCTTTTGTGTTGGTTGCGCACCACTGGCAAGCTAAAAAAAAAGTAAAGGATGGAATGACATGACATCGATGTACATATATCAGAGGAATCAAAAAGCGGATGCTATTGAATTACAGTTCACCAATCATTCTTCGGCCTGCCAAGTAGGACTTCACCTTTGTGCGGATCCTTCCACCTCCATAATCTGGTAGGATTCTGAAGACAAGATTAGATACGAACATTCTATACGCCATGGTCAGCCCCCGTGGAGAGGCTTTGGCTGCTTGGTTGTCTGTTTTCACTGTACTCACCGTAGGTGTCCTGATCCTGCGCTTTTACGCAGTCAGGATACAACAACGAGCTCTTCGTTCCGATGACTATCTCGTCGCTGGCGCTACCATCGCAATGCTTGTTCTTGAAGGATGTACCTTTTGGGGTAAGCAGGCGCTTTTGGTACTCCGCTGAGTTGAGATTGACTGTTCTATGTTAGCGATTCACAATGGGCTCGGGGCTCGAGCAGCCACGCTGGATTGGCCACAGCAAGCTGTACAGATCAAAGTAGGTCAATAGCACAGTCACCCAGTGGACTCATACTAACTGTTGATGACAGTTGATGGTTTCCGCATTCTGGACATGGACAATTGCCACGACAGGATGCAAACTCGCTGTGCTTCGTCTTTACTTGGCCATATTCCACACCAAGACTTTCAGATACATTAACTTTGTGCTCATGGGACTGGTTGCATGCTACCCGTTTGTATTCATTCCCGTATTCATGACACAATGTACTCCTGTATCTGCCGCTTGGGACCCCGTATTGTCCCTCACGCACTGCCGACCGAGGGAGCAGCACGAACTGGCGTCAGTCGCTGTCAACGTCGCATTCGACCTCTTGATTGTTCTTCTCCCTCTTCCCTGGATTTGGAGTTTGCAGATGGCGACAAGGAGGAAGGTTACCGTCACAGCTATGTTCAGTCTCGGGTTGTCGTAAGTCTCAGTGACTGAAGCAATATACCTTGCACTATTATCTGTAGCTAACATCTGTCATAGCATTGTTGGAGTAATGATCTGGCGACTTGTTACCACCGCGCTTCCAAACCCGAACCCGGATTTCACATATGACGTATACATTCTTGCTCTGCAGAGCCATTTGGAACTGTGGCTAGGTCTTCTTGCTGCTTCTCTACCTACTCTAGCCCCATTGCTATCTCGAATGGTCCCTGAGAACGTCAAAAGTTATTTCAAAGGATCCTCAGTACGGAGTCCGAAGCGCAACAATATGATCAGGTCGTTTGGCCAAGGTAGATTCCCGCGGACAAAGGCTAAGAGCGACCTTGACTCCATCGACGGACTCGATATCCCTCTACATAGCATAGAGCGAAGACAGTATATACAGGTTTCGTATGGTAAGAACGACTCCAAAGCGTCCGAACAGGGTAAGCCTGTCGGTGTCGAGCTTTGAGCTTCGCCATACTTGACACTAATTGTTTTTCTTGAGAGAAAATATGGTATCGAATCATGATCTGGATTATGGATCCGTGTAAGTATGTATGTAAGAGACAACAAAATTCAAGTGATTGTAAGAGCTACTATCTGAACGACCCTGATGTGATGATGTCGATTGAAACTAACATATGATTTTCTGGGAACATCGCTCTCTAGTATATCTGAACTTGTCTCATCCGCGAACTGTCTTTTCATTCTCCACTCCAAACACTCTTAGCTCACTCCCTATCAAGAATTTTTCCTGCTCTGGTGCAAGCTTGTCCACATTGTCGCCCAGGCGGTTTCGAAAGAGAGTGAAATGTTCCTCATCACGGAACACGAGCACTACGACACAGTCAAAGTCACACTCGGAAGGAGCGCCCATGAATGTCATTGGATTCCGGACGCTTGAAGTTTGATTGTCTTGTTGCTGATTCTGGCCAGTTGGGACGTCTTGCTTCACATAGTAGCGTGTATGTGAGACTGGAAAAGTGTCGCCGACGATGCTTTTGAAGAAGGGCAGAAATTTCTCATCCCAATGGGTTTGAAATTCTTCGAACGATATTGAGGGGTTTCGATTCTCAAGTGCGAGTACAGTGAATGTCATGATTGTCTCTTTAACCGCGTTGAACAGATTGTCGTGATTTGGGCAGGTATGATTCCCTGATAGTAGTAATTTTGATGAGCTCTATGAGAGTTCGAACGAAAGATCAACAGAGAATAGCAGAGACAGAGCGAAGTGAACAGTCTAGGGTTACACAGGACTTTCACCAGAGTTTACTGACACTGCTTGAAGAATAAATACACCTGGGAGAAGTCCGAAAATTGAGCGAGCCGCAACAGTGGTATGCCGATTTTAGTCCGTCGCATGTTAACCCTACAGAAATCGACACTCCTCAAAGAACAAATACACTTAGCGAAGTCCGAAAAATGAGCGAGGCGCAACAGTGGTATACCGATTTTAGTCCATTGCATGTTGACCCTACAGATATTGACATTCCTCAAAGAATAAATACACATTAGCGAAGTCCGAAAAATGAGCGAGGTGCAACAGTGGTATGCCGATTTTAGTCCGTTGCATATTAACCCTACAGAACTATCCACTAGATCAATCCGGATGCCGATTCTAGTCCGCTGCATGTTAACCCTGCAGAACTATCCCAGGTATAACACCTTGCTTGAAAAACTAGTGGTGAAGCAATTTTTGCGTCGTCTACTAGGGTACTGCGCTGATTGTTACCAAACTGGCTTGGGACGTAACCCTTGCTTCTTGGCTCTGGGCAGGGTCAGGGGTATCACCTCCAGACAAAGACGGCACAGCCTCGTACGCTCCCCTACTTCATCTGTATGCAGGTAGGTAGCATATGGCCTTGATTCAAGCACCAAGGGGGTGTGAGAAGGTAACAGGTAACACAAGTATCATGCTGGCCTTGTGTGCTGCTATGGCATGTTAGTAGTAATCATAGCTACCCCAGCATAGATAAATCATGCCATATTCGTTGTGACTGACAGCCACTTCATCAAAGACACACAAAGTTCGAGCAGCAACATTTAAACATCTCACTATGGATCCGCCATTTCCAAGCCCTGTAAAACAATGGCACAATGACATATATCCTGCAATCGAGCCTTCTAACCCCAAACTGAGCCACAAAGGCCACACAGTCGTAATCACAGGCGCCGTAAGTTATATTTACTCTCCGTTAACAGGATCATTCACTGATACAGATGACAGGGTAGTGGTATCGGCCGAGCTAATGCCCTCGCTTTTGCTATTGCAGGTGCAGCCCGACTGGTACTCATTGGCCGAACTGAGGCCAAAATCAAGGAGACTGAGGCTGCTATCGCATCAGAGGCAGGAAACTGCGATGTTATCACGTTTATTACTGATGCGAGCAATCTTGATGGAATGCAAGAAGTTGCCAGAGCTGTTGGTACTTGGCACGTTCTTCTTCTGAATGCAGGGTATATGAACAGTCCAGCTCCCGTCGCGACGGCCGACCTTGGAGACTACTGGAAAGCTTTCGAGGTATGAATGTCCAGTAGCCTGACGATTACAGTTTGCCTCATCCACAGTTACTACCAGGTTAATGTCAAATCTACTATCGTTGGTGTGCAGTCATTTGCACCGACTGCCGCCAAGGACCATGCTGCCATCGTAGCCCCAGTCGGAGGGTCTATGCAACTACCGACGAAGTTATTAGCAGGGCTATCGGGCTATCTTACTGCGAAGCTTGCAGTGGTGAGGATCATGGAGTTCCTCTCTGTAGAGAATCCATCTATCTTCTTTGCTACGTACCATCCAGGAATGGTGGATACCGAAGTCTTTCGGCGTTCCGGGGCAACACCTGATATGCTTCCAATGGACTCTCGTAAGAATGTTCCTGCTCTCCCATATACAGACTAACAGCTTTAGCTCAATTATCGGCCGGCTTTGTGCTGTGGTTGACACTCCCAGCAGCGCTTTTCTTGAATGGAAGATTTGTCTGGGCCAACTGGGACGTCGAAGAATTGATGGCAAGCTCGGACAAGATAACTTCACAGGATTTGTTCAAGACGTCATTCACAGGATGGCCCTACGCCAGCACATAGTGCCTATCATACCAGGACAGTCATATTCTTAGGGTCGGAGCAATCTTTCACTTTCAAAATGTATGGCGGGCTAAAAGTACAGCAAAAGGGGGCAAAAACAAGGCCAGGGCCGTTTACATTCTTTATTCAGCCATTAACTGAGTAATGCGCTCCTATGAAACTGAGTGGCTTTTTACGAGCCGTTTTAGCCTTTACGAGATCACTTCTCTAAACTCCACGCACTCCTCAGAGACACTCCAACAGAGACACTCCTCATTTGGGGTATGCCATTGGTCATATCATCGCATTGAGACATTGGACCTGGTCATATAGGTCATAACCTAGTCAGCAAATCAATTAATCCTTACCGCGACATACATAGCGACATACCAAGGATGAAGCCCGGCCAACCTGCAGATTGTGATAGTACTAGAGACTTCTAGACTCTACTCCAGTAGTTCATGCAGACCGAGTGAGACTACTATATCAATCTCGGAGCAATGTCCATTCTAGTCTATTCGCACTAATGCTGACCTTAGGGGTGATGTCCGAAAGCGATGCGTAAACTTCGTTGAAACAAAACCAGATTGATTACTGGGTCGTATTAAAATACAACGTTAGATATGCCAGTTATGCATTCACTCATATATCAGACGCCGTCGATTGTAACGGTACATATCTCGGCATTCATCTGCACGCTAAATGCGACGTTGTCTTATCAGTGACTATTGAGTCTTCCACAAGTACCTCCTATATTCTATGAAGCATCCACAAAGTGAGATTATCTACTGGTCTGCCGCCACCTATAAGATGGTACACAAACTACGAGACCTTGTCCAGAACTTTTGGCTCTTTACGAAAGACGATGCATGGACCTTCGTAGCCCCCAATACCATCTTCGGCCTCAGCAGTGCTCTCGCTGGCCGTGTATTTTGCAATCACAGTCAATCTTGGCAGGATACCCTCTTGCGCGCCCCACTTGTCGTTCTCTTCAACTGGGCCACACTACTCATCTTCGATCTCGCAAATCAGCGTCTCCCCGAGTCTGTACGAGAGGATGCACTCAACAAGCCGTGGCGACCGGTGCCTAGTGGTCGAATGTCAAGTGAGGCTGTCCGAATGACTATGCTGGCTTGCATACCCTTGGTTCTAATCCTGGGGAACATGCTCGGAGCAGGCCCACAGTGTAATGGGATCATTATTCTGACATGGCTTTATAACGATTTGGGTGGCGGTGACCAGAACTGGGCTCTTCGAAATCTTATTATCGCTGTCGCATTTGGGTTGTTCAATGTGGGATCGTTGCGGGTGGCGGTAGGGGCAGGGAGTGAAGAGTTAGAATTAAGTTACCATGGGAAAATGTGGACTGTCATGATCAGTGCGGTGATCTTCACTACCATGCATGTACAGGACTTGAAAGATCAGCTAGGGGATAAAAGTCGAGGCCGACACACAGCGCCGCTGATATTGGGAGATCACTATGCAAGGTATACCATCGCAATTCCAGTGGCTGTTTGGTCCGTGATCATGTCAGTTTATTGGAACATGCGGCAGTGGAGTCTTGTACTCATTCTGTTAGGATCATATATCTCCTGGCGTTGTTTAATGTTGAGAAACAAGGAGGAAGATCGAAAGACCTGGCAATTCTGGGCTGCGTGGACCGCTGTCCTCTATATACTCCCAACTATTTTCAGTTAACTATCAGACCTAATATGAGCCTGGGCTGTAGGAGGTTGTGGGTAGAGATCTATGACTATAGGTATCAGTCGATAGTACAAAGGATACAAAGCCGATTAGCAGTGTGATCCAGGGAAATATCGTGATGCTGTGCTTGCATGTGCTCAATTCTAGTTGTCACGATCATCAAGATGTGATAGGTCGTACTCCAAGTTAAACTACAGTCGGCTAGAGATCGAGATCTTCTACAACGATTTAAATGATATGAAGATATTGAAATTAAGATTTATTGCCATGTATATTACCAATGAGGACCTAAGGTATACAATAGTACGAGCAATGAAGGTCATATATATTTATCTATAACAATCGTAGATAGATGCAGGGAAGTTATTTCCTACATGGACGCCGGTTGCGTAACATTGAATACAGAAGAAGAAAGAATTCTAATTAATGAACAGAAGCTCTTGAAGCGTCAAAGCTACTAACATACTACCCTTGAGGTAGAAGGTAGTTATCCAAGTAAGAGTGAGAGTACCATGGTCAAGACTTAGGTAGAACGTGCTATTTATTATCATGTGAACCCAGTGAAATGGCCCGGTATGTAATATGTATGAATCATAGCTAGGACTGATAGTAATATTATCTACGATATCGATATTGTCTAACTAAGTATTATAAGGCTAATACTATCGACAATTCTCCAATATAATACTAGACTTTGTTACTTGCATCTAAATAGAGAATAAGAGAAGAGATATCTCTTAAAGAGATCTACTATCTTCTCTACGATGGAGTTAGAGAAGATTTATATTAACTTTTCACTTTCTTTAAGATAGATATATTTCTATAGAGGACTTCTCTATAGGCGATTCCTTTAATCTCAATCTAATCTGTGGGAATCATATTATAGATACTCGAGAAAGGGGAATCTTCTAAGCTAATAGCTTCCTAGAGTATAAGATAAGATATCTATAAAGCTATAAAGCTATATTAACTACAGAAGTAGTAGTAGGTAGTTTCTCTAATACTATCATAAAGCCTATGCTAGAGACACGTTACATCTTTAACGGACTATAAGGTCTATTGATAACTAATTAGGCTTCTACATATAAATAGATTATTATACTTATTAGGCTCTTTCTCGTAGTATACCTTATATAGGGATAGACTTATGATTATACTATGACAGAAGGCATCTAGGTTGAGTATATACTACGCCTGTCTTATTTATTAAATGGACGCTGGTACCGAAAAGTGGATTCCATACACTGCTATGTTTATTTTCACGATTATAAGAGGTACCTTGCTTGTGCACCGCATTATCAACAAAGAATGCTTGAAAATTTGTTCAAGCACCCTTGAAAGTAACTAGGTACCCAATAATGCTCGTTGTTTTGTTGGGCATTATGTTATGCTTTCATATACAGCTAAGCGTGCTTCAGCTTTCATAGATCCCAGAATGCAGACTAAGACATCCTGATGCCCAATAGGCCTATCCAAGGGATGACTTCATGAATACCGAGCCAAATACGTACGAATACCGAATTGCTTTGCACCACTTGATTCTCTCTGAGAGTGATCTCACCTTGCTTATAGCGCTTAAAGAGCCTGAGACAAATAATTAAGAGCATAAAAATCCAGTATCTATGTAGACTCTCGATGTGGCGCCATTCATATGTCGAGCAAGGATTCTGTGTTTTGACCAAGTACCATCAGTCTTCCTTGCTAATGATAATTGAACGGGTCTCGACACTTCGTCGCTTGCAAGCCGTAGGGCTTGCTCGTGGGTTGGGGAAAGGTACGTGAGGACAAACTGTTGGGGTTAGCGTTAGAGTCTATATGTGAGATAGATAGAAATACACCGTGCTTGATCACCAGGCGCGGAGTCATAGCTGACGAATAGTACGGGCTCCTCGGGCGTCATATGCTCAAGCCAATACCTACAGAGTGGTTGTCAGTCTATCGTCGGAGGCTAGTAGTGATTTCTGGCTTGTACCATTGTTGGGCAGGGTTATATCGAAGATAATAATTTTCGCCGACACGAGTTGGTATCACCCTGTCACACGCAATGAGATCGTTCTTATCAACGGTACGGTAGTCGCAGTAAGCTAGCGGCATGTCCTCCAAGATAGGGAGTAATGAACGCCACGTGCTAAGTAGAGTGTTATTAGCCAGGCATCGTTCCTTGAGAAATTTCCATACTTCATGATCCTAAACCGATATCCACGCTTTGCATATTTCGCCATGAGCTCCCGAGGCAGGTGATGTCCGATGATTCTTGGTCCAGCTGCGCGTGATACATCAACATGAGCACCCTTTGCCGGCCGATCCGGGACTGTATCATCCCTAAGGTTGATAACACGACCAAGGTCAGCTCCATTATCTCGAAGCTGTAAACATCTCAGCAGAATGGAAGCAGTTCTGATTGCTCACATACCTTTACGTCAAATGTGTAGACACATTCCACGTCAAGGAGCTTTTTGAGATACGTTTGGGTCTCAGATCTGTACTCTGCAACCTCTTCGTTTGTCTTTATCTCGGAAACGGATGTCTGATGGTTCAAGATTGTGAAGCCTACTTCGTTCAAGTCAAAAGGCTCTTTTTGTTCTCTGACATCACGTATCAGTACGGAGTCACGTTTTTCGAATTTCAAATTGTTAGTAGTGACAGAACTGTCGTATTCTGCTGCAGACACAAGAACCTGGTATGGTTTCTCATTTTTGTAAAGGGGCAAATCTGCAATGAATTCGATCGACGTTACAATGTCTGGCATTGCTAACGTGCCTCAAATTTCGATGTGGTCAGCTAGATGATAGCAGGAGAACTACTTAGACCCAAAAGAAAATCAGGTCATAGCAGATGGGGCTCTGCATACCACTAAGCTTGTCTCACCGATCGGTCCATGCATAGGATAGTGCACAACGGCATGCTTCATATTCCATACTGTCCCAGGTGGCAAACTGTGTGCATACCAGTAACTGATCTCTCAGCTTGTCCTTTCCGCTCACCGGCCGCATTAGAATACACCGTTTCTGGATGTACGTATTGCTTACAGAATCGGCGTACGACTCTGCGGGACGGCCTATCATGAATGCGTATATGATTGTCTGGCCCCCCTTGTAAACACAACCATTCATGCAAGACGCAGTTGACATGATAGGCCAGACTAAACTTCTAGACATGGTCCACCACAACATGTGGCTCGGGACTTACGATGGCTTCTGCATGTGCTGGCAAAAGATAGTCACAGCTGAGTCTATTGGCCCTGGCTACACTTTCTAGATCGGCACATAACAAATCATCAAGGAAAAGTGTGATCTCAGGAGCGGTGATCCTGGGCATTGATGTGTGCATAAAGCTCGACCAGCTCCAGCTCAACAGCACTCGTTGTGCATCCTGTCGATTCAACCTACCAATCTTCAACATACCAGCGTCTCAATTTTGTAGCTCCATAGCAATATCACGTAGGTCTTTTGTGCGTGCTTTCTTTTCTTGACGCTTGCTGAACTCCCTAGTCTCCACCATGCAAGCTCAAATCGAATTTCTCAAGACAATCACGACTGGCCCTGAGCCGGACGAGGTCATCGATACTATGGCAGCCCCTGTAGAGCTTTACCCGAGCGAGAGCGAGAAGGAACAGCCGTGGAAGGCATGGATGAAGTTCCAGGAAGCAACTCCTTCTGGAGATGAGCTGGTATTCATGATCAACGACCTCGATTGTGGTGCAGGTGGACTGGGTGGATACTGATTCTGGTGCGGAAGAATCGTCATGAGTTGAGCATACTGTAGCTGCTGTTTGACAATTCGACCACCATGCCATGGATGTAAAGCCTCTGTCTGGCCTACTTCGTAGGGAAATCCACTGACGGTCTATATTATTTCTATAATAACATCTATCCATGTTTGAGTGCGTGATTCGACCTATGCTACTTGCGAAACTTGGATCGCTTGAAGCACAAATTGACCAAGCGCAAATAATAGTCCAACTCCACCGAATATAGTAACGATCCAGAATGTGTACCTACAGAATCAGTCTCGACCATATTTGAGGAAGTCGATACAGAAACTCACCAGCGAAGCAAGTCTCTCCGATCCTGCCAAAGCATTTTAATTGTGCCAGGATCCTGTCGAGAGATATACTCTTGCAAAAGTAGCAGTCGGGGCCCAAGAATGGGAAAGTTAGTATGAATACTGTATGCTGTCGTTCGGCTCGAAGTATCTGCTGACTGTTTAACCAGATCGCGGAGGCATATATCAATGTTGCCGGAGACTATAGCCCGTTTCGCTACCACACGTCGGAAGTGCTCACGGGCTCTTCTGTCATCTCCAAAAACCAGGCTATACGACAGCCGAATTTCTTCCAGTAAGGCTTTAGTGGAAAATCCATCGGGCTTTGAGTATGCATCGTAGTAGCTGGAGAGCAGGCTGTCATCTGGAATCAGTTCTGCACATCTTATATAGAGTCTAAAGCTAGACAACTCACCTATCCAGCAGTGTCTTCTCGAACCTATTGATCACACAATATGACGGTAGTTGAAACATTAGCAATCGCCGTTTCTCGATATCAAATGAGAGATGAGAGCTTATGTTAGAAACCCACTGAATCTCAATCCTTCCAATGCGCCATAGAGTGGAGGCATTGAGCAAAGAGACTTGCAGTGTATCCGATGGTCTGTACGCGGGATCCCAATTTGTTTGATTAGTGGATTGGTTTTGAATTGGGAGAAGTTGTCCAAATTGGCGTAGCATTTCGCACAGTGGTTTCTTCCCTTGCTCAAGACCTATAGCAGCTAGATTGAGCCCAACGAATTGCTGCTCGTCAAGCGACAATGTCGTTGAGACAGGCATGGTAGGTGAGGGTGAGTACAACATGCTAATCCATGACATCGATACGAAAACCAAAGTACATGCTCTGGCATACGTATCTGGACTTCTTGATACGTCCGCAAGTATCTGACGCTGCACCAGATAGCTGACAGCTGTATCAATGCTACAATACTTATTGGCCTTGGCATGCTCTGCAAGTCTAGCCAGCATACACATCATCTTATCCAGATCAGTCAAGCTTGCGTTAGACTCTGAGTTGACAAGCAATCCCTGGAGGGTGGCAGCTGGGAGAGCCTGGATATTGTGTTCGAGGTAGTCAAGGAAGACCTGCTGGCCCGGAGTTGCAACAGCCGAGTCTCCGAAATCGGTACCAGTGACTGCAGATAGCAGAAGCTTTGCTGTAGTCTCCAATGGTTTCTTAATCGATCTTGCTGCAGTTTCAGGTTACCATTCTGCACATGTCATTCCAATTGTCCCTTGCACTCACAATCTCGCTGCCCTTCTTGATTGGCCTTTTCTAGATCATGGATTGACTCTCTGTTATGATACCACCACAAACACCATGGCGGGACTCTCATCTTTGTTGTGTAAATAAGATATGATATGTTTGTTACACAGGCGATTTCACAAGAACAAACTTTCATGTAAGCTCCGCTAACGTGTTTCTGAACTTGAGTATTGTGGTCCGTGGATCAACTCTAGTTCGATACTGGCAAGACATTACTATGAAATGATGCGCTCATTGCTGTGTACACGGCTGTAGTTGACCACCGTGAGGCGGCCTAATGGGTCTGCCAGCCACCAATATCTGGTCCCTGAGCTGAACCCGCGGTATAGAGTCGTTGTAACTTGTGATGGTGGCTGCACGAGACTATACCTTATTGCCCTCGATCTTCTTTCCTTTCGTAATGTGATGTATGGACCGGCCAATGATGAAGCTAGTCATGATGTTGGAATGGCTTTATGTAGCAAAGATTGAATGATTTGCCAGTGCTGGATGGATGAGTTGTACGCCAATCAGTCCTTACCAGGAGCGGTTTAGGCGCTTGTGGACACCCACTTGTACACAACTACAGCTGTCACCTTGTCTTCCGGGGTTCTCGATCCCTTTGTCGCCAATTATACTTGGGCTCAGTTGCATCAGAAATATTAGCGCCGTAACCATCTTGACGGCTGACGGCTGCCTACTTGCCAAGCATTAGCAGCCCTTGTCATAGCCTTACGGGTCTGCGACGCCAAACCTACTCACCGGTCGATATTCCGGCGTCGAATAGCGATGGGGAGTCACCCTCCTAATTACCAGCAGCTGTTCCCACATCCAAGTTCCCTTGCCGTACCGCTGGGAAGCGAAAATGCTGTCGCTTTGGATGACCTGACCACGTTGACAAGGCAGAGTTCCTAGAGTCGTCTTAGCTTGTTCTGTCAACGTCAAACGCAGCTTCAAAGGACATGCCACATCCTGTCTACTTCTTCCTATTGACCACTATAAGAAGCGTCTATGACCTGTGTTCATACATCCAATAGTCAAGAGATTACCACCGACGCCGTTATCTTACTTCACCGCCAATATAGGGACAAGACTGTCGTTTGGCGGGCTCATCAAGATTGCATCTTGCTTCGCCGCCATTGTCGCATTCCTGAAGTGTAACTTCAGGATGGCGCAACCCAGCTTTCGCCATGCGTGGAAATCAGGCAGTCCGCCACCGGGCTTTGAATTCCATCGTCGTTCCATAACCAAAATCGATCCGTTGACTGCATCAGCTCATGTACTCCAAGATATGCTTACAGCTGGTGAAGTCAAAAGCGCGGATCTTGCAGAGCACTATATCTCGCGGATCGAACAGTACAACGGCTATCTCAACGCAGTATTTCAATATGCGCCAGGAGTGATGCAACGAGCCAAAGACATGGATGAGAAACGCAGTCAAGGCACTGTCCTTGGACCTCTGCATGGAATACCAATTCTACTCAAAGTATATTGTGCCCCTGTTGAAGCATTCTACGTCTGACGAATACAGGACAACATGTGTACAACGCCAGACTTGGGCATGCATACAACTGGAGGAGCAGTCGCACTGATAGGCGCAGAATGTTCGTCAAATGCGGAAGTTGTTCAAAAGGTAGAAATATACACTGAGAATGTGTCAAAAACCACTAACATTCCTAGCTTCTTGATGCCGGCGCAGTGATTTTAGGAAAGACAACATTATCAGTAAGTTTAGATGCGAAGTGATGGATGAGGCTAATGACGATACCATTAGGAGCTTAATTTCAACAGGTAAGCGCAACGCCAAAAAAAATAATGCTTATGATTTCTAACTATCAGCCAAGGGATTCCCATCTTCCGTGTTCTTGGTCAGCAGTCGCAGGAATGGGCCAGTCGCCGTATGTCAAAGGAGGTGTCGATCCAAATGACAATGCCGGAGGTCACAGCGTAAGTGTTTTTTTTTTGCGACGTGCGTTTCATCATCTTACTATCATACAGAATCCAGGTGGGTCATCCTCTGGGTCTGCCATCGCTGTCGCAGCCGGACTTGCACCCATTGCCGTAGGCAGTGATACAGATGCATCGTTGACGGCACCTGGTGTAAGAGCGGCATTATATACTCTTAGACCCACGCTCAACTTGGTGCCCGTCCGTGGTGTTCTGCCTATGGCTCATTCGTTTGATACGGCCGGTCCGATGGCCAAGAATCCGAGGGATTTGGCCAATCTTCTCGATGTTCTAGTTGATCCATCTACGACGAAGGTTCCCTCAGGTGGGTACGTCTCGGTCTTGGATCAGAGCTGGACCGGTATACGCATTGGAGCTCTTGACCCCGAGATTTGGCAGTATCCAGATTGGCTGTGCAAGCCTGAGGAAGCCGCGACTCAACAGATCGTGAGACGCTTCGACGACAAACTCTCAAATTAAGCTAATGCTACTAGATCCGCGACACAAGAAACGCGTATGCTCGGGTTCGGTCTCTTGCCGATTCTTTCCATGAAAATGTGGAGCTTCTAGAGGCTACCGAGTTTATGCTCAATGGGGATCACTCTATCTATACCATCGTTGGTACGGAAGTGTAAATCAATACCAAAGCAAGATCACGTCTAACAACAATGCAGCTGATGACTTCGAAGAAGACATGAACGGCTTTCTTTCAGAGCTCACGAAGAAGAAATTCGATGATCTGAGAGGAATGGTCAAATGGAATGCTGAAAACGTAGAAGAAGCACTAACAAAAGGTGCGTACATATTGGTGAAGCCGTAGATAACATCGCACTCATCAATTTGACAGAATATCCTGGCCAGGACAAATTGACTGGTGCTCTAGAGACTAATCTGTCTGTGGATGCTCGAAACGAAACTGTTTCACACTACAAGCGAATCGGGGCAAGCTTTGATGAGATTCTCAAAAAGTATGATATCAACATCATCATTGCTCCTGGGGATTGCTTCTTTTGCCAGTATGGTCCCGCAAACGGTATGCACAGAAAGGAATGGCCCTATGCATAAACAGCTGATTGGAATTCTAGGTTACCCCGTTGCAGCTCTGCCATTGACCACATTGGACTTCAACGGACGACCCATTGGTATTCAAGCTATCGCAGCCGCTCATCAAGAGCCATTGTTGCTGAAGTTTATGAGCGCGTGGGAGGCAACGTTCCCTCGGCCCGTACCACATGGTTACGGTGATGTTTCACCAAATGATCACAGTCTCTAAGAGTACTAGCCTTAGCAAGATTTCATGACAGGCCTGTAGCAATGTAGCAACGTGTATTGCCAGCAGAGGACAAATCCGTCGCTGCCCAAGCGAAGTCTAGATCAAGGTTTCTCGTAAATGAAGCTTTGGGACAGCCACGTGTAACGGCAGAGATGCCATTAATCCATGTGCTTCTTGTTTCGCAGTACAACCCAAATCAAAGTTGTAGCTAGGACACATAATGGTGAAGGGACTGAACGAGCCAGCGAATGACAGTATCCAGCCCTTCTATCCACATTGTGTATAGATCGACCGGGTATCTGTAGGAATCTCTTTTATTTCCTTTGGGCTGAGATCTACGGCCCATTCGTACTCATGTAATCCGTCAGGAGTACATCACGCGACACTATAGGACGCCTCTGCGAGACTTTCAATGTCGTATAATCCCTACCAGACGAGTTATTGCAGCCACGGAAGCCGACTACAATGTTCATATTGAGCGAGCAGACGTCAGCCAATCACAGTACACCCTACAACGATCCCGGTCTCGTATATCAGATTCTCACCGATCAGGCTCTCGCCAATCAGTCCCTCACCGATCAGACTTCCCGCACGATACTTTCTTTATAGGAATGCAGAACGATGGCCCCTGTCTACACGTATGTACGTACTCAGATGCTTCGGACATTGCTCCGGTACCGCTGGTTGCAATATCACTGCGCCTTTGGTGCTAGCCTATGGATTGACACCATGTCTCAAGACTCGTTCATGCTCACCCTGTGGTCATTGTTTGTTTTTGCTAGTTGTACATGGTGGTGTGGCTCAGAGTTTATGCATGTCGTTTCATGAGCGGTCGACACGAGATTGACTTTAGTCATATTACGGCTATAATGCTGTAGTGTTCACTTATGTTACAATACACAGCGATCCAAGTGTTAGGAAGGTAGGAGGCACTCGGGAAGCATCACATTCACATAGGATGCACGAGGCTGAATCACTTGGCATTCTTCAGGGTCACTCTTGTCCCCTGAACTCTTGGATTTTATGGTAAATTGTATGCGACAAGAAGATTCCAGAGAGCGCCGCAGTGGCAGGAGCCTCCGACTCATCAAACAATGTAGAACCTATGTGATTAAGTCAGCAGAATCAGACCTTGCTAACAGTTCTTCAGGTCTAATTCCAATTACATCGCGCAGCGCTGGGAAGACGCCCGGCAGATATGTCGAGAAAGCTTTTCAGACGACGAGAACCGATATCTCGACGAGATTAAAGATTGCGATGAGTTCCAGATCAGCTTGACTGCCGTTTCGGCGCATCTGGACAGGGACGAGCAGTCAAAACTCTTGTATCAGCTGAAGAATACTTTGCGATCCTTGGAGAACTTTGTTGCTCTTCTTGCAGTCACTATTGGCAGGACTCCACTCGATGCCTGCCTAATCTGGGGCTTGCTGAGCTTGTTGATACAGGTATGTGCACTGCAATCACAACTAGGCCCGTTAGCAAATTGACCTGACATTCCCTCATCGCATAGGCTGCGGCAAGAATGCCAACTGTGCTGACGGAAACGATCGATATGCTGAACAATCTCGGGCATGACCTCGAAGTGCTGCAGATTCTGGAACGGTCCTTTGCCGACAATCCCACAATGAGAGACGACCTCATCGCGATATTTGTCGATATAATCACGTTCTGGGTGAAGATCATCCACTTTCTACGTCGGAATCAACAAGGTTGGATGTATTGACGATAGATTCAGGGCTAAGCTGACAAAAGCACTAGAAACGTCTATCAAGCTTTATTGGTCTGCAGTGCAGAAGGACTGGGAGGCCACGAGCAAGAAAATCCGGACCCGATCATCACAGATAAAGGAGAAAGCGGATGCTCTAGCAGCTACTTCGATGCAGCCTGCCGCTCTACTAGAGAAGATTGAGCGCCTCAACGAGTTACTGATCAGCCAAAGACCTGGTACCGAAGACACACAGCAGAGCATCTTCCCCTGCCATAACATACCGTATCTGCAGAACTCTCACTTCAAACAGCGAGATGCAGAGATCCGTGAGATTAGTCTTCATCTTGCCCACGACGAGACGGCCCCTTCGTTCAAGAGTTTCGCCATTTGGGGGCCTGGAGGCGTCGGAAAGACCCAAGTGGCCCTTGAATACTGCTATCAGGAGCTCGGGCGACAAATCGACCTGATCATGTGGATTGACTGTGAGACCGGCCTCTCAACATCCAAAAGCTTCTCGTCTCTCGCTAAGATGTTGCAACTCAACGGGGCCGAAAACGACACCGATCCGGACAATGCACGCCATTTGATACTCGACTGGCTCCGCAAAACCAGTACGGCAGTTGGTTGAATCCACACTGTTCGGAACCGGCGCTGACTTTCATTTCTAGACATATCCTGGCTCATGGTTCTCGATAACATAGAAGATACGAAGCTAGCTTGGGATTGCTGGCCTCACGCGCCCCACGGTTCGATACTCGTAACCTCCAGGACCGTCATCAACGTAAACGACCCAACCGCCGCCGGCATGGAGATCAAAACCTTCAATACCGCAAAGGGCGGCTCGATTCTCCTACACCTCGTCAATCGATACCCGTACTCTGACGACGAGAAGCACGCCGCAGAAGAACTCTCGCACGAGCTTGGTGGTCTGGGGCTTGCGCTGACCGTCATGGCAGCGCAGATAATCAGCCGACAGAAGAGCATCCGCGCCTTTCTCAAGTTCTACCAACAACATGCTTTACAGCTCCATCGAGAGACGCGAGGGCTCGGGATGTCTTACAAGGCCTCGCTTCGGACTTGCTGGATCAGTACGTTCGAAAGCTTAGGCCCTGAATCGACGACTCTGCTGAGCATCATTGCTTTTATTGCCCCTATTGAGACCTCAGAAGAGCTCTTTCAGCCCTCGGATACATCGGATATGGAAGAGCGGCTATTACTGTGCGCAGATGAATTCACGTGAGTACCTATGTCCGATGTCGAACTTTGCAAAACACCAAGGTAAAAACGCTAACTCTGCGCCGCGAGTTATGATAATGCCATGCAAGAGCTGCTTTCCGCATCCCTCGTCCATCGCGCAGCAGGTGCCAACTCCATCAGTATCCACCGCCTCATCCAGCGTGAATTCCGAAACTTCATGTCCATAGATCAACTCTACTCCTCGTTTCTGGACAGTGCAACACTGCTCCACAAAGCGTTCCCGAAGCAAATCAACGGGAACAGCCTCAGGAATGAGTCTGTTCAATGTAAGAAGTACATCGAACACGCCCTCTTCCTGTGTCGTCAGTGGCAGACATACAAGTTCAAGCCACGTACACCAGGCGATTTTCTCACTTTCACACGACTCATGACAAACTGCGGCTGGTAAGTGGGCACGAACAAGAACCCGCCAACCCCAATGCCTTCTTTGTGCAATGCTAAGAGAGACCCAAGGCACCTCCTAGAAGAAGGCATGTGGAGCGAGGAAATCGAACTAATGCAAACCGCCCTGCACGTCTGCGAAGACAAATCCGGGCTCGAATACGCACACCTCTGCAACACGTACGGCCACCTCGAAGTCGAGCGCGCAAACGCCTCCAAAGGCCTCGAGTATCTCGAGACATCCCGCAAGATCCGTGAGACCTTGCTCGACCCCATGCACCCAGAGCTCGCGAACACGTACAACAACATCGGCAACGCCGTGCTGCAGGAGTACGAGACGCCCGAGGCCGTGCCCAGGGCCATCGAGCTGTACTCGCGGTCTGTCAAGATCAACGATGCGCCGTCGTCGGCGTTCATATGGCATCTTAATCTGAGCAGGGCGACGAGGTTAGCGGGGGATTATGCTCGGGCGAGGTTCCATGCTGCGAAGTCGAGGGAGTGTGTGGATGAGATGTTTGAGCCGGATACACACTGGGATGCGACGTGAGTTTTCAGGCTTCTATGGATGTCAACCAAGGGTATCATAATACTAACACCGTAACCACAGAACCAAAGTCCACCTAGCCAACATCCTCTTCGACGAAGGCCTCATCCCCGAAGCCGAAGCCCTCTGGACCTCCGCCTTCAAAGCCTTCCAAAAGACAAGCGAGACCCGCGCCGCCACAGTCGCCGTCCAGCTCAAACTAGCCCACGTCACAATGCTAAAAGGCGACCACAAACAAGCCGTGTACGTACCCGTACCCGTACCTCCCCCTCCCTTCCCACTTTTTCTACAACTCCCCCCCCAATTAAACTCACACACGAAAACAGCATCATGCTCGAGCGCCTCCTCACAATCGCCCAACTTCGCCTCCCCCTACTCGGCAACAACGGCGAGATCGCCCGGGTGACGCGCCGGCTCGCACAGGCGGTCAGGCTGTGCGGCGACACGGTCAAGGCGGAGCAACTCCGTGAGCGGGCCGAGCGTATGAGGCTGGAGATTCAGAAGGGGAGGAAGTATCAGCTGCCGGATGAGGATCAGTCGTACAACATTCTTGTTTTTAGCGAGTTTTGGTGAGCTGGAAAGGTGGTGTTGTTGGGGGCTGTGTTTTGGGGGAGCAGCGGGGGAGAGGGGTTGCGAGAGGGTTTGTTTATATGTATATGGTGTTTGGTGAATATTCGTGTTGATAGCGAAATCCTGCATGTGAGGATTGAAGATTGTGGGCAGGGGCGTTAGAGCTTGCTTTAGATCTGATATTCTTTCCCATCCAATCATAGGCTGTGTGTGCTATTGTTACTCATGTCAGTCCAGAAGTTAGACTTTCTACTAACAAAAGAGATCAGTATGAGACCTGTATCGAGCAAGATCTTACCTATGGAAAAGAACAAGACTGTGTAACACCCAATTCTTGGATTATAACTCCTTTGATATACATAGTCATTTACCTTTCTTATTTCTAGACTTATCCTACCATCTACCATAAGCTTGGCAATAGAAGGATAGGTCTAGAATTATCGTAATACAAATCACATACCACTACTTTCTATATATATATATATATACCTCAAAGATGAAACAACTAGAAGAGAGATTATAAGTAAGAAAGACAACAATTCATAGTAACACATTTCATTTTCATTTCACTCACCTAGTCTTCTATATAACCCCCAATGTAGGTAGGTGTAACGCCCGAGGCAAAGCTAACTAACAACACAACCTTCCAATATCAAGACTGAGAGGCCCAGTCGAAATTCTCCCATCTAAACTGGCAACCAGATGCAGTTTTGAGTAGCAGTAGTAGGTACTTCAACGAGGCGAAGATTGCCACCGCCGTCGCCGCCGTCGCAGCAGCAGCAGCAGTCAGACATATATCCAGGTGTCTCCAGCCATATAGACTTGTCCCAAAAAAACTCCGTTGATATCAACAGATGCGTGCAAACATATCGCCGTGCCATGCCATGCCATTACCATAAACCACATGTACCAAGTTCAGGCCCCTTTACGAGTCAATCAAATCCTCAACCCAGCCATCCAAATCAACAACTCTAAACCTATCGCCCCACTGAGCCCTCCATGCCGAATCCAGATACGCGCGATTAATTCCGTCGCGCCAACTCATCAGCTCAACGCTCCACCCTTTCTTCAGCGCGCGCTCCACCATCTTCAAGAAGCCTTGGGAATACTCTGCGACCGCCGCGTCGCCGGTGGCAAGCACCATGGTGCCTGGCTCGTCTGCATCGACAACTGATTCGAGCATCTTCAGGTGCAAGATCTCGTCGACGCCCTGCTCGACCCATTTCTGAGTCGGCGGTGTCTCGACGGAGGTGGCGGCGTGCCGAGCAGGTGTGCTAGGACCAGTAGCTGCAAAGGCCGTTTCAGACGCTTTCGTGCTGCTGCCCGGCACACTTGTGCATGCGTATCCGCCACCGTACAGGGTGCCTCCGTTTCCGAAGCCAGAGTCGCGTTGGGAATAGAACTGCGACTTCTGTTTCTTGGAGAGGTCTTTGTCCTTGTACACCTGTTCAAGAATGTTCGTTTCATAGCCGACCGCCTTGGCCATGTCAAAAGCTGGGAGGTTGGGATATGAACCGGCGAGCACACGTTTGGCGACTGGGCGGCGGCGCTCCATGAGTAAAACGAGGCTATCAAAGGAGATTTCAAGCCCTTTGACCTGTCTGCCGTACGGAAGACCGAAGGAGCGGCGGATGTATTCCTTGAAGCCAATAAAGATATTGGAGGCATCGACAAAGACATGAATGCCTTTGACGGTGCTGGTATGGGTAGAGAGTTGAGCTGGTGAGACTAACCACTTCTTATCCATGGGAAATTGCTTGATAAGTTCGAGAAAGAAGTGCATGTGGCGATCTTCGCCATGTCGCATGGTAATCGAGGGTCCTACCACTGCCCTTTCGGGGGAAGGCTGGATCTTTCGGGGTAGGGATACCGGAGGGGCAAGTTTCGTAACACGAGGTCCGTTTGGAGTTCGGTATTGTGGTTGAGGTGGTGGTGTCATCTGCGGATTTGTCTGAACAGAATACTGTAGCGCCTGACCAGGGCCATTTTGCTGATACACATTCGCGTATGAAGGGAACGCCGGGTTTGCTGTCTGAGATAACAAAGGAGAATCGTCATATTGGGCAATCGTAAAAGGAGGAAACTTCGGCTTAGGCGTCACATTCTTGGTGTTCAAAATTTGTGACCTAGACACCGGTTGTGACTGTGGTACTGCAACATCTCCTATAATCATATCCTGCTCTCTCTTCGCAGGCGTGTATCCGTTTGCAGCTGCTACGTCTTCAGGTGTCATAGAATCAGTAAGCTTCAACTGCGTGTCTTTCTTCTTCAGTTTTTGTGAATTCGTTGCTGCGACCTCTCCGGGAGTCATATGCTCCGTAAGGTTTAGCACCTTCAAAGCAGGGCCCTTACTCTCTGGATTGACAAACTTAGATCGCAAAGGATACCGATTCGTAGGCGTCGGAGTGACAGGCTCTTGCACAATCGGATGCACACTCGCCTTTCCCGCCGGCGTTTTCTTCTTCTTGCCTTTCGCAGTGTCAGGCTCCGCATCACTCACAGCTTTCGCATGAGCTTGCTTAGCTTGAGCTTCAGCCCGACTTTTCTTCTGAATTCTCTTGAGAGCCTTACGGGCTCGCTTAGCTGCTTTTCTCTGCTCTTTCGTCGCTTTCTTGCCTTTACTAGTCGGGGTGGTCGAGTCTTTGACGTCATCTGCGCTCTCGCCAGTGTCTTCGGGAGCCTCAGACTCGGTCGTATCTCCAGTGTGATAATCAAAGACATCATCCGTATCCGTCCAGGTGACGTGGTCCGCCTTGTGCCGGGGTTCGTGATACACCGCTCCGTCAGACGTATAATCCTTGCTGCGTTCAATCGTAACGACCCGCTCGTCAGACGAACTATCCTGTACGAGCTTCGGTCTCTTAGGTACCTTAGCTGCGAAGTCTTTCTGTTCAACTTCAGTATCAGGTGCATCAATCCGCACTCCACGTCGCGGCTGAGGAGAAGGAGAGGGCGACAGCGACGGCGGCCGTACCCGAGGCGGAGGCGCTGCAGGATCTACGCCGAGATACTCCCAAAGCTTCGTGAAGTCACCCAAGCCCTGGGATTGTGCTCTGGTAGCTCTAGATCTGTTCGTGTCTGCATCCACGATGCCATTGTGAGCTTCCTTCAGCGCTTCGTCGCTTGGTACAGGTACGTCATTATTCGGTGGCGGCGAGGAAAGGTTGTGGAGGAGGTCGTAGACAGGACCAAAGTCCCACGCCCTGGCGTTTTCAGAGACTAGCGAGGGCATGTAATTGTTTCGCGGGGTGGTAAGTATATATGTGTATTTTTGAAAGGTTCAATTCAGTGATTTGAGCGGTTCGTCTGTAATACTTGAAACTGGGACGGATTAGCATTGTCATGATGAGAAGGAAGGCTGGTAACACTACGAGCGAACCTAAAGAGAGTCATAAGTGGGCTGCAGCTTTCAGTCGTATTTTCATCCTCAGTCTTGTGAAGTGAAAGAAGAGGCTGGTGGGAAGTCAAGGTAAGGCACAGAGACAGAGCGCACAGTCAACGGTAGGTAGTGGTGTCATACAACCAAGGGCCCAGCTTGAGGCGGTGGCAGTACCCAAGCTAGCTGTTTATAGTTTAGCTTAAACGGTCCACACGCCACATGAGTACCAACAGCATCTGATTGAAGCAGAAGCATAACCACACTGCATAATAGCCAGTAAACACACCGCTGCAAACATCAACCAGCCAGCCAAACCAACCCAGGCCATCTGACTCTCTCCCCTTGCACATCCCCTATTCACCCATACATTCACAATGCCTAAACCATAATCATCTGTCCCATTACCCCACATCTACCCCACCATATGCCAGATTTTGCAGTCATCAGGGAGTGTATTTGAGCGGGTGGTCTATCACTACTATTCACAACATAATGTCTGCAGATTTTTGGGCCGGCTACATAAGCGGGGCCATAGGCATTCTCATCGGCAACCCTCTCGACCTCATAAAGACCCGTTTGCAAGCAGGCCAGCCGACGCCTGTATCGCCGCCATCAGGTCCATCAGGACCTGTGTCAGGACAAGTCACATGGCGGACGCAATTCGACAGAGCAGGGACATTAGTACGAGGTACGAGCATGTATATTGCCGACTCCCTTGATATTCCATCAACAAGCGTAGATTGTGTTCTTATATTTCTCGTTCTGTGTACACAGGAGCATCAGCACCAATCATTGGCTACGGCGCCCTCAACGCGCTTCTATTTGTGTCCTACAACCGCACACTATCCGTCCTGACATCGACACCATACCCACCAGTAGCAGCACCGTCCGCGGAACCAGCCCAGCTACCAGCGCTATGGAAGATCTACACTGCCGGCTGCGTCGCCGGATTCGCAACCTTCGTCGTCTCTGCGCCAACCGAGCTGATCAAATGCCGTGCCCAGGTGCTCTCCTCGCCCAACACAGGGGGCAACAGCACCGGCATCTCAACAACGACTCCACCCAGCAGCTACGCCATAACCCGCGCCATCCTCCGCACACACGGAATCCGCGGCCTCTACCACGGCGGTCAAATCACCTCCCTCCGTGACGCTATCGGATACGGCTTCTACTTCCTGTCCTACGAGTACACCCGCTCTGCTCTATCCTCGCCTACTACTGACACCCCCCGGATGGAAGGCTTGAAAGTGCTGCTTTGCGGTGGGTTTGCTGGGATAGTGACGTGGGCGAGCATTTTCCCGTTGGATGTGATCAAGACGAGAGTGCAGACGCAGGTGATGATGGCGGGGGCGGCTACGGGTCCAGTGGATGGCGGCGAGAGAGGGCCGCTGCTTGCTAGGGCGAATCGAAGGAGGATGTCGACGCTGGCGGTGGCCCGGCATGCCTATGAGACGGAAGGCGTGAGGGTGTTTTTCCGCGGTCTGGGAGTCTGTAGTGTTAGGGCTTTTGTTGTCAATGCTGTGCAATGGGCCATGTATGAATGGGTCATGAAGTTGATGAAACAGGACTGAGACTGGACGGACCAGGAACAAGAAATAGAGAAAACAACGATAGAGCGGACACTCGCCAGTCCATCGCACATATACAGTGGAATAATAGCACCTCCTGTACACATCAGTTTCGCTGTCAAGTCATACTTGACAGCCAAAGGTGATCGCGCAACGTATAACGAGCGTAAAGGGATCAGACCAAAAAGAGTGGTATCTGCACACGCAACGTAATGCACACTGACTCACCTTGCAAATACCTCACATCACATAACGGCCCCTACGCTCCTGTAGAATAAATCACCCGACCCGTGCCATTTGGTCCACGCACCAGACGTCGTCCGTATATCCATCATTCCATTTTCTCAATCTGTCCCTAGCGTCCTATTACAAAGCAAAGAAATTTTGCAGTCCAACCAACGATCCCGCCTGCGACATGCAAGAGCATTTCGTTCGATCTCCCGTACTTTAGCCAGATGCTTACAATCCATTTCGTGTCTAGTTCCACCGTGCACTACGCGAAAGCGATAGCTTTTGGGTGATGATAGCGCCATTGAGACCACCCATTCATGCCAGAGGCCCAAAGGAGATCCACTCTTTACGACTTTGCAGTCGGATACGCTAAGCGATTCTTGAGATGAAAACAGGTTTTAGGAAAGGAAATAAAGAAAATCCAACAAAGCGCTTTTGAAATCAGACATTGTGGACGACAAGGTCCAGTCAATAATTGGCGGCCTGGGTGGCTCTGAAGCATTCGGAAAATGCCCAGAATCTCGACCGAGCGAGCTAGCACAGAACGTGGGTCTCACATAATCTGATCCTGAGTAAGGCCAGCGGTTGACTCGGTGCCTTCCATGGCGTCACCGTTACCAGCAACATTGCTGTAGCGAACGAACGAAAGACCAAGAGGGCGACCACCGTACTGGTATCCGGTGAATTTGGCTATTGTGACGAATTAGCCTCGCAACATCTCTTTCTGACAGGGGGATTTTCTTACAGATGGCGGTTTCAGCATTCTCCGTGGAATCGAACTCCACTACACCGGTGCCACGTGAGCGACCACTGCCCTCGTACTGGATTTCAGCGCGCTCGACTTTGCCGATCGTAGTGAATAGTTCAACCAGGTCCTCGTTGCTGGTAGACCAAGGAAGCTGCAAGAAATTAGTCTGTATCAAATAAAAGAGCCATGATGATGCCTCTTACATTTCGGACGAAGATAAGCGGGCCAGGCTCTCCGTTGGGGCCAGCGAAGTCAGTGAAAGGGTTCGGTGGGTTGGAAGGTCCTGCACCGTAGCTAGAACCACCAGGAGCACCCCCGTAGCCACCAGCACCACCTCCGTAGCCGCCACGGCCTCCACCAAAGCCCGACCCACCGTCGTAACCTCCACGGCCTCCTCCGAAGCCTCCACGGCCGCCAAAGCCACCGCGGCCCCCTCCGAAACCTCCGCCGAAACCTCCACGGGCACCAAAGCCTCCGCGGCCGCCAAAGCCACCGCCAGAGCCGGCAAATCGATCTTCTCGAACCTCGAGTTGTCTACCTTGCCAATCGTAGCCATTGAACTGAGCAATCGCTGCTTGGGCGTCCTCGACAGTCTCAAATGCGACGATACCAGTTCCCTTTGGACGGCCGTCGGGCGTCATATGGACGTCGGCTCGAATAACGCCTCCGGTGTTTGCTAAAAGAAAACATGGTCAGACATGATCAGAGAGCCTGGATAGGCCACAATACACTCACCTGCCTGGCGAAACAGGTCTTTCAGGTCTTGCCACCCAGCATTGTAGGGAAGCTAGGCAATGTTAGTTCGTGTTCAAAGCTATGAGTTCAACTGTGATGGCAATGTGTCCTACGTTGGAGATGTAGATCTGGCGAGCGCCACCAGGTGGGCCACCGCTAGGAGGGCCTCCATAGCCACCGCCTCCACCTCCGTAGCCGCCACGGCCCATTCCACCGTCCATACCACCGCGGCTAGGTGCAGAAAAGCGAGGCTCTGGCTCGCGGTCCTAATTCAACAATGTCAATACGTGATATGAACTACAAGTCGATTGAAATGTGGGCTGACCTCGCGAACGTAGACTAGACGCCCCATCAAGTTCTGGTTCGACAAAGTGTTGACCGCCTGTTGCGCTTGGTCACGAGTAGCATACTCGACAATACTGAGCAATATTCATTAGCAAAGGCATTACGCAAGGACGATTGTCATAAACTTACCCACATCCCTATAACACCCACGGACAGAGTCCAATCCGTCAACCAATATTCTCAAATGTACGCAAACCAAGGAACCAATTGCATCAGCAGCCCACCTTAGACATTCCATTCGGAAGAAGTAGCACATCGGCGTAGATGACTTCGCCAGCTACATACTACAATCAGCAGATATTACGGTCCACTTAACAATCGACTGACCTTGGCGCATGAAGTCTTTGAGATGATGCCATTTGACATCATAACTCAAGTTTCCGACATAGACACGACGGTCCTGTTGAGAGTTCTCTTTGACGTTGGCCATCATATTGTCCTTGCTGGCTGGTCCACTAGCACCACTAGACCCAGCCCGGTATGAGTTCGAATTGTGGCCTCCACCTGCACCTCCAGGGGAACGACGGCGAGTCTCACGGGATCTGTCGCGAGGAGAGTAGGAGCGGCGTTCGCGACGTGGGGAACGAGATCGGCCTCGTGGAGATCGGTTACGCTGTGAGTAATTAACGTCGTGGTCTTCCTGCATGGTTGAGTTGAAATGGCGTGCGATTGCGGATGTGGAGGTGATGGAAATGAGTAGTCGTGGTTGACTGCAAAAGCTGCAGAGATGCAAGGCTGAAGTTCTGCGTGCAAAGGTTCGCTAGACCAAGGATAGATTGATGCCTGAGGCAACAGGAACTCCGCTTGAGACAAACAGCTCGCGCCACCAGTATCGCAGGGCATAGCCGGGTGAAAGTGGGGCATGGAACAGGGAGGAGTAATTGTACTTACTTCGCGTGGGCGATAAGAGTCTCCGGAGGAATCTATTGTGAAAAGCTCGGTGAGTATAATAAAGCAAGATGCGTTGGGAAGAGTAATGGAGGGGAAGTCGGATGGGAAAAATCAAAAGTTGTCAGGGCTGAAAGACAGCGGGTGGACAAGACGGAGATCAAATCGGCTTGGGCACAGCAGGTTGTAGAGGAACTAGCCTAGCCGTAGCTGACTGGTGCGGTGGGGGGAGACAGGAAACAGACAGAAGGCAAAAAGGGCAGACAAAGGACGGGCGCGGCGGGTGCACGTCTGATCTGATGCAGAGGGAGGTGGGATGATGAGGTGGAAGTGGAGATTTGAACAGGAGGCGCTTACCCATTGCAGTGGAAGACGAGTGGTCGATTTCGGGGGGTGGAGGTAAGGGGTGTGTCTGTGTGTGTGTCTGTGTGTGTGTGTGTATGTGTGTATGTGGGCGTGTGTGTATGCGTGTGCGTATGCGTGCGCGTGGGTGGGTTGGTGTGTGTGTGTGTGTGTGTGTGTGTGTGTAGGTAGGTAGGTTTCAGCAAGCCGTCTGGTCTGCAAAAAGTAGTAGTCGTCAGTAGTAGTCGCTTCAGCTTCTTTGTTGCGTAGGAGTAGTGACAGGCTGACTGGCTGGCTAGTACTCACCTCGACAGGGATGGATGCGCTCTTCAATCGTTGCTGTGAAGGCTCAGACCTGTCAGCGATCAAGTCGCGAAAAAAGAGGTCGCTACTGCGGAGACGCTGGCAGAGACACGAGGGACATACTAAAGCGAGGTAATTGATTGTGATCGCTGGTTACAAGTCCTCGCGTATCAGCAAGTCCGAAGTGCCCGTCAACTACGATAAGTTAGAAGCTTGTCTGACAATCAGGCATCCAGCTGTGGTCCTGTTAGGAAACGTCCGAGGAATCCTGATGCGAGCATGAAGAAATCCCTGGTTCGCGAACGGTATCGAGGTAGGCGTATGCGGGTTACGCCAAGAGTGCGACTGCGTGTCACAACTGCAGGTGGTAAAGGATCGTGTTTGATGACAAAACGATATCCATGACAGCCCGCCGGCTGCACCAATGAAGATAGTCGCTATGCGGGCCGAGAAGGGCAACCGGCTCGGTGTGCGTGTATCAAGCAGCTTGTGTGAAAAGATACTGCAGCAAGCTACACTTGAAGAAGGTTGAAACAGGATTCAAATCGTCCAGGTCGAAGGGATTGGCCTTGAATCCCATGATTGTGTCCGGGGTTGGATGTGGGGAAAAGAAAAATAACTTACGCGGAAGAGAGCGGTGCAAAATCTCGAATGCAGTCAGGCAAACGGAAAATAGCTTGATGGCTTGCTTCTTGGGCGATTGAAACAAAGGTTCAACCAAGTGTGAGATTTGCGGGAAAAGAAGTGTGTGATTGATTGTGTGCAGCGGTGACGGAGGGTGGTGGTGGTGGTGGTGGTAGTGGTAGTGGTAGTAAGGCAAGGTAGGATTAGTAGCAGTGAGGTAGTAAGTAGGTAATTAGTGCAGCTGCCTAATACCTGTGAGTGGTGGTGGAGTTTGGTTTTTTTCTTTCGGGAAGGCGCGTCAACATGTCGCTGAACCCGTGAAGTTGTGAAGCGACAAAAAGACCCCGAGAGCGCGAGAAAGCCAAGCGCGGTCAGTGGTCCAAGCTTCTCTTCCGCCGGTTGATGCTTCCTTCTCAGGAGTGGTGCTTCATGCTTCCTTCCTCTTTGCCTTATCATCGTCTTGGGCCTCCTCGTGTTCTCTCTCACCTGTCAACATCACTCCAGAAGAAACAGTCACCATTATCATAATTACATCCATACTTCAAGAACTCTTTAGCGAACTTGAACACATTACCCCACCGAGCACGAGACGAGTATCTTACTGTCTTTGAGAGTTTAGTTGTAAATGCAAAAGTAAAAAAGTACTCTCAGCTCGGTCCAAGCCCCACCACTACTAGCATCCAACTTGTAAACTTGCCTGTAAGCTGCCGGCATGGTGTTGCGCCGGCGCATCCTCTCTGCAGCTGGTGTGCATGTCACATATGCCTCTACCTCTTCTTCCATCTAGTCGTCCTGCATTCATGCCAGCCAAGCCATCACATCCTCAGTGAGAACATGGAAATTGATATATGCACACTGTCCGTCCCTTTGATATCTTGACCTTCCCAGAGCCAAAACCGCGAGGTCTGCTCAGCAGTCCACCATGTCACACGCAACAGTAATGGAATAGTATATAATACAAGCCCACTTCGTTTCGAGCACCTCAATGTCCAAGCGGAGCAGTGCTGCTGCAAGGTCTTTCTGAGTTGCAGGTGGCCCAAAGCCATGCCAGATGTGTACAGAACAAACACATCGGCGGCCAAAATCGCCCAGGCATCGCATTTGGATGTACTATTATTATGCACCTGCAAAGAGTGACTTGCTCGTCACCATGATCCCGGTCTCTGTTGCATTCCCGCTTCCCCAAAATGTCCTTCTACGCTGTTGCAATGCCTTTCTTTTTCATCATCACTGACTGTTGCCTCGCCCATCATGCTGGAACGCTCTGCTTCATGTCAGTCTAGGTGTAAACTATCAATTACCCTTGTAAGGTTTTGTGCTCCACCACATGAAGCTAGCTGTATCACTTAGCGCCGTCGACCTGAGGACAATGTTGGTCAGTTCCAGAGAATGCTATGAACAGCTTTATCAATTACAAGCCGGTGCATCGCTCCTTGACGTCTCGTCGCCACTATCATACCGTGCTCGCTGTTCGACTTCGCAGCAGCTCCTTCGTGCAATTAACCAAACATCTGATGCATTTCAAGCCTCTTGCCAATGCGCATACTCTTGAGCAGGGACTACCTGAGGGTTCATAGAACGGTCTGAAGCGACAAGAGCAGGAAAAACACTTTTCCTCGACGTTCATCTTTCCGGCTGACGTTGTCAAGGGTCTGTTGGGCTTCGTATTCTCCAGTGGTACCATGAGTCAGCTGCGCGAGTGTATCTCGGAGACTCGACCGACATGACCGAGTCTATCCCGAGCCTCAACCGAATGTATAGCGTGTGGGACGAAAAAGTCTCCATGATTGGTCAAGATAAGACTTGCTTGGTGGGTTTCTGATTTCAGACTCCATCAAAGACCGAAACATCACCGGAAGGCTTTGCTTCATCCACAGCAAAAGAGCGCAAAGTGTTGGAAAATGCTGAACTTCGCTCGGAGAAATTTCGCGGAAAGCGTTTCGAAGATGAATATATGTACCACAGTTCAAGATGACGACCCAGAAGATTTTCTTCAATTTTCATCCTACTATGATTCGCGAATATGCTTGGAGGTACCAGTCTTCATATTGGCAATCGTGCCGCAGAGCGTAGTGCCGTAATTGATGTCCAATCCCAAGCCGCGAGAAACCATATGATACCATCGAACGAACCGTACGGAGAAGATCTTATCAACCTCCCTTCGCGAACGCTTTCGCAAAATGCTCGACTCGACGAATATACCAAGGAGACAGTCGATGGCGTAATGACCGACGTGCGGTCCAACAAGGCTGGAGACATCGAGACGTGGGAGCTAGTGACTTGGAAGATAGAGGATCCAGAGAACCCGAAGACGTGGTCAAAAGCAAGGAAGTGGTACATTACCATGGTGATCGCTCTGACTTGCTTTGTTGTTGCTTTCAACAGTGCGGTGGTTACAGCAGATATAGCTGGAGTCTCGGAAACCTTCACTGTCTCCGAAGAGGTCGCTCTTCTCACTATCACGCTGTTCGTAGTCGGTTTTGGTGTGGGTAAGTCGATGCATTATGATCGCGTCAAACACTGCTGATCAATCAGGTCCAATGGTATTTGCGCCATTCTCTGAGATCTTTGGAAGGAAACCAGTATATGTGGTTACGCTTTTGATCGCTGTCGTCTTCATCATTCCCGGAGCTGTTGCACCAAATATTGAGACGTTGCTAGTCGCACGAGCCATCGATGGTATCGCATTCAGTGCTCCCATGACCCTTGTTGGGGGAAGTCTCGCCGACATCTGGAAAACCGAAGAACGTGGTGTGCCAATGGCTGCTTTCAGCGCAGCACCTTTCATTGGACCTGCCATAGGTCCTTTAGTTGGAGGTTACCTTTCAGATGCAAAGGGTTGGCGATGGCTTTACTGGATCCAGCTCATCCTCTCCGGGGTAGTCTGGTGTTTGATAACATTCACTGTCCCCGAGACTTATGCCCCAGCACTGCTCAAGAAGCGAGCAGCAAAACTTCGAAAAGAGACCGGCGACGAGAAGCATGTGACGGAGCAAGATATCGATAAGCGGCCAATTGGTGCTCGTTTGAAGATTTTCTTACTGCGGCCATTCCAACTCTTATTTCAGGAGCTCATTGTGTTCCTTATTTCCCTATACATGTCGGTTTTGTACGGCCTGTTGTACATGTTCTTCATCGCGTAAGTCGGACTTTATGCTCACTGTAATATCAATGACTGCTGACCACCCAATTGCAGATACCCGATCATATACCAGCAGCATAAAGGTTACACCGCTGGCAAGACAGGATTAATGTTCATTCCTCTTGCAGTCGGTGTGGTTGTCAGTGCCGCTTGTGCGCCGTTTGTGAACAAAAATTATCTCAAAGTGGCAGCCAAATACAATGGACGTCCGCCTGCAGAAGTGCGCCTCATCCCAATGATGTTCTCATGCTGGTTCATTCCGGTTGGCATGTTCATCTTCGCGTGGTCTTCATATCCGCAATTTTCATGGGCAGGTCCAGCCATGGGTGGTTTCTCGGTGGGCTTCGGCTTCATATTCCTCTATAATTCAGGTGCGTACGAGATTTTTTTCCGGCGTTATCATGCTAATATTTCGGTTGTCAGCAAACAACTACCTTGTCGATTCCTACCAACATCAGGCGGCGTCTGCACTAGCCGCCAAAACTTGCATACGTAGTTTCTGGGGCGCAGCAGTAGTGCTGTTCACAATCCAGATGTAAGCGACCTAAATCGTGCTCTTACGATCGGCACACATCTAATCGTCTTCAGGTACGATCGCATGGGTGATCAGTGGGCCAGTTCTCTTCTAGCGTTTATAGCTCTGGCATGTTGTGCGATCCCGTTTATCTTCTACTACAAAGGAGCTGCGATTCGCAAACATTCAAAGTATGCTTACAGTGGTGACGATGAGGAGAGTTTCGAGTCTGCCAATAAAGAGGTTGATAGTTCTGGCTCCTCGCAGTTTTAACAGGAGAAGCAGGACGTTTAAATGGGCTTCCCTTTGCAATCGCGCCGACAAGCGACGTTTCTGGAGCTTTTATATCAAGGCAGTATGCCTTCTTGTTCTTTGTAATTGATGTTCCGCGCCGTTTATGGCATACGCATTGGGACCGGCGTAGATGATTGAGATACTTTGGCATTTAGATGGTAGCGTGTAATGATATGGGAAGAAAGCATAGAAGAAAGCATGGAGAACAGAGTTGAAGTAACGTTCACCGCGTCTTGCTGTGGGTCCAAATTAGTAAAGAGGGACGACCCGCCGGGAGCTCGAAATCGCCGCGAGGATCAGTCAACGGACTTTCGCAGACTTTCCAGGTTGAACGCTTTCTCCTCCCGTCTGCGATCAGCACCAGACCGTTGTGATGTTTGTGTACCAGGAGTTCTCTGTTCAACATGATTTGACGGTGGTTCCTGGTGGTTCCTGAGCAATGAGAGGAGACAGCGTCGGGGAATTTAGGACTGAAACTATCACAATTGCCCGCTGCGTCAAACAAGTCATACTTTACGATGAATCCATGGAAAGATTGACAACTCGTAGATATGTAGGTATCCAAAGAAGATATTACAGGAGCTTTGGGCATCGTAGCTTTAGCAAGCCTTCCTGTTTGCTACTGTAGCATATCTTGTAAGCACCTAAACAGTTATCAGAGAAGCGACTCATTTCACGTCGACTGCGCAGAGATTCTTTGATATGCGAAAAAGCTTGTAAGTAGCGTACTGTGGACCAGGACCAGAATCTGTAACAGCGTAGAGATCCTGTAACAAAGTGGACCGAGGCACCTCTTTACAACCAGCACAGCCCCCGCAATGGTGAAGCCATAGTACGTGACTTATACGAGGACGATAGGGAATTGTTGATAATCTGAAGAAACAAATGCCATAGCGTGACGAATTGCAATAAATCAAGCTTTTGAATGTGGATCACTGCACCTATGTCACTAATCCTCTCCCAGTAAAGCTGACCGCCAAGACGACCAACCAGCAGTCCCGTATGTCCGTGAGCTGGACGCGCTTGAGCATTTTGACCATCACGTCACATGCGCGCGATGCCTTGCATTGAGATCTTTTGTTCTTGAGAATGGATATGGATACAAACGGAGCTTCACCGTCGCAGTCGCAGCCACCACTATCGCTCCAGGAAACGCCGCGCGCGGACGTTGATGATATCCTCCGGAGGAAAAGGAAAGCTCGCGAATACAAGGTGCGTGTGTAGACTGAGCCTCTTGTGAACTCTTAATATATGCCTCGTGGCGCTAGACATGTTATCAAAAGAACTCTCGGGATCGTTAAAAATATCAGACTGACTTTAGCGCAGGCCTGCTATCCATGTCGACAGCGAAAAGTAAAATGCGACCAAAATGTGCCATGCAAAACATGTATCGGTATGTCAACATGACAGACGCCTGCCCGCCTGATTATACCCTTATCTGACGCGCAAAAACACGCTCTCACAAGTACTAAGATTTGAGCAGTGCGAGAACACCCTGAACTATGCACGTATCATCCGCCGACAGAGACCCATCCGCCCGCGAAACGAGCGCAAATACATCCTCCCTCGAGTGGCGTTGAGTTGCCGAATGGAATCATAGATTACGCTGCTGGCACAGTAACACTGTCAAGAGAAGACTGGGACAGAATATGCGCAAAGCTCATAACGATGGAGAACTCTATGTCGGAGTTGCGAGGGTCTATAAAGAATCTGGGAGATAGAACACCCCCAAGCCAATCACAAGCCATACAGCACCCGGCTCAGCAGGCCATGATGACAGGGGAGAATGGCTCTTCGAACGGAGATCTAGAGTTGAGCCATATTCGAACACAAGGGATACATACGACCAATTCATTGACGGGTGAGACTGTCCACGTCGGAGGTGGGTCAGTGCCTGCTTTGATAATGGCTCTAGGCAGAGGTGATCTTGAAGTCCCTGGTGTTCAGGAGCTTTTGGGGAAGAAGAGCATACTACCACTTTTCGGACTAGACAATGAAAGCGCAACTTATCCCTTCGTGGATCTTTGGGGCTTACCTCATGGCTCCATCATGAAAGCGACCGAGATATCAGGCGCCATTCCTAATGATCAGGATTGCCTCAGCTTGTTCAGGTATCATCGAGAAACTGCTCATATTATCTATCCAGCGCTAGTAGAGATTGACAAATTTGAAGCCGACTTAATGCTGTTCCTTATCAATAGAGCGAACACTCAACAAGGCGATGTCAATGATGGGATCACAGAGCAATCCATTTATGGAAAAAACCTACACTGGATCGGTCTATTCTTTGCTGCCTTGGCATCAGGATGTCAATGCTCATCGATGCCTCGAAAAGAGCGGGACTTGACGTCTCAAGTTTATGTCTGCTGCAGTTTTGAGTGTTTGCGATTTACCAACTTCCTATCTCAGCCTACCATGGAGACGATCCAGACTTTACTGATATTAGGCAATGTCATATCAAATAACATGAATGCTGGTGTCGCATGGTCACTGATGGGGCTGACTGTGCGGCTGTCGCAAAGCATCGGCCTTCATCGCAGGTGTCCTGACACGACTCCTGCGGAAGTCATGAAAGTCCGATGTAGGCTATGGTGGATGACTCTTTGGCAAGACACCCATCTATCGATATCGTACGATCGGCTAGCAGCTTCAGCCATGACCGATGGCTACCCTTTCCCGAGCGACGACATATCGTCGCCAGGTCACCGGTCATATGCTGAATCAATGTACCGGCTCGTCAAGTGTGGCCTGTCCATCTTGGAAGACCGTTCCAAACCGCAAGATTCCGACAGAGCTCTACAAAGAATAACGGATCACCGAAACGAGCTGCAGAGCGTCGTTCTTCAAGCAGCTGACTTTCTAAGAGACTCCAGGAGATGTCGATCGATGCGAGATCAGCTTGAGCATTGGGCCCTATACCTCTACATGTCGTACGTAACATCAGAGCTTTGCCGGCCAGCCCTCAATCCAAGCAACGCCAGACTTGACTTATCAAAAACGCTTCGCAAAACTTGTGTCGACGCACTTACAAATACGGTTGAAGCATTCCTGGGCCTGCAAAATATGACGGCTTTTGCCAGCCGTTCATGGGTTGCCGTGCATCGAGCTCTTAGCTCTTCGCTTCTTCTCACGGTCATTGGTGAAACGCAGCGAAATGAGCGAGCGAAAGCACTGATATCGAACCTCGTCACCATACTTGGTGAAATTATCTCCAAAGTTGACCCCGTTGAGATGTCAGCGCCTATCACAAGATCTATTGCAGCTTTACGAAGGCTGGTAAACCTTCCTGAAGGCCCTATCGTTCCTGTACCAGAGAGCTCCAACACAGGCTCACCTGTGATGGTGCACAATCTGGAAAATATCCAGAACCTACTCAATTTCGACGACCCGACCTACGGGAGCGACAATTCTCTTGCTGGTCTGGATGCAGACCAGAGTCCGTACGCGCTCGTGGACTCTATTATCTGGGGAGGCAATGGAAAGCAAGCAGGTCATCCGCCTGTATGAAACAGCATGTCCTTTCAATACAACAATCTTTGAGAGTCTTGTGCTCCATCCCAACGGTAAGGGTCAGATCAAACCCCGACCCAAAGCTCAGACTCGCACCTTATTGCCGTGCTCAACTTATGGCGCGGCGTATAGAAGTCCGTGATGCTGTCTGAGAAGGACCAAGTCGTCACACTTTACGGAAAGGAAGACATCAGATAACCAAAATCAAAGACCAACACACTTTGTGATTTCCACGTATTTGGTCGTCGGTGTATACATGGTTGATATTCCTGGCTGCCGTTTGAGAGACCACGTGGTCTAGTCCTACAAGTCCGACACGTGTGCGGTACTTCTTACTCGCCTGATTGGAGTGTCTGGCAGTGAATTGCAGTTCATGCGCCTGAATCTATGCGTTTCGTGCTGCAGCTTGTCTGTTGGCTTGTGAACATGAAGCAAACGCAAGGCAATACTCTACCACCCACGCAGCAGTTTAGGCGTGGGCAGTCTGTACCAGAACAGCGATATACATAATCCACGGTAAGATGTCTGCGGAATACGTGCACAGTAACTGTTGCAATCTCATTCGCATATATGAAAGTGAACGTGTAATGACCAGATCCTCCTCTATGGTCCTGTTATCACCAATTGACTTATCCCACGGCCAAACCTTTGTATATACTGTGCTAGCGCTTATGAGTATGGATGCTGGATATCTCGGTAATATAATGAAGCGGAGGGCTGAAGCACCGATGCCTGAATATTTATTCAGAGCTACATATGACGTCGATGTCTGTCTTTAGCTGTCACTCTCGGGTCGAATCTAGCAATCTTAGCAATGTGCCTACCATCCGGAGCTTTAAATCGGACCTCTAGAGGAGACTCCCAAGAACCTACTCAATGCTCATTCTGCGTCTCTACAAGTGTAACAATCATGATCAGATGCTTTAGTTTATTTGCTACTCTTTGCCTCGTAGACTTGTAAATCATATGTCGATATATACCGTTCGACAGCCCGACAAGCCTTGTACTGGTTGCCGTATAGTCGCTGCATGTACTATAATATTGAATGAATCTTTCTGAAATGACACAGGTTAGTACTAGTCACCAGGCCTCTGGCAGTGCAGAGAGGTTTCTGCTAGTCTTGACTTGCGGAAATCTGTTAGTATTCAGATACGCCGTGCTAGGCCCATAGTATGACGAATTGTGTGATCATCTTTGGAGGTATGTAGATATCGCATTCGTTTTGACTCTCGTCATCGGGACTGATCCTGATTGTTTTTAGGTTTAGCGACAAAATTCGAGCAAGTATCCATGGAGATACCGCTGTAACGTGGAGGTGGCGGATGTGTCAAACTTAGAGATCTGGTGTAGATGGGCGTCATAAAAGTTAAGCTACAAAGATGTTGATGTCACAATTTCCAAGTGTACGTCAAATCATCCCCGGGCAGACATTGTTAAGCACCCAGAGCTCTCAACATGGTCACATGAGTGAACGTGCGGACGGTAGGGTACTGCTTCTGAACAATGACTTGGAAGCTGCATGAAAGGTGTACCTAGTGCTGGATATACTCAATCCGTCGCGTCCCTCTTGAATACAGATTCCAACGCGTTAAAAGAGAGAATTATACACCTTTGTCTGAGAATCTCAAGGCTGCAAGAACCCGAGTCGACCTTCCCACACTATCACCTCACCACCACACGCAGCGCGCATTCTTACAACATGAGCACCCCACAAGTCCCTCACAACCAACGCATGCTCGAAGAATACCACCGCACAACAGCAAGACTCAATATGTAAAGACACCTATGACTCCATACCACCACCGCGCCCTGAGCAAGTACCAGCAGGACCACGGTATCGAGCACGAGCACGGTGAAAACACACATTAGCGGCATTGCCTTGACGTAGAGGTTGTGAGAAGGGCAAGAGGACGCGTGTACGCGATATCCCGCAAACTCTGTCTATTAAGATGAGCTATAAGTAGATACACATACTTTATACGGAGATGTTTAGGCTATTGATTGTATATGTGTGCTTACTTCAGCTGTTGACGTCTTCTCTTGCGCGATATCCCCCTGGGCGACTTCCTTTGCTGCTGCTGTAGACTCTATATAGCTGTGTTCTAAGTCAGAAGAAGTTATATCAAGGGGCGAGGTAGGAAGATACACCTATTGGTCAGATCTGTTATGGACTGTGAGATGCAGGACAGTCTTGTGTGATTTGGTCAAGCTGATGCTTGTGAGACGTGAGAGATATGACAAGCAGATACTTGTACTTGTGTACTTTTGTGCGCAGATTCTGACATTGCATCGGTTCGTGCTGAACAGCTGGGATCAAACTATAGACAGTGGTACTAATTATTAGATGCTTGAAGAAGCCCAGAGGATTGGTGGACGGTGTCCCAACGAATGCACTGCTGGTTTTACATCTCGTAGGCATCACTGCTGTTCACACTGTACCCGTTTGCTTTTATACATAGTATGTGAAGGTTTTGGGTGTCCGTATTAGTGCAGAGACTACGTAGCCACTCTAAAATAACTATATATACCCGCGAGCTCCCCTTTAGACGCTCTCTCATCCACAACACCATCTCCAAACCCACCATCGATACTCATCTACAATGAAGTCCTTAACGCCACAAGAGCATCACCTGCTCAAACAAAAGAAAATGCTTCTCAAGATGCTCAAGGATACTCGCCAAACCGAGCAATTAAAGTTCCAGGAAGCCAACGACATGATCGATTATCCCGAAGCGACGCAGCAGGAGATCGAATATGCGGAGAGAGTCATTGACAGGTTTCAAAGATTGAAAAATAGCTGGGACATGCAGATTAAGGGTATCGAGGATGTTATTGCGGAGGAGGAAGGGAAGGGTTTTTGACCATCTGTGGGGAAAAAGGGGTGAGTTCACTTGATGTTTGTTATGAAGTGATATCAGTCCGGGAGACTTACACTGTTTAGCGTGGTGGTTTTTTCCGGTGCTCGCACTTTTGTAAATTAATTTATCCGGATTCTCGATTGTTGTGGGTTATGAGACGGACGTGAGATCTTCTTACTTTACTCATACCACCGCGACATCTTTCTACCAATTCGATCATTCTAAATCGCAATCAAGTCAACTGTTCGTCAATTCCTCTCACTCCTTTGTATCAAGTCTAACATCCCCCACCTTCTTTACCCAGATGTCTCGTCCAAAAACTTCCGTAAGCAATAGCGGTCCAACGCCTGTTCTCGTACGCAACAATGCCGTCACCGCACCCGTTCCCAACGACGTAGTCGATGGCACCGGAGAAGAAGAAGAGCAAGTTCACGACAACGTCCCAAATCCTATGCCCACTAGCACCACTCCTCCACTATTCGCCTTCAGCGAGTTATTCGAGGAAACCGAAGAAACTGAAGAATCCCTGTGCAACTCCCTGTTCATCTTCGCTGACGCGTTGGACACTCTTCAGAACCGGATGGAACTCTTAGGCAAGGCCGTCGACAGACAACAGATGGGTATCAGTTCCTTGGCTCTATTTCCGAATGTGCGCGGCGAGGATGTTGAGGACTGTGCTGATAAGCTGGATCAGTGCGCGGGCTATCTCATTATTCTGACTCAGATTCTGGATGAGTTCGCGGATGCCATGGGTGGTGTTGACAATAAGGAAGAGGAAAACAAATGAGATCAGTGCTTTGGTGAGGAATCGCTTTGCTGGTTGTTTGATGGCTTCACAGAAGTTCTTTGTTCGCTTGGCAGGTCTGCTTGGACTGTTTACGGTGCTGAATACTTCATGCTTGGACCAGGAATCGGCTGAGTCTTTACTATTGCAAGACTTGGTAGTTGTAACTCAGTCGTACGTTACATCAAGTCTCTCTACATGCACTTGACATCGATCTATCATAAGTGTAGGGTGACGTGACTTGACAGATCACCAGCATTGGCCTTTGTATGATCATAGTCCCTTTGTGCACAGTTCTCACTGTGTCAAGCCATAACCTTCCCAAAATGTCTCATAACACTCACTTTAGTTCGCAGCAGCCACAAAAGTAACTACAGAGTTAGACTCTAGTCTTTGATAGACAAATCACCTCCACAGACCACAGAAGGTATCTCGCTCCATCTGCAGGCCATTCTCCACGCAAGTCCCACATAAACTACTTATTAGACCAGAACTGACGCTCTCACTCTCTAGAGTATGTTCCTCTGACAGCCTCCAAGACAATATAAACGCCCTTCTCTATCCAGGCCCAGTCATGATGCTCGACTCTACAGTCTTCATCGTAGCCCAAGGCATATTCTTCAAGCTCTGCCACAATTACATTATAATCCACAACAAGGTAGTGAGGAATGGTTACGGCAAAATTGGAACCTCAGTGGTCCGTCACAATCATCATTCAGCCTGTCTAAAGACGTAAGGAGTGCAGGGAAGAGTACCCAAGGAACAAAATTGAAGAAGGAAAGATTGTAAGGTTAGATGAGAAAAGCCGCTCAAACAAGGTTGAAGACCTATCAATACCGCGTGCAGGCTGGGACGTGGGTTTATATCTATGCTTCATTACATACAAGCCTACTTATAGATCTATGCGTGCTCCTCCTTCTGCCTCCTACCAAGATTGTGTTATAACAATGTATACTCAAGCTCTCGCAGACTACGTCTCACCTGATCTTCATGTAGATCCGTAGTTGGAAGCAATGTCTGACATTCCACTAAGCCTGTTATCTTCGTCGTCTTTTTCTTAAGACGATTAACACGTCTCGTAGCTACTTCGTTGACCCTAGACTTGAAGTGAGCTATATACGATTAGACATCTATCAAGAGTGTTACAGGGCATATCCGATTGTAGAGACGAAAGTGGATGAATATGATGCGTAAGAACACAGCTTTGTGCTCCTAATCTTCCGCTTCCCCGCCTCAGGCTACCAAAGTATACTGCTAGTGTTCATTGAGACACACAGTCAGGATCGTCACCGTCAGGGGAGAGTATAACAGCTCGCTCCCGTACTGAAAAGGTGGCTTATCGGAGAATATAGCCCACGTGACTGAGCAGAGGAGGCTGGAACTATAGGAAGGAGAAGGCCTCGAGTACCACAGACAGTCTCGAGATCGCTTGGAGGGCAAAGTCTAATGCTCGTAAGAACGGTACCACGCTTTGTAAATGCGGAAGTTGTCTTGGCTATCAACATGGAAACGTTCTCGGTAGTTATTTTGTGCACAGGTACGAAGATCCATGGTATGTCTATATTATACGGCCCTCCTATTACGCAAAATTTTCCGTGGTAAGTGCCGGACGAGCTAGATACGGCAGTAAGGGGGCACGCGCAAGGGAGCTCGTAAAGATACGAGCGAACCGAACCGTGGCAGAGAACAAATGCTGGCTTTACATGTAACCAATCTTCGACTGACAAGGTAATGTTTATCCTACACAGTGACGCGAAATGTCGAAATGTCTTATATAGCTCAATGTTTGTGCTCCATAGCCTCATTCACTTCATCCATGAAGCGCGTTTGTGCGCCATCCTCGAAGCGGATTAGTCAGGGTCCAAGTCTTAGGTTGAATACTATGTATTACAGGGGGTGTACGTAGTATGGAATAGGGTAGCTCTGGAGGTGGGTAATATGTCTCCTGGACAGCTATAGATATTTATATATTTCAGAGCAGATAACAACACATGAACCGATCTCAGATCGCAGCAGCAGCCGCCTCAAGGACCAGATCCTCGGCTACATCAGCGGAAGGGCACATGGAGGCGCGTGTTGAGGGTGAAGAAGAAGATGATGAGATGAGATGAAGAAGAAAGATGGATGACATGCATTAGGGGCGCGTGACGTGATGATGCAGGCGGTGTGTGCGTAGTGGAGCAGAGGTGGATAGTACCTTTAAGTATCTATCTAATATATACACGGGCGCGCAATCAGCGCCCTGCTGCCGGGTCGTAGTGGTAACGATGTATGATACAGTCAGTCATAGATGAGCACGTGTATACTGTGTAGAGTGAAGAAGATACAGTATTATAGCTATCGAGTATAGTAGAGGATGTGAATAGCCTCAAGTGATTGTGAAGAGTTTGGCAGGCTCAGCCCAAAAGTCGCGGGCTCCATGGCGGCTCAAGCACCGTTTTAGGGCTCCACTGCAAAACTCCCCGCCACTCTATTGCTTTCTCAACTTCTCGCTCTCTATTACCGACTGACTCTATCCCGTTTCCGCCTCACTGTCACTCCCTCTCTCCCTCTCTCTCTCTTTCTCTCTCTCGTCCAGTCTTATCCTCGTCTATACAGACAGAGTGAAGCCTCACATACCCATACGCATATGCCTTGCGCCTCACCGTTGCACTCCTCCGTCTCTCGTCTACCTAGCTATAAAGCCGCGTCTAACCCCACCCACTTCAACGAACGCGATAGATAGCCCCACCAGCTGTACACTTCTACTACGATACCTCGAGACCACACACTCGCACTTCGCTCTACCATGAGCAACACAAACACTTCAGGCTATCTGGGTCTTGCCCCAGGTACCCGTAACGCACATCGCCAGAACCGTGTACCGTCCGGCGATCTTCTCCAACCCGCTCACGGCAACGCTGCGCCTGTTCCTGTTCCGAACGGTGCTCTGAGAGGTACCAACGGACATGGGAACCATGGTCATAGGAATGGCGCATTTGAAGGAGCAAGAAGTCCACCGAACAACAAGAGTACATCGCATGTCCCATGCAAGTTCTTCAGACAGGGTACATGTCAGGCCGGTCAAGCCTGTCCGTTCATGCACACGACAGAACCGGTGACTGATACGGCGCCGTGCAAGTACTTCCAGAAGGTAAGATACTGGAGCTAGCTTAGATATGGTGTTTGCCTGTAAACCAAATGCTAACCGAGACTGACATCGTGCAGGGAAATTGCAAATTCGGCGCAAAATGCATGCTCGCACATATCCTCCCTGACGGCCGTCGTGTCAACAAATCTGCACAGATGGGCCTTGGTGGTGGATTTGGCCGCCAGAATCTCCCACAGAACGGCCTCGTCCAAGGTCCTGAAGGTCTGCTTCAGCGTGAGCTCAACATGCAGATGCCTGGCCCTCAGCCACATGCATCCGCTGGATATGGCATGTCGGACGACTATTTTCCCAGAGGCAATGTAGGCCAACAAGCAAACTTTGACGCTATACCAACCATAGATACAACATTCACCTCACATCCCGGCTCGACCTATGGATCCCCGCCAAACGACAGACTTGGTGTTTCGCCGAGCACCAGGGGGCGAAGTGTCATGGATGCACCACTACCAGCTTCATTCGATAGTCAGGGAATCTCGCATATCGCACGATACGGTCCCATAGCGCAGTCGGTGCCTTCACGCCTTGATCCTTTCGATGCGATGCAAGCTCCTTCACTGCCGAAACCCGCTGGAGACACCGAGACACTCCGCAAACTTCATGATTCGGTCTATGGGCAGACCAATCCTACTGTGACAACCGGTTTTGGCTCGTCTCCTCCACAGCAGGATGAGATTGGCGTACGTCGACCTATGCACTCCGAACGTTCCCTAAGACCTGTAGTAGGTATGTATTCTGCAAGCTATGGTGGCGCCGGTCTAGATGCATTCGCCTCAAGACGCCAAGTACCCTACGATTGGAATCAGGACGACAACTCCGGCTTCGACGACGAGACCGAATATGTACCTCAGTCTCTTGGAGAGCTTCTCACAGACCAAGAGAAGAAACGCCGATTCTCTCGCAACGACGACGAGAACCCTTTCCGCCAGTCTCTGTCCGCCGTCGGAACACCCACAGACACGAACTCGAAAGTAGGCTCGCCAAAAGTCGGATCGCCGTCCCGCTTCAGCGCACTCTTTGAGCGACAACGAAAGAACGACGGTAGCGACGCCGCCTCCCCCTCCACATTTGGTCATGTCGGTTCTCCACTGCGCAACTCAACACTCCACCCAGGTGCAAGCCCATCTCTCCGTGCTGTCCGCCAACCTACAGCTACCGACGTCAGCCCCTTCGTATCCTCCCCTCCCCGCCAGTCCAGCATGAGCATGATAAGCCAGCAACTCCAACGGACGCGTCTCTCGTCACGTGCTTCCTCGAACCCAAATGTCAACGACCCAGACCATCCCTCTCTACAACCCTCCTCGTCTCTGCATCCCGGTATGGCGCGCGCAACTTCCGGCTCCAGCATCGGCAGCATCACTGGTCGCACTTCTCTCGACCGTGCACTTTCATCCGGTAGCATCGGTCGCTCAGATCGCATCGACGAGGAGCAAGGCCTGTTCAGCATGGAAGACGAAGAGGAGATGGAGAAACGGCGGATCGAGAAGGAAGGTGCGGGCCTAGGTGCAATCACACCGAGCGGGAGTGCGAACAAGCGGTTTTCGGGTGGTTGGGGCGCCTTCTCAGGACTCGGAGCGTCGGCGACGAAGAAGGATATCAATAGCGCAAGCTCCGCATCGAGTCCGGGAAACACGAGTAGGCCAGGCCCGATTGGAGGGCATAGGAGTACCGCGAGTAAGGATAGTGCATGGGGTGGTGCGAGTTGAAGACCAAGACACGACGATCAATTACGATTTCACTGCACGCCATACTTGTGGAAAGAGCTTTCTGACGCAAAGCCCTGAACCGGCTCGCGCGATCGCTCGCTCGCCGCATCATCCATGATTTAACGCCTGCACGCATGACGATACCCGTTTCTACATCGCTATAGATACATACATACAAACCCCCTTCAACACATCCCCTCAAACATCCACTCCCCCCATTTTCTCCAAATTCAACAAAACCAAACACACACAGCGCATGTCAAAGTCCTCAACAAGACCCGTCACGAACCCCACACTTTTGCCCCCTCTCTTCTGTCCTCTTCCCGCAGAAAGTTTTACTCGACAGAAACGGCGACATAAAAAGCTCTAGGCAATTTCCAAAAAGGAAAGAAGAAGAAAAGAAGGAAAATTGGAAAAGCAGCACTGAAAGGCGTCTTGGCCCCTCGAACAAAAGTGTGGAGAAGAAAAGCAAAGAAGGAAAGAGGAAAAGCATCGCATCACATGTTTTTACTGCACAGCACAGCACAGCATGGCACGGCACGGTGTACGAATGTAATTTTTTTTTTCTTCCCTTTTTCTTTGGAGAAACAAAAACACAATTCACACGATGACGAAAACAAATACTCTCTTTTCTCCCCTCACTTTTCAACTTTTTCTTTTTCCTCTCCCTCTTTTTGGCCTGCCTGGTAATACGCGTAATCTAGATTGAATCTAGTGTAATCTGGTCTAGTCTAGTCTCAGTATAGATGGCTGGACGGGTGGATGGGAAGAGACTTCTTCCTTTTTATTAATTTGTTTGAAAAAGGGCTGGGGGGGGGGGCCCTCTTCTAAGCGAAAACAACAAAACTTGTAGATTGGGCGTAGTAAAGTAGTATAAAAGAAAACATTTTGGGGTTTTGTTTTGTATTTATAGGTGTTGGGTTATAGGTTTTCCATGGGAAGTTTTGGGGGAGAGGTCATGGTTTCTGAAGCATTTTGCGGAGATATCGGATATTAGACTTACATGTCCACATTCTACTTTTGAAGTAACGGCTTGGGCGTGTTTAGGTAATACAATCATTGTCATAGGTAGACTCGGTATACCTATGACCTGACTTGACCTGTCAAACATCTCTTCCCTCCATATTGATCCCTATGGGTTCCTCGAAAAGTATCATCACATCCAATCAGGCTACACAGCACTACAGAAACGGTCGAGTTGACTTGTTTAATCAACATTATCAAGTCCATTCCGGTTGATGCAGTCCATGATCATGGCAAATACATATACATCCTTAGCTTTCACATAAACACCCTATACCTGCTTCATCTTCGGCCTGAGATGAGTCGGCATCATTACGCACTTGATCTTTCATTATTATCGTCTCCTTTATGCATCACTCCACTGTGCGCGCACCATGCACCATGGTATGGTGATCGTCTCTACGACCGGATGCTGATCCTCTTCAAGCCCGCAGCACCAGAGTTGTCGGACCATCCCATGCTGAGAGTATCGAGCATACTACATGTGATTAGCCAAGCTCACTTTAGTCCGATATAAGCAACTTACAAGATGGACTTCTTAGGAGTCTGGACGACCGCCTCGAACTGAATACCACTTAAGTTGCGAAACTCTTCAGGGAACGTCACCTGCGTAAGCTGGCAACCTGACGTCTCGGTACAAGCAGGTACCGTGACATATTGCTGTCCGCTGAGGACCTCATCCTTCATTTCACTGTCATAAGTGTATGCTGAAATGGTCATGAGACAATTTTTGGGGCCCTGGTTGTCACAGCCAACAGACACATTATACGCATTGAACCAATGTGCTGGGTCGCTCATCCTAGGTCCGGCTCCAATCTCGCCGGATTTGATTTTCCCAGTGGAAGATGAGACAACACTGGCCAGGGCAGGAATGAAGATCGCAATGTCTGGCTCGGACGATGCCTCATACTTGGCCCATGCTTCCTTGGTATATCCGTATCCATTAGCATGGAATAGATGATGATATGGACTGAATACAGGTGGGAAGATTCCTCCAGAAGAATTATTGCTAGGCGTCCATACTGGTAAGTCGTCCCACTGTTCGGGTGTCAGTGGAGTTCGTTTTAAGATGAGCAGGAGATCTTACAGTAATAGAGAAGTCTCCAACTTCACCACAGCTTGACGGGGTCGCGGATGGTACCGCTTGAAGGGTGCTACTTGAGGAGGCCAAGTAAGACGTTCCAGTGCTCTGCTCAGCGTAAGACGTGCTAGTACTGTTTCCGGCTGAGATATACGATGTAGAAATTGGTGCCAGAATAAAGGAAGGACTGGTGGATGGGCTGGATGTGTCTGCGCTACTACTGGTATCGTCGTAGGAAGAAACAGTCAACCAGGTTGGAACTGGGATTGGTATCATGCTCGTGGTCGAGATAGGGAAACTGCTTGATGAATGGCTACTGATTTCAACTTGTGAGTTATGAGGAGCAGAACTACTTTCAGTGCCATGGCGAGAAGAGAAAGTTACCCATGTCGGGGCTGGATATGGTGCGATGCTCATGACTGATGTTGGGAAGCTGCTAGATGATTGACCCGTACCGATCCACGATTTAGTTGGGTAGGGCAAGATGCTCAAGCCCGACGTTGAGAATCGGCTTGCAGAAGAACCGCCAGTCCCAGATGCTTGCGAAGAAGAAAGATCTCCACTTGGACCGACGGGTAAAGTAACAACGCTAGTGCTGCTGGACACGACGAAGGTCAAAGTTGCGTAGACACTGCTGCCAGAGACATCGCTCCATGACGATAGGTGACTTACAGTACCTACACTAGATCCAGGACCGTAGCCAGAGTCCTCGGAGGAAGTGGTGGTGCTAATGTTCCAGCCAGTCGTCGGAACGCCTTCATGAGTGCTCGTCAATGTTTCCAAGATGGTTGTTACTTGAGTCATATGAATGGTAGTGTCTATGGTCGAGCTAAAGATGCCCGAGGGGACGTTTGAGCTCGAAGCACCATAGCTTGGCGGGGTGTACTGGGCCGAAGTTGGAAAGACAGTAACGATCGAGGTGTGAGTCCTGTAGGAGGTGTACGTGGCTGTGGGAGAAGGAACGGGAGTGATTACGATAACAGAAGTCTGCTTGATGAAATTCGTGATCGAAGCCGGGGGTGCAGCACCAAGCCAGACGGTACTGCCTTCATGCTCTGTGAACATATAGGGACCATTAGCTTTGGTCTGGGTGTTATCTGCGGGACCAAGAGCAGTGACGCCATTGTTGTGAGAGGCTCTGTTGTGTTCGACTTCGATGAAATGGGTGACCGTAGGACCAGGAACTGTGACATAGTTTGTCAATTGACCGCACTGGGCGCTAGCGTCGAGAGGACTAAGTTTCGTATCAGTGTAAGCGCACGTTTGAATGTTGTAAAAGCTGGATAAGTCCATCAACGATAAGGAGAAGAAAGATGCAAAAAATGATGACTTCGCAATAGTGCAAAGGGAAGTAGGCAAATTTCGCTTCGAAGAAGGCCGGAATGCCCGTTCTTGCGAAAATTTCGTATAGACTCGCTGAAGCTGTCTGGAGCAGCCGACGGAACCTTGCCATAGCAGATGGGATCCCCACGATGAATAAAGCCAGAAGCCAGCCCAGAAAGCGAAGAGGCCAATAGCGTAGTATCGTCCAAAGAAGACATGGTAACGAACACACCCAGGTGCGTACGTGAAACCACTGGGTATAGAAGAAGCCACGCTGAGACGTAGGGACTGCGCGCCCTTTTGTCTCTCTTTTCCGAGTGCGCAACTTGTCGTCATGATCTGCTCCTCGCTTCGGCATATCTGCTATCGCTATGTTTTCAAGCGACGGAAAAGAAAGTGAGGCAAACTTCACTCTGCCGGGTAATGACGCAACGAATGAATAATGAGTAGAAAGCGAGTGTATAACAGATAGCGATTGTGATAAACAAACAAAACAATGAATACTAGGGACCGACCAGGATACTCTAAGGGATGAATGGTTCGGTAACAGGAAGAAAAGGTCCACTTACGCAGCATTGACACCCCCGGCAACAGACAAAGCCAAAGCCACCAGCTGAGCGGCAGTAGTGAGCAACATGACGAGTAAGCTACGACTGTGTAGCCTGAAGGCGGAGAGCAGCTTGGAAGGGAATAAACAAACGACAAAGGATGGCTGAGCGAGCGACTACGGGGTCAGACCGTAAGGAACGAGCGTGGGTTGCAGAAGGGAGAAGAAGAGAGAGGTCGAGGTGAGCAAGAAATATAGACGCGGCTATACCGTCGGAACTTGAAGTCGCGACTGCCTGTTCCTATATTAGGTACTGTTGTCACTGTGGGCGCACCAATACGCGTCACAGTGTTAAGCTGGCAAGTGAAATATGGGGGCACGTGAACCATCGCTGCAGCAGACAGCCAACGAATAAAAACTCGATGCATGTAGACTTGAAAGGAATAGTATAAGAGAGGCTTGTATCTTTCTAATGCGACAAAGCGAGAGAGAAGAGAGAGAGAACGCCGTCTGCACCAGGGCATGCATAACAAGACGACTTACAATCATCCGCAAACCTGATATGCAGGGAGGTCCACGATATTCACCATAAATCCCCCACGGTCCTCAACATAGGTTATATACTCTTCAAGCCAATATCTACAGCTTACTCTTGCTGTCACAACATTCTCCTCCTTTGCCAACAACCAGTGCCTCCGTGCCAGTCGGCTGCATATGCCGGCTTGCGTCCTCCCTACTGGCGCTCAGCAGTGTCGACTGATTATATGCCTGTTCACTCGGTGGCACATCAAGTGCTGGATTACGCTCGAAGAAATTCACTGGTTTCAAGCACACCTTCATGATCTCGGCCGGCATAACTGGAAAGTCTTCAATGCGAGTGATGTGGTTCATGCCAAATTGTACATAGACAACAATATCCGTGTCAACAATGTCATCCTTGCGGTTTGCCCAACTGCGCACACCTGTACCACCGCGCGATTGATTAGTATACTGCCCACCTGCGTACAGCTCGCCATCCCGGTAAGAAGTCACATAGATGTTATGGTCCGCAAACTCTGCGCGACGGTGGTTGAAACTGTCGCGATCTGCAAGCATTTTCTGGAATCCAGGGGCTTGTATTTTGTACGCAACAGGCTTTCCGTTGATAGGGTTGCGCACAGCGGCATTCTGAATCTTGAATGTGCGATTCCGGTCAATATCAAGATCATAGCCGCCAGACTCACTGAGGACCGTTTCCTCGACATAATATCCCGTGCCATGCGGATTGAGATCTGACCGAGGCATAGCATGTGCCTCATCATATACGAGTCGATTGTGGTAGCCGTCTATGGCAGGATCGATCCGAAGGGAGAAAATGTGTTGATGGTGGACGGCCAAGACCCCGGGATGCACTACGGTACCAAAGGGGACGGTGACACCCTCATCGATGGGTTGGGTCGAGAGGATGCCGGTAGCGCGGACTTCGTAGTCCATTTGCCCGGCTTGGTTGAAGATAAATGCTAGGATGTATTCGTAATTCGAGACGGTAATGATGGATTGTAGAACAAGCTCGCGAGAGCGGGCAACGGCAGCCCGATTTGTGCGATAATTGGTATGCTTCCAGGAGATGCCAGCATCTTGTTCGTGAACTGTAGGCTATACTTAGCTCTGGCAGTACATGAAGGATGTTGTTTACTTACTGCACACGCAATTGTCCATGCTGTCCACGCCTCCTTGTGCGTTGCTAATGACGGCACTTAGATAGTAGATAGAACCCAAACAGTCGCAGCCGAGTTTTAGGTTATTGGCCATACTACCGGCACCAGCGTCACCCAGATCAAATGCGCTCTTCTTGTGGTAGGGGTGGCGCGGATCAGCGTATGGGATATTCATGTCTGACAGGGATACCCGATAAAAGAGACTCCGGCCATCGTACCGTACCTGAATACATCAGCACTCTCATCAGACGAGCATCCACACGATACCTACATCGTAGAGAACCATTCCCTCACGCTGGTTGAAGCCAACCCGGAACGACCATTTCTGCCATTCCAGGACAGCCGATGTTCCTTGCTCAGTTACGGTAAAACTCGCACCTTCAGGCTGGACGATGTTCAACGGTTTCAGATCAGTCCTGAGCTGTTGGTACTCTGGGAGATACTCGTTGGGTGGCTTGATCTTGTAAGGGGTGGTGTCTGTGATGGTTGAATCCGGACCCAGGGGTAGCTTGTCAATGCGAATGACTTTCATGTGTTCGGTGCTTATTACGGGTGAGATTGCAAGGGGCAGTGCGTAATGGTTCGAATCTGCTTCCGCAGGGTTGTGTGGATCCCTCATGTACAAGAAACACTGATACATGCGCTCGTCATCGTCGACACCATCAGCACCTATTGCACTCAAAAGTCAGCAATTCCGCAGCTACGTATACAAGGTACGGACGGCCAACCATAAATCCAAGGGTCGCTGATGACCACAGCACCCTCAGGGAGCTGCAATTTTGCGATTTCTGCCTTGACAGCCTCATCTTCCAGTGCAATCCTCTCCAGTGCAATTATCTCCTCACCATCGCCGTTGGCGTGGATGTTTGGGCCTAGGCGGACGTTCCTCTCGACCAGGTTTTTTGTGAGGTTGACGATTGCTTCGTGAAACTTGTTCTAAGCCCGGAGACGTTAGCATGAATTACAGTAGCAGCCGGTGTGTTGCACAGCATACGGACCGTGTTTCGTAGGTAGTAGTTGACAAAAGCCTTCCGATCGAGCTGTGGGGTTCTCTCGCCTAAATGTTCTGCTTCGAGGTATGGAAGGACGCGGAGCTTTGCAGGCTCGTCGAGGGTAATGACCTTGAAGCAGAAGTCTGTATTGGGCGGCCAGGTAGCTTTGATGAGGTGTGCGGCTGCAGCGATCTCCTCGGCGGCCAACGGAGCAAGCGGATGTGCGGAGGAGTGTTTGGCGTGGAGCAGCGCAGGTGCGGACGTGGTGAAGTCGGTGGACATCATGCAGCAATTGGTATTGTGGGATATAGTGTAGAGCTGGTGGATGCAGGTTTGAAGTAGTATATGAGCCGGGCGGCAGGGCGGCAGAGCAGTATTAACAGTGGTGAAGGGTGGAGACGTGGGTCGGAGGTGTTTATATGATGACGAAAGACAGCAGGGGACCTGAAGCACATGAGTGATCGGAGGACGATCTGATTCATCCTGCATTGAATTGCGTTCGCCGCCTCACTGTGTGAATGCGGCGGGGCCAGAAGCGGCGGAGTCACGGCTCACACAGCACTGGCAGCCTTATCCATCCACATCCACATGTTTTCTAATTAACTTCCTGGGTCGCACGCGTGGAGATGCCAGTCTCGGCAATGGAAAGGGACAAGAAGTGGGCTGGACTCGGCCGGGGCACCAGGGTATATGGTATGTAGAGAGAGGTACAGCAGGTAGCCCCTGCGCGTGGGCATTACCACGGCAGTAGGTATTAGCTGAGGCATCGCCAAGGACGATCGATGCGGTAACTTAGGTGAGTATGGATGTTAACCTTAGTTGTGATATAGTAGTGCTTGGCGACGTGATTGATAGGAATAGACCAGCAACAGTAGTAACAGTCGAAACGTTTAACAGTAGCCATTCCAGGGCTTACGAACGACTAGGCATTTGGATAGCCACGTAGCGTGGGGGAACAACACTGGGTAGGTGCTATGTCAGTATGTAGGTATATGCTATATAGGTATGTAGTATGTAGGTAAGTCCTATCTAGGTATGTCCCATGTCGATATATTCGGTGAAGGTATTATTGTTGTTATGTGGATAGACTGTTGTAGTCGTGGACCAGGTGGTGGCGTCTGCTGCTGGTGGAGCTCACAGGCTACGGGTCTATCCAAGTATATTAGAGGGGGGAGAAAAGGAGCCAGAAGCCTTAGCCGCCCAAAAGAACAGTCTGTTGGTAGCTACTCCATGTAAGTAATATGCAAGTAATTATCAGGTGGATCTGGCTGCCCTTGGACCCCAAGACCCTGCTTGATGACCTACTTGAAGACCTGCTGGAGGTGCTGAGTGCCGAGTTTGAAGGCAAAAGGCCCTAGAGGTAATAATAGAGGGTGTTGTGATAGATTAATTACGGCCTGACAGCCTGACAGCCTGACAGCCTGACAGTCAACCCCGCCCCCGCCAATCGCAGCCCCGCCAATTCATCTCACCTGACATGCACGTGCTTCGTGGGTGATAATCAATTACCTTCAAAGTCAATTAGGGAAGGTGCGGTCTGGTAGTTCACGTTCTACGCCGGCGGAGAGTGCCCCGCCAAGCCCCTTCCAGCCCCGCAGCTCTACCGCTAGTCCCCAAACGGGAATCTCTATGCGAGTGATGGATGTACCGGGCCTTCATCTTCCGACTGTCGACAAAACAACTAATTAATTACCCCGAAGAAACAATCTAATAATGTTTATTTCCATCATAGCCATCACTCTCTCTCCACCATATCGCCTGCATAGGGATATAACAGCCTGGCCTGTGGTCCAAAGGCTAGATCTCTACATTAGCTTAGGTAATTAGGTACAGTACTAGGACATTAGTATTGGGACATATCAGGCACATTTCAGGCAGCGACGTGTCCTCAGATTACTGTCCGCTCACTGATATGCTTTCAGGTACATGGTACATGTGATATAAATATTGATAGTCGCCACTACTCTCGTCCACATCATACAGTTCCATTAGCTCGCTCGGCAGCATGCCCCACGAGATGCCTGCACCTATGGTGGTGGCACTACATAAGACCTATCCACAACCATAGCCGCTCTCGCTTTCGCACTCACTCAGTTGTCCTCCTTGGGCGCCATGTGTAGCTGGCATGTCACAGGTGGCAAGCCTCCGTGTCCCCTCTTCTCTGTCCATCCAATCTTGCTCAATGTGTTGCCCGCCTTCTTGTCGCCCGCGATAAAGGTGCTTCCCTTGCAGAATGTCCCACCACCCTTTTCAGTGTACTCCGTCAGTGCCCACCCTTTGGGATCCACCGGTCCGCGCTTGAGCGTCGAGTTGCGACTTCTCATCAGGCTCTGGAGTAGAGTATCCACAGTCCAGGACGCGTCGACATCAAACGTGTGAAACACTGTCGATCGAGACGTCGACGCCGTCTCGCCCCATGCTGCATCGAGGTCCCAGTATACGTGAATGGTGGTCGATTGGGGTGGAGGCAGGAGATTGATGCCTGGCCGCCAGTTGTTGTAAGTTTGTCCAGGTCCATAGCATCCACATTGTTCGCAAGGGCACTGATGCATCGCACAGACCATCGCCGGAATGCTCTGCATGGGAGGTCCAAAGATCGGCGTCGCTTGTACTGGCACGAATGAAGGTCCGGACGCAAACACAGGAGCGCCTGCAAAGGGAAGACTAAATTGCATGGGAGCGATAGGTCCCGGTGGCCCATCCCCCATGTCAAAGAAAACATTCGGGTTGGGCGCAGGCCCGTACATGCCTGGAAATGCTGTAACTACTGGCTCTCCTGCAAGCCAAATGTTTGCAGGTGGTAAGAACCCAGTGTCTGCTCGCCAAGTCCAAGGGGGTGGTGGTCCAGCCATGATGACAGTTTTCGGGGTTAGATTTGAGGCTGAGAAGATGATCTTGCTGTTGTGCTTGATGCTGAAGTCTTGAAACAGTCGTTGTACAAATAAGTCGAACCTTGAACGAATGGTAGACTAAATACCAGCACAAGCTGGTAATTGATACGTCGGCAGCATGACTGACTGGTTTGTCACTGAGCATCTCACATTGACATGATGGCTCAGTGGTCAACCACGTATCGAGGATACATGGAATGTATCTATCCTTCCTTCACGCATCGACTATACGACTTTTCCAACGACGCCTTGCGAGCAAGAACTATCGCAGGAGCCAACCAATGACCGTAAATGATGAGTTTTGTGCTTCTGTCACCATAAGTGCTGCCACATCATTTACCGGCCACAGCTTTCGCATTTGTTGCTAGTGCCAAGTCATAGGACTGTGAAAGTTGTTCGTTCAGCACGTACTATTCTGTCGCCAGCGCCTGCCTGTGACAAGTTGCAGTTGAAATCAGAGACGTGTAAATATCCCAATAGGTACCAACGCAGTAGAGACGCTGCCAGCTCAATCACATTTGAATGATCATCCTACGAAAGCGCTGGCACATTATCCTCCGGCAACGACCGCAAGACCTTCGTATATCTTCTTTTTGACCTCGAAGAACGTAGGTTTGATGCTCCGGGGATCAAACGATGCCATGCTTTGCCCTGCTCCTTCAACTTCAATCCTACCAGTGCCGGTCTTCCTTACTGCCACAGTTCCATTAACAAGCAGAGTACCCTCACCACGAAATTCGGCAGTGAGACCCGAGGTTTGCATGATTTTGCGCAGATCTGCAAGTCTCATATCCCCGACGTGTAATGGCTGCGCAACTGTCCGAGTTCCAGAAGCCATGCTAGCAGGAACGACATCTAGCACGGGAGGGGGGCCTTCGTTGTCTTGAGCTGGAGCTGTTCCTTCAACATCATCGTCCTCTCCACTACTGGTCTTTAGCTTCTTCTTCATCTTGACTTCTTCTTCATCACTTGTGATCGTCGCTGCCTCTAGTCGACCAGTGATTGCCACTACGCCAAGTCCTCTGACTTGTTGCCACTGGAGGTTGCGTACGAGGGACTGGCTCAGCTTGACCACCCAAGCGTTTGTATCGACACTCGCGTCGATGGTTCGACCAACAATAGCTGTGAACACATCCGCATTCTTCGAGCCTGAACCCTCGACAGTGAGTCGCTTTCGGAAATCCTCAGCCAAAGCCTCTGTTTCCTCCTTCTCGCCGGCCACAAGAATTAGCTTGCGCGGTGCAATGAGAGGCACAAGCATCTGGAGATTGCGTTTGTCGTGAAGACCAGAGAAATCGATGAACGATACGTGACATGCAATTTTGATCTTTTCCTCTTCAAAAACCGCTTTGCAGGGTCCGTCAACACCCTCGCGGTCGTCATCCTCGTCTGACTCTGAAACGTCTTCTGGAGCGTCCTCAACCAATGTGTCCCCATCCACATCTATTGAACCATCTCGCCGCGCGACTTTATTGCCATCGTTACTCTTGCGCCTTTTTTGTGTATTAGAAGCAGGGCCACGCCAACCAGCAGGGGCTGATAACAGATTCGAATCTCCCCATCGTCTCTTTTGGCCAACGATGTTCTCTTTAGTGGCACCGGATCGCATGTCCTCGCCGTCAATCTCGTCGCGTTCCTCCGCCCGAAGATATTCTTCAGGACGAATCATCTCACCAAAGTCATCGCCTCGTCTTTTCTTTGATGTGAAAGGGAACATCTTTTCTCGTCCTCTTTTTCCGCGAACATCATAGTCATGAACTCCTGTGCCCCTAGTCAAGATGGTGATTCCAAGCTCTGCATCGCTCAAACCCAGTTTGTTGTGGCGTGCATTAGTCATGGTGGCGGAAACATTGAGAGCCTTGCCTTGATGCTCAACGTCCGAATCCTCTGAGCTTGACGAGGAAGAGTCGGATTGGTCTTCTATCACGTCTGCTGATGTCTCTAAAGCCGAGGCTCCAGGTCCTTCTCCATGGACCACATTCTGTCGCTGCCGTTGTCTTGCAAGGTACTGCTGATATATAGGTGTCTCATTTGCTGTCAACGGCAGCACTTTTACCGACCGTGTGGCGAGGTCCGTCCCAGAAGGCTCCACGACTGTTGCTTCATCTGAATTACTCATACTTCCAGCTCCTTCATTCCAATATTGCCAAAGAGCACTGCCTAGTGACATACTGCCCGCGATTTGGCCTGGGCGTTCGGTCAAAATGATGATGTTTCGGGAATCTGATGCAATGTGGCGTAGAGTGTCCCTTGAAAACCCCCAGTTCAATGAGCTATCGCTCGCAATGATAACGACCGGCTGTTCCGTCGAGAGATTGCGAATTATTGACGACTTTTTTTCGAGAAGCTTCAGATACCTAAAATCGAAAGGGGCTTTGACATTCTTGTTCTCTGTATTCTGAGCCTGCTGAGTTCGACTGCGACCGTTGCCATGTGGCGTTGGGTTCGCACTTGCAGTCTCAAAGTCTCTCACGAGGCCTTCTTCCATCCATTCGAGCATGCTTCGAGCATATCTCATAGTTGAGCCACACGTTCTGCTGGCTAGAAGTAGTTTCGCAGCGCGCAAGGGATTATCGTCATCATTGCCAACAGTCCACGCCTCCTCGAGAATATATGCCAGTTCAAGAACGCGGGCGCTCGAATCGGAGGGAATAAGCACCGAGCCGCCCTTCGATACAGCATCTCTTATGAGACCCAACAAGCTCTCGTCTCGACCTCTTCCAGAACCATTTGTATGACTAGCTGCTGGCCCTCTGCTACTACAAACGAGAGCAGTCGGCTTCCGAAGTTGCTCGATGACCTCAGAAGAGCCGGACGCGCCACCCAACCATGCAGCTCCTGATAGTACGTGCTCTCTGGCTTGATTCCAGTCCACCGCATAGACGATAGATTCCAGACCATGCTGAATATTCCAAATTGTCCCTCCTAGCGTGTGTCCAGCGCTGTATGCGGTAATAGTCAAGCCGTTCAACGGTGGAGAGAAAGGTGAGGGCATCGGCTGGTGAGGTTGTGAGTATTTGAGAGGATTGATCAGAGCAAAATAGCCAGCGATCTCATCAGCACTCGGAGGCTGTAGCAGAATGTTGGGGTTTTTGTCATCTTGAGTAGTCGCGTATGAGTATGTAGATTCGGAGAAAGCGGATGGTGGAAGGATTGAGGCCGCGAGAGGAGAAGACGCGTAGATGTCTTGCAATAGAGTTCTTCCCAATGATATGACCGGTGTCGTAGCATATATGGGAATTCTGGTAAAGAGAGGAAAGTTTTTGCAACAGTGTGCAAAGGCGCCGAGGTGAGCAATAGTTGCGTGAGTGAGTAGCACAACAGATAAAGTGGGAATTTGCCTGATATAGCGGATTAGGTGTGCAAATTTATGGATTGACGTAGACACTACCTTTCGAGATCCTTGAGCATCTCAGCATCGAAAGACTCATCCCAGCCTACGTCGACAAGCAGCTTGATACCTCCATCAAGCTCCAGAATTGATTGCGACGCCTTTGAGCTTGATTGCGCGCCAAGCAGAGCAGTATACTGGAACATGGTGAGCCTGTGGTTAGGACGCAGGATGTGAGCGCTAATTGAATCCCATGCTGAAGAGAGACGACATATAATAAGCTCCGTCAACGACAGTCGGAGTGAATGCGCGATGCTTACACGAAACGAATGTTGGGTAAGCCGTCGCGTTGAGCCGTGCCTGTCAAGCTCTGAGCCGAGGATTTCCCGACTATTCAATTCTTACACATCACAGAAATTGACAGACATGTACGCACAAAAGAAGGTAACGACCAGATTGTTGGCACGTGAGAAGAGCAAGGATTAGAATATTGCGCGTAGGGTAAATCCAGTGCCATACTTTAGGGTGTTTTGGAATACTCATTGCTGAGATGCTGCAAGGTTCAGGCATCAACTTTACAATCATTTCCTAACTCGTGCAAGTTTCTTTCGATCTCTGTATATTGGATCAGACCACCTCACTGGATAGATGTCCACCAGAATTGCCAATTTCGCAGGCCAAGAAATGCAAATATCTCCCCATACAAGCGCCGGGAATAGCAGCTCCGTGTCTCAAAGCACACGTTCCGGCATACCCATCCGGAGGCATTCTCAAGGTTGACCGTGGCAATGAGATACTTATAATACTAGTTTCAAGGCCACTCTCAGTCGTATCAGGTACTAACTTGCTACAAACAGAACCGCAATCATCCAAGTCGAAACGATGCAGAATAAACCCTTGTCGATCATACTTAGTAGGTAGTGTTCCTTGCAGGACTTTTCTATAGCAGTCAGGAGGGACCAAACATGGACTGGCAATGCCGGGAACAGATCCGGGCCTGGCAGGTCCTTTTACGACCAGCCGTATGGAGTCTTCCTTGATACACATCAATCATATCGCTGATCCCAGTGTCGACCACTGTACGTGGTGCTCGGAGATCAGCTCCTGTCCAATGGGTTCCCACAACGTACAATCTCAAATAGCCTGCAATGAGTCAGGAAAAGGCCAAAGCGTTCTGACCTTTGGATGATGATGATATCTCGGAATCAAGTTAACACGCCACGGTCCTGATCCCTTTACAGCTGATATACTCAGCCTGGATCCATGGCCGGGCAAAGGGCTTATTGTGTTGCATGCTGGTAGACTTGGTCTGGTTAGATATAGAGTACGTCGGCATACCCGGCTTGAAGCTCGAGTCGACTGATCGGTGGATGGGCACAGACCATGGAAAGCTTCAATGGCAACAGCTTCGCATATGGAGGAATCGCATGTTCGAGTCGGAATACGGCCAGTTCGAGCCGGTAATACGCCACATGCTTACAGGCTGCATCTGTCTTTTCTGTCGTGACCCGCCTAGCTATATTATGCATCAGCCATCGCTGCCGCTCAAAACACAGGACTTCAAACCCTGCTTTTTTCCTTTGACTCTGTTCGTCACACTCGAGAGCACCTGTATGGACACGCTGGACTCGCTGGACTCGCTGGACTCGCTGAATAACATACGTAGCGGTGCACTGACTCAAGACTCTCGAAGCTCAGAGTTACAATCCAACGAACTGTGCCGTGCGTAGGATTACATCCTGCATGATGATTCACCGAGGACGGATCAGATAGGGCTTAGCGTCTTACGCACAGAAGTATCGCACTAGTGTTATCATAAGCTTTTCAAGATATAACTTATGGCCGTGGCTCCATCTCATACAATCATTATTTAGTAGTCTCAGCTTTTCATGAAGAATATTCGCCTCTCAATGTATCCACGCCCTTCGTCAGACCCGTAGTAATAACCCATCTATGGCCCGGGCCATGAAGGGTCGGCACGAAGGTCTTGATTCTGCGCCTCTAACATGCATATTGCAGCTCAACAGAAGATTTGGCACGGCACGAGGGCACGGGAAGCAAGGCACACCGCAGTCTTCTCAGCATTCAATGCGGCACGGGTACCTTCATCGTGAGTATGACCTATCTTTGTGTTTCGCGTGGTTACTGAGTGTGGGTGCAGGGTAGGGCCCGGTACGGATAGCAAGGGACACTTGGGACGGCTCGCATGGTCGCTTTTGACTTTTCGGACCGCGAAGGGAAGGGCCACGCCATGTTTAGCGAGCCTTCACGCCGGGGTGTGATCCCGCGCGGCTGGTCTGAATGTAAATGACTTCCTCTCTGTTCATATGATTGCAAAGAGTGGTTAGTTGAAAGGATAGAATTGATTCACTAGACAAACATAAAGGGAACTCTCGCTAAATAGTGGTCAGTCCGGCCCTACATCATAGCTAGCCTGCCTCAAATACCATGCAAGCTGCAACCTTACTTCAAGAATTTAGCTAGCATAATGTGTGTAGCCAACCACTTCCATGACTTTGTCTTTGCGATCACCATATAAGCATATAGCTATTGGACTTTCATCCATAGATCGCATGCACCTCATCGGAACATGCGCCTGTGGTTGATTGAAGGATTGGCCACCCAATTACACAAGCGACCAACCTCGTATTTTCCATGCGATGATGGGGAGATGTGCTAGCTTTGCTAACTGTATGAAGCAAGCTGAAAGCCTAAGACCAGCGGCAATAGGAACTCCAGCTCGCGGTGTCGCCATCGCGATGAATATTGGATTTAACATAGCCGGCATGCTATATCGACGTAATGAGATAATTAGGTTTGATGGAGAGCAAACACGTGTTGATATTGAATGTATAAACTCATCAACCCTACGCCTGAGAGTCTAGATACACTCGTCCAGAGCCAACGACACCATGTACTCGGCTCGTTCAGGCGGCGTTATCGCAGCATCTCAATTGAGTGATCTGGAAGCAGCCACAGAGCTTTCAGCCGTCATGGTCAGCAATCCGTGTGCGTTGTTTCGTACCTAGATCCACCATTGTTCACACACATACACAAACACACACGATCAGAGAACATAACTCCTGAGTAAACCTGCGGCCCAACACTATAATCCAGTCAATGTGATCAGATAGCCTTACCGTTGCTGAACAGATGCCCCCAATTCGCAACTATTCCGCGATCAGGCTGGGCAATAAGCGCGCCATCGTGGCCCCTATGCACTAATGCTTGAGTCGTTCCAAAAGGTTAGACTCAAAGTCTAAACGGTGCCGGTTTGCGCCATTCCATGCACCCCAGTCTAGGACACGGAGTGCCCCCCCCCCCTCCCCCCCCCCTTCCCTTCTGCCTTGTGGCATCAAGGCACCTTGCACTACGGCACTATCCACGATCACTGGTCAGTGCAAGGCCCAGCAACAATAGGCACTGCCAATGCCAATTACCCTAGTCACCAGAGTGCAGTGAATGTGTGTCCCAAGTGGATAGTGGACTTGCGCCGCCGTTGTTACTCTATAGTCCCCTCGCCATCGCGCTGCCATGATCCACGATCCTTGACCCAAGATCCATACTTCGATACCCTATAACCATCGCAGTGGGTCAAACACAGTCTGTGAATGCTTTTCTCCGACCTGATAGGCAACTCATCAGAATCTACAAAAGTCCCGTGCGCCGCCCACAGCCTTACCATACGGCCCGCTTCTCTACGAAAACAGCTTTCATCTACCAACACGCTGGTTCTATTGGAGATACATCTAAACATCAACGCCTGAATCTGCACAGGGCTTTGCTCAGGCATTCCTTTGTTGTCTTTATCCCCTATTTTACTCATTCGGTGCCTTACCAGGGGCCCGAGTAGCTAACACAACGGCCGTGGCGCTAGGAATTCCTCAGGATCTTTACACCATCCATCTACTCACGACACTTATAGTGCATGTGGGTGCTCATACAAGGCCCCCATCTATCTCGACTCCTGGTGTGACCTGGTACCCAATTCCTATCGCTCTATTACTTGGATCATTCGTTTCTGGCTCATTGGAACCCCTCTCCATCGGCCGAACTTTGCCTACCCAGGCCTGCGACTCGTAAGCCTCGCCTCAGCCCTTGTCACCTCTCTGATGGACCAGGTTGACCAGTCAGGCAATCCTGCCCCCAGTTGAAGCTCCATTCTTGCTTCGCTAAAGACCAAGAGAGCCCCGCCTTCAAATCTTCGCCTTTGTATCTTGAACGAGCTCCCTCATTAGAAGTAAGCAAGCTTTGCTTACCGCTCTACGGACAACAAAAATCTACTCCGAGACCTCCGATGCTGCCTTGCATCCTTGAATCCTCTCGCTGATCCGCACTGCTGTACCAGCGTGTCAATGACATCGCCGAACATCGTTGAGGTCACCTCCTCACGGCTTCCTATGGCCACAACACAACGTCTGTACGGCGGCGAGGAATATTCCTTTAATACTGTCTATACCCCTTCAATTTCATCACCATCCTACTCGGAAGTTCATTCTGGCCTGCTGCACTCGCCAAGACCACTGTGTACACCTATGAGTTCGACCTTTTCGAACACCCCTGGAATAAATGGCAGTCCGTCTCGGCGTTATAGCGCCGGTTCCTACGGTCATGATTCCGGAAGCAATGCCAGTTCTAGCGCGTCAACACCTGGTTCCGATGCCTCACATGCAGATGGCTATGCTTATGCGAGAGATTCGACGGCGAGTGATATCGTTGTACCAAAGATGGAACCTATGGACGAAGATATCAAGATGCCTAGTGTGGAGGTGGTACTACCGTCTCCTGGAGCAGCGCCTGGAGCTACGTCTTCAACAGCAACAACAAGATATGGACCCATCAGAAGGCGAGGTCGACCAAAAAAGGAGATCTCTGCTTCCAGTGCTTCTTCAGCTCAGCCAAAACCGACAGCAGGAAGATCAAAGACAGGATGTCGTACATGTCGAAGGCGAAAGAAGAAGGTAAATCCGGTGCTCCAAAGCTGTGGCGCCAATAGACTAACCTCTCCCTAGTGCGACGAAGGAAAGCCAGGATGTACAACTCCCACCATCACTTCGTCATCATCTCGAACTAATACGTTGCAGGCGAAAGCTGTAAGAAGAATAGCGTAGTATGTGAGGGCTATGAGCCTCTGAGGGTGTGGCAGGGTGGTAAAAGTAGTACTGGTTCCATCGTCTTTTCCAACCTACAGCTGACTATGAATAGAGAGGCAACCACGACCACCGATACACTGGCCAAGTGCCATTCTTGGCGCTGAAAATGATCTCGATCGAGTACTTCTGAAGCATTTCGAGAATGATCTTTGCGATAGACTCCTTAGTCGATCGGGAAAGAGCACCTTTTTGAGAGACGTCATTGTTCCGATGTCTATGAGCCATGAAGGCCTGATGCACTCACTACTTTGTCTCTCAGGATCGCACATGCTTAGTCAATCCGAAGACGAAGCGATCAGAGCACGTACTGAGTGGCATAGATCCCGAGTCGTCAATGATTTGCTGAGCCTTCCGAACGATGGCCGGGTAGACGATCCCACAATGGCACAAGTCACACTTACGAGTCTAAATGCTCTACTTGCTCCGGATATTGTGGAACAATACAGTCTGCACATGGAAACCCTGAAAGCCTTCAGTGAACATCAAACCCATCAGTCAGACAATCCTGCCTTTCGACAATTTATCATTGGATACTGTCACCTTTATAAGATCTCGAAGTGTGTTACTGCCTTGACACCGCCAACGACTTTGCCGATGCCAGAATTGAACGTCCCTGAAGAGTTTCTTCAACAAGTGGCAGGGCCCTTGATCGGGTATCTGGATCCACTGTTCTACTTCATCTCCAAGATTAGACGTCTAAGAGATTGTATCAGAGAACGGAGTCATGTCTCTCTAGGAGAAATCTTAGAGATTCAAGCGGATATCTCATCATGGAACAACCCTCATCGCTCCAAACCGAGTAGCTCTGCTTATATTGCCTCGGAACTTTATATTATAGCGGCACGTATCTATCTGTTCCGAACGATTCGCCCTTCTCGGGAGTATTTTCCTACGACTGAACCCTCGGAGCTCCAACGTCGGCTACACTATTGTATCAGTAAAGCGTTAGAGATCCTCCATTTATTGGATCCAGACGATCCCATCCATGGAAGCCTTCTGATGCCCCTCTTCCTTATGGGATGTGCCACTTTCAATCCTGAGCAGAGACCACCTATCAGTAGAGCATTTGCAACTCTGCGCAGGTTCGATGTTCTTGAGAAGAACAACAACGCTGAAACCATCGTTAACCAAGTCTGGGGCCTGATGGACGAACGCGATGAGTCTTCATGGGATTGGGAAAAGATCATCAAAGAGTCTAATCTAGACTTCTCACTTGTATAAGGCGGCAACAACATGACTAATGACTTTCGGAATCCTTATACACCCTTTCACCATTCATGTTTCGACAGTCTTGACAGGCTACTATGTTCCTTTCGGCGTACGCATACTGCGAAATATTGCACTTTCGGGGTGACGAATACCACTTGCAGCATTTCCTAAACGGCGTAATAGTTCCCAGTCTAGCGAGGAGCAGGAGTTGCTGCAGAACTTTATCCTTTGTAGACCAGAGTATACCTCGATGCCAACGCATCATTGTTCATCATATATTCCTTTCATGTCGTCCTATATGACCTGTAACTAGATCGCTCATTGGCAGTATATCTGTATATTCTCAAGCAGAAGCAGTTGTACCAACAGTTGGGTGCAAGTTTTGGCGGTGTTACAGTTGGCCCGTCGTGCGCCCCCAAAGGATGCAGGCCAAGAAACCTTGCTCGTTCTGCTTTGCAACGCAGCCACATACGTAGATTTGCTGCGGTTAGAGAGTCAATTAGATGGTTCTCCTTAACACCATTTGCCTATCAGGTATAAAGAGACGCATAGAAAGTACTTGAAGCTCATTGGACTATGCACCTCAATAGGGTAACTTTTCTGCGGGGTTGCCTATCTCTGATTCAGGAGGATTGATGTCAAGGCACTGATCTTGGTTCGGCCTTTCTCTGGCCGTCGATTCATCAGCTTGTACATCAGCAAGATTTGAACGTCCACTCGAATGAAGCACTACTGCGGTGAGCAGACGTACTACCAGTCTGCTCCATACGTGTAACCATTAGATGGTCTGAGCTGCATGCATTGCACTGCACTGCAATCAAGCGGTGCAGCTTCCGCTTCCCCGACAACGCTTTGTCGAAAAGTTCATTTCATCGAAACCACTGGTCTGCCTTGGCCAATCGGCATGCCTTCCCTGGTAATTCTGAGCAGCTTGTTGCAGAGCATGGAACACCCTTGTCTGCTCCACAAGCGCTCCACAGGACAGCGATTCAAGGATGTGCAGCCGGCATTGGTCAACTGGTGTCAGTGTTATCCATGTCGAAGGAGCGACGAATTTCAGAATTTGCATGCTTGCCCTGCCTTATGATGCAGGGATATTGCCAGCGTGAGCTGGCTTTGCCATGTTTGTGGGGATGTCTTATTACCGGAATTTGTGGATTTTGAGGGGATACTGAACTTTGTTGGAATTAGGCGTACCATGTATATGAGATATGATATGCATGGCTTTGAGTATATGATGATGACGGTCGGCCTCGTCATCGCCTATTCTTTCCACAGTGGTATCAGCATCGAACCGCTTACACGCGGGTGCTTAGATATATCAGTAACGTCGTTCTACCAACTATACAGGTAAACTGGAGCTCTTATGGTGGGGACGCTTCCATAGACTACGCGACACACAAATCATGCTTGTTGGACTTGCTCCGCGCGACCGGAAGTGTTTTGCATACAGAGTTCATCTGCGCGATGCACAGAGGGACATAGATGGCTCGAGCGATATCAATCGGCATTACACGAGCTAACAAACAAGAAAAATATAGATAACCCAACCCAAGGCTGATCCTTGAATGTGCAAATCATGCAGTCATGTACAACAGACAAAGCACTGATGGCAGACTGGGATCTGAACACGCCATCCCTGACAATCTCAAATAAATCAGGGAACGCAGTCGCTCAAAGTGACGAGTATTATCTTACAAGTCTGGAAACAGAACTATAGAACCTGTTCGTCATTTTGTCGGGCCTAAATGGTTGTCACGCTCTACAACTCGTCATATATGGCATGATGACCCACCGCAGCACTAGCCCCCATGATTGCACAAGCCTGCCGAGTTTGTACGAGACTGCTAGTGTCATTAGAATACAACTTCACTTTTCGAGTCGCCAAGTGTAAGCACGATACCGTCCCCGTGAGTTGAAATCGTAGACCTAACGATATGCAGTGTGCTTGGCGGCTCCTGTGGTGATTAAATACCCTGAACAGAGAATCGAGCGCCTCCCTGGTTAAACAAACTGCAGACACCAATGACAGGTTAGACGCTCGGTAATGCACATGGACGCGGTTCTACCTCACCTGATGGCAGTGTGGTGTGTGTGAGGTGATGCTGTGCAACATCGCGCGAGTACTCATATTGATCAGGAACAGTGAGCACCTATGCACTTTCGGGTTGAGATTGAGCTGCGGCGTCTTTCCGTCACGAGGTTGTACGCTAGAGTTGATGCGACAGCAAATGGATATGGATTCGTGTTTAGATGTGTGAGAATAGGGAGGTTCGGCTGTTCGGGCCCGGGATGTGGAGAGAGGTTCGTGTAATCAGTTTTTCTAGCGGGAGGGAGGGAGGGCAGACGGGAGGCCGTGCACTAGCTCAAAAGATGACCAACCCAATACTGACTAGATCCAGCTCCAGTCGCACGGGCTGTTACCACGGTTTAGTTTAGTAGTCGAGCTAGCTCATAATAGGTAGCCCGCCACGGAAAGTGTGCTTCTATACAGACACTTCATACAAAGACTTTTATGGAAGCAAAACGACAAAGATCATATGATCAAAGTGTACGACTCGGGGAAATCCTCATGTGTGAAATTCTCGTACAATCGCAATGACCAACGCTGTAAAGCAAACAGAGAGGGTCCCAGGCCGTTCATGTGGAATGAAAGGGTTGGATGATATCATGATAGCGGGTTGACGGGATAGCGGGATACCGGGTTGGGACTGTCAGATCTTGGGATCTAAGCGCCGCGCGTAACCGCCCGTGTTTGAAGCCTTCTCAGCACCATGACACAGCGAAACCACCCCCCCTAAAGAAGCTGATGCTATTAGGCTTACCAGCTGCTTCACCAGGTGCAGGGTGCCCTGCTTGCACCCTGGATGGTATCATGTTCCCAGGCGCGCCATGAGGGTCCACTTGAGATGGCTGGCGCTGGCGTCCGTCACGATAGCGACTGAGCTACTCAATTGTGCAGCTTGCAGCCCGCCGTGTCTAAAGGTAAGCGAGAACGAAGTGTTACTAATCAATCACACAGGCGAAACGAGGTTCGGCATAGCTGTTATCACTCAGCCAGTCTTACTGCTTATGTAGCACAAATATAGTGTCGAAGTTTGGTGTTTGCTCCAAGAAACATAATGCATGATACTTAGATGTTAGTAGTATCAGATTAAAAGAGACAATTGTAGGTCAGTGGCAGTAGATGGCAGTCATGATGCCGTGCTGCAAATCGCCGTGCACAAGGCGAAGTGGCAGTTGAAACTCAGCCACCATTTGGGTTTCAAGCATTAACCGAAAAGTCCGGAAAGTACCATCCGTTGTTATAGAAAAGAGCTTTGGTAGAGATTTACCTCGCCAGATCATCTCTATCGACCATTCTGTTTGGCACGCGACGAGTTGCTCATCTACGTGGCAGACACACATGCAATCACCCAGGACTAGATGCATCCTCAAAATTCCAGAATCAGGTCTTCCGGACATCACACGATAGTATGCGGACGTCAAAGTATTAGAGGCTAGACTAGCTACCACAGGGATATATATTCTGCGCAGGAGCGTAAGCATGCTACAATGTGATGCGTTACATTGTAGTAACGACAGGCCGTTTGCTTTAATAAAAATTGGGCCAATGGCAATTTTTCAAAATCAGCCAATCATTTATTGTCTATGTCGCCTGGACTCGCAGATACCCCAAACCCGTAGCCATGCGAACTCAACTCAAGCATTAAATTAATCATTACTTTCACCAGCACATTCTAAAATTTGGTTCGCTTACCCATGTTTACAGCTAGTTCATCATGAAGCTAGCCACACGTATACAAGAATTGTCTAAGAGTGAGGAAAGAAAGATCCTTCCGGAGGATCCCCCAAATCCAGTAATAACAATGTAAAGGCACCCACCAGCTACTAGGGTGGCCAACGGGAGGATCAAGAAAAGGAAAGAAAAGGAAAGGGGGGGGGCTGCGTAGGGCAGAGTGGAGAAGAGGGGCATTTCGAAAAAATGGTCTATGATGGTGCGGCGTCAGACTACAAACTCGTGTTGTTACATGTGAGTCTGTGTAACGCCAAATTTGAAGTAGTTGAGGTCGAGATGCCTAGGGCCATCGTAACGCCTTCACGCGCCACCTTTAAAAAAAGACCCAGACCTAATAATGAACGGCACCGCTGTGGAAGCCACACTCGACGCGACGATTTTCGGTACCAGAATCGACACGTGGTACGTGGTATGTGCGAAGGCGCAAAGTCGTTTGAATACCCCTGCGCAAGGGTATATAGATGCAGGATCAGTTCCATGATTACAGTAAATGCCCGAAAGGCTGACCGAGATAGCTAGAGGACCCTCTCTCTTTCGGGAGCTATGCCTCCTCTGGGATACGATAAGAGCCACCCAAGAATATCCAAGAGCCGCCCGCCATATTACAATTGTCTTCCGCGGCCGATATCCTAGTGGTGGAAGTCTAATGGCGGTCTCGTACGAGCCACGCGGCAGTGGCCATAGCAGAATCCTACCCCGAGTCGCAGACTATCTATAGGGCTACCTGTGGTTTGTACGGAAGCACTGACTCCCTTGTAGATGGATCGGATGGCACGAACGACGGAACGTCCGATCCGCCCATCACGGACGGTCCTTCTCCCTGCGGCACGGTCAACCGTCAACTACGCAATTTTCGCTCAACGCACTGGCACTCTTGCTAAGTTCAAGCCCCTATGATCCGCTGCTCGCCATGAAGAGGAGCGTGCACACGGGACTGATCTCGATCTGTTACATGGAAGTTGCCGAGCACCTTGACACTTCACTCCATCGTGTCTCGTGAAAGCCTCACTCTTCACACAATCGACACCTATACCATGCCCTAGGAGCAGCCACGACCCACATATATCCACATACCAAATTATCCATACGATATAATCCTCCTGTCCTCGTTTAGCGCAGCTGAACTTCTCATACAATTCTGCTTCATTGCACACTAGCTCTCTGCGGGTAGCCCAAAAGCATTGTCAACGTGTCATCGACAAGATCCTAAAGTCTTCCACTTCGTTAAGGGGAGGGTCTGTCATCACTTGCTCTATACCGATTATTCTTTCACTCGAAGCCCGGAAAGGAGCAGAAGGGATGGACCGTTCCTTCGCTCGGTCTACCGACACCCACCGAGAGCTGTTAGCTTTGCCGTCTACAGATGCGAACTATGACAATATAGTGCGCTACTCTAGCAGACTACATTTCATGTTTTACTAACAACTACAACCACCGTCATGAATTCTTCCCTCGATGCAAGACCAATGACTGGGGTACATGTACGGACTGCGACTTGAGCATGGAAGTAATAATTACCACTGAACTTTTCACTGGCGATACTACGGATCGCAAGCACCTCAACTGGTTCGATGATGATTCGGCTTAGTTCAAGAGCTAAAATCGTTTTTATCGGACCCTGGACTACAAACCGTCAAAGTGTACTACTATGTATGCTATGCAGATCGCTAAGGTAAACGAAACCACAAGGATCAAATCTCCTTACGCTAGTGGAAACAGGAAACCCGGTGTCGTTTGAACGGATTTCGGGCCAAAACGGTATGGCATGTCTTTCGGATATTCCAAGGCACTAGGATGCAAACGTACATTCCAAGACAGATGACCGTTCTTAGAGTGCTACATGGTCGTCGGTCTTCGTTCGGGTAGAGGCAAATCGTGATCCTTTCTTGCTTTTAATCTTGCCCCCATACCAGCACGCCACTGCGGGCCTGGCCGATTTGACGTCGGCTGAACGAGCTTACTAGAACCTCCTTTTGCCTGTCAAGGGTCTAATCGGGATATGATGGCGCTTTAGTGCTAATACTCCCATATAGGATCAAAACGACAAAATCACAATATCCAAGACACCTTTTTTCTCGCGGCCAATCACTAAGATCTTGGCGATCGTGATGCTCAACTCAGATTAATATACTGTAGAAGTCAAGCAAATACTGTGAATGAGGTGAAGAATAATATAATAGGCAAAATGAAGTAGGTTTCATTGTAACCGAATTACAGTCCAACCAGATCATACTCTCAAGCATATGTCATTTGCGGTCCGGCGCATAATAACCATTTAGTCGAGACTCATTCGCAGCGAATACCTGATCCAGACTACAATGTTCACCACCAGGCTTCTACTCCGTGCCGAGTGCGGATTAGTTCCTATAATGTAAGGAGGTAGCACGTTTAAAGTCGTACCTATACACCTTATCGCATATAATCATACTAAAAAGGTTCTCCCTTCTTTGGTTTTAATCTCGATATGGCTCTCAAGCCTATCCTACTAGTATATACGACCGCCCTTCTTCACAGGCTAGCCGGCTCCTTCATGTACCCTCCTCCGCAATTACAGACTTAACAGTTACAATACTAAAACACATTCTTCAGGAACTGCAAGCCTCTTCGCATCGAGCTTACGCATCTAGCTACGCCTGGTTACCCACGGTCTATCCTCACGAAACGTCATCGGACATACTAAGTCGCTACCCTCATTCTAGCACCGGACTCTCCTAACCATGCAGCCTGTGCAGCATGTATGGACGAACGTCGCATTAGCACATCAAACCGCCATGCACACTCCACGCGCATCGACTGCCGGATTCCGATCTTAGCTTCTCATCACATGCCAATCGCACCGTAGTCAGCACCAATATCTTACGTGGTCCCCCAAAAACCACACACCATTGTCTATGTCCAGAGCTCTTCCCAAGCTCTATCCACACCTTCTACCTCCATCCAGTCATATTTGTAATCAACTTTTGCACGCGTGGGCGTGATAGCGCACCGCATTTGATCGGTAGGATAGGTGGTGAAAGCGCTATCAGCCTTTGACGTTGTGGTATTCGAGCTGCGTGCGTCCACGGGATATGGATCTACGTCAGCGCTAGCGGAGGATTTGTTTGTAAGACGAGTCACGGGGGGCTCATGAGGTGGCATGGAATGGGGAAAGGGGATATACATTGGTGATACTCTGGGGAGGGGCCAAGTTCGAGATCAGCATTAAGATCTCATGATCGACGTTGGAATATGGTGGCGTAACTTTCGGATATCATTTTTTGGGCACGGCGCTAACAAAATTGGAGAAAATTGTATAGGAAAGATGCTAACAGACGGACCTTAGGGATTGGGTATTCACTAGCTTGTTATAACGAACGAAGTTAAGGTTCATACCTTGATGTCAGTAATGGAGTTTATTATGCGTGACCAATATTGAAGTGCACTATCAGAAGGAAAAAAATGATCCCCTGTATGTACCATATATCGAGAAGCTTTAGACTGATCTGCTGCTGTTGTTCATTCACTTTTTGATCTCATGACAACTGTGAATATGCTCAGTACACATGGCAGGACGTAAAAGGGCTATTTACAGATACCTAATGTGCTTTACCAGCCTTAAGATGTCATATGTCATACGGATCAGGCACTCATTGTGGAGTCGCCTCATATTTGTGTATATAATAAGTCATTCACGAAGGACAAGGTGGACAATAACAAGTAGCAGACAATTAAGCTGCGACACTGCAGCAGACGCGTTCAGATCAGCAATCAGAAAGAAATGATTTCAAGTTCAGATATACTGACCCAACGGTACACTGACTAGCTCATGCATCTAGAGTAGCGATATCCTCGAATGGGGGTACGCCCTTATATGGGTCCACGAGTGTTCAGAACTCAGCGTACCAAACAGGCTCCATCATCCATATAGTCATGGATACTTAGAGGAATGATGTGCTCAGAAGGGTATCAGAATCTGTGGCGTCATGATAACGACTCAATCTCGTAGTGTTAAGCTATATAGTAAATTCGTGGGTTATCACTCATCTTCAAATCGCTTCTCTTTGAGATTTGTATCAAGTTTCAGGTATACGTGAGCAGTCATAACACAAAATCACCATAGCACGATACATATTCTCACGATAATCAATACGGTCGAAACCGTGTTCAATGCTTATGCCTGGGCCTGCTTGGGCCTAACCAGGCGACTTGTACTTCCTGATGTCTAGCCCCTGAACGCCGCCGATGCTATGCTAATCATACAGAGTCCTCCCTTGCTCCCTATACCTTCTCCACCTCACTCCAACTCCTTTACCACCAGCGCTAGAATATCCTCCACCCCCATGCCCTCGATCTCGGGCTTCTTCGCCAAGCGCTGCCAAACCTCGCCATGGCGAGGCGCGCTCTGCACGCACTTCTCTCTCACCTCCGCCTGCTTCTCATCTGTCCCATGTTGCGCCAGGAACTTGACATACCAGGCCCATCCGTCACCCCAGTCTGGGTCCGTGCCGACCGCTTTCTCGAACCACGTCGCGGCCTTGTCCAGCTTGCGCTCCGCCCAGAAGATGCGCGCGACAGTGCAGAACAGTACGGGATCGTCCTTGGCCTTCTTGATGGCTTCGAGACTGCGTGCTTTGCGGTGCGTGCGCGCTTCAAGGTACCAGATACGCTCGCTCCAGAGCAGGCCTGAGTTAGGCACTTCGCGAAGGGCTTGGGCCATGAGAGCTTGTGCGGCAGGAAGTTGGTTGGCACGGCGCTCGAGACGGATACTTTCTGTCCAGAGTTCGGGGGACTTGGGGATGGCGAGACGGGCACGGTCGAGCACAGAGCGAGCTTTGACGATCACACCAGCTTTCTCTTCTATGCGTGAGGCAAGGAGCCACAGAGGAACGCTCTTAGGACAGTTGCGTGTGCCTTGAGTGTAGGCTTCGCGAGCTTGTGGAAGCTTGTTGAGATCTTCGTAGATCTGGCCTTTCTGCATCCAGAGCTTTGCGTAACCGGAATACATAGATAGTGCTTGGTTGACGAGGTCGAGAGCGACAGGTAGGTCGCGCTGTTGACGTTCAAAGGCGACGGACTTCATCCATACACGGTCAGTGCCAGCTTTGTCTCGCGCTTCAGCAAGAAACTGACGAGCCATGTCGAAATTTTGTATTGTAGCTTCGAATTGAACGGCGTTTAGGTAGATGTTTTCATTGCCAGGATTGGCGACAAAAGCCTGAGCTAGAACCATACGAGCACCATCCAAGTCATTGTTTGCGCGCTTTTCACGTGCGAATTGCATCCAGAGTTCTTCGGCCTGAGGACAGGCTTCAACGCCCTGCTCGAGCAGAGCTAGCAGATCTTCTTTGTCACCATGTAGACGCTCAAGATTGGCAGCCGCGAGCCAGGCTTCTGGCTTGTTGTAGAAGACGCGAAGTGCGTATGCGTAGATTGCTCGTGCTGTGATGTAGAGACCTCTGTTCGTGCAGCTTCTTGCATCTGCGAGCCAAATGTCGATGCGAGTGTCATCTTCCTGTAGTGACCACCCGAGGGTTTCACGGATGATAGATTGACAAGTGTGTATCGCGCCTTCCTCTTCGCACTTCTCGGCCTCAGTGATCCATTCGGTCCTCTTCAGCATAGCATCCTGTCGTGCAAGGGCTTTGACGGCGCCTGATATGACTTTCGAGGCCATTTTCAGATCGCCTGTCTGCTCCATCATTCGAGCACCGGCTAGATACAGCCTGTAGCTCGTTGGTAACGCTATACGTGCCTTATTTAGCACAATACGTGCGTTATCAGCGGTCTCAAGTCTCGCAAGTGCCAGCCAAAGATCTTCGGATTTGGGTATCATTTCTACAGCTTTGGCAAGAAGTAGTCGTGCTTCCTCGACATTCTCTTCCTCGTTCACCATCATCTTCCATAGTTTCTCGGACGTAGGTACTCGGTCAAGCGCTTGTCGTAGAACTCTCTTCTTCGCTCTAGGGTCCTCCTCTAGTCTCGTAGCCTCCAGCCATAGCGGGACTGACGTATCAAGATTCTTGATCGCATTGGCGGCAATGATCCTGGCGTTGTGTCTGTCATTGATGCGTATCCTCTCGAGCCACACATCCTCACTCTTAGGGCAATGCTCACATGCACGCGAGAGGAGATCTCTGGCGGCAAGGGCTCGACCCGCATGTTCCTCAAGCCGTGCAGCCGCTACCCACGCAGGGCCATGCTTCGGATTTGTCTTGACGACCGACTCCATCAAGGTTCTGACACGCTTTAGATCACCCACATTTGCCGCTGCACCCAGACCAGATTCTGATTGCGCCAGACTCGTCAGGTAGCCTTTTGGATCAACCGTCGTCGCCGTGCCGGACGTTGTTTCTGTGGTAGTGCCTTGCGCTGCTTGGTCTAGGCGCACCTGAAGCACCTTATCTCTTGCCGCACCGATATCCGCGAAGTTCGTCATCGTGCCGTCTCCACTCGAACCGGGACCACCGGATTCGATCGCTGTCTCCATAGCGTTCGCATCGCGCGCGCCTGCGATGACACTATCTGGTACTGCGTAGAATCGTTGTCGAAGATTCTGCTTCGCGCGTCGATTTTTACCCGTCAAGTCACCGACGCTGGGTAAGGCGGCCCATTCTTCATCCGTGACGGTGCTTAGCTCACGCTTGAGATCTGCGAATTGTTGTTGAATTTTCGGGTTGTTGCGCTCATACTCGTCGCGCTCCTCCTGCTCGCGCTTTTCCCTGTGTAATATCAGGTGTCAGTATACTGACCCACCAATTAAGCCTCTGAAAGATATAATCGATGTGTAGGGTGGAGAGAGAATGACAGCACGTAGCCACGCTCTTTCAATGTATGTTGTAGAGCGAAAAAGTGGGTGTAGCTACCTTCTGGCTTTCCTTCTCCTATCCATCCTCTCGTCCACATCCTGGTAGATGCGATCCGCCTCATCATCATCGCGGTCAAAGTTGCCGTTTGCGAACAGTCCCACCTCATTCTCTGGGTCTTGATACCGATCATCATCGCCGGCATCACCTTCTTCTTCCTTTTTCTTCTCTACCACACCATAAGCTGTGGGTGGTGCAATACCAGCGGCAGCAGCTCTTTTCGCAAGGACTTCTTTGATCTGGTCTTCACTAGGGCCCTCACGCGCAGGACCAAGATCGGAACGTGTGGTGAAGCCGGTGGCACCTCGACCGAGACCTGCGACGTAATTTTCGGGCGCAGCTTGGGAGAGGAAGTCTTTGCGACCAGACATTGCGGGCGTCAGGGGAGCGCGAGGCTCTCGAGGGAAAGAAAGGTTCAAATACAGAGAGAGAATTAAGCTTGTGCAAAGGTGTAGAAAACTGTGAAGGTACCTAAAGATCGCGAAGTTCTGGCGCGACAAGGCCGAAGCTATAGCTACGTAGACCGCTAGTCGTATGAAGTTAGGTCATATCACTACTATCTAATGCCTGAGGCACTCATTTGGACGTATCTGGAGTGGGAAAACAGGGATAGAAACTTTAATAGCTTGAAATATATCCCACGTCATGCAACGGTGATCACTAACTTTCATAATTGCGTAGTTGCGTAATTGAAGAAAGTGACCCATTCCATATTCTTAATTTCGATAATTCCACAGGCCGAGTGACATATCAGCACTTTCGCGCCAATCAATAGTGAACACCACATCTAGGCCGAATGAGAATGTACCACACCCCCCTTCTCAACGTCTCTTCCCGCAATATCCGCCGCATGGAAAGCAAGAGGGTCGCCACCCTTCTCTTGTGCCGCCCTGACCTCCTCAATCGCTGCGTCAAGTCCTGATTGACCCTTCTTCGTCTGCCATGCATGCGGGCCTTCCTTGCTAAACATGAACTCAATTTCCTCAAGCGTCTTGCCACAAGTCTCTGGGAAGAAGAAATAGAAGTGAATCGCCGCAAGTCCACACATGCCGCCGAAGATCAGGAAGATCCGATACAAGATATTGCGGAACGCCGGTGGCACGAATAGGCCGAGCGCAAAGTTGAAGAGCCAATTACCTGTTCCAGAGTTAATTTGAATGCCCATAGTGGACGAGATAGCCAAAAGCGTAAATACCTGTTGCGGAGATCCCCATACCAGTAGCGCGCGTCTCAAGAGACCAGACTTCGGCTGCATATACCCAGCACACCGGGGCCAGAGTGAGGGAGTATATTATGATCATGAGGTACGAGAAAGCTATCACGCCGTGTGCAGGAGATCCAATGACACGCATGAGAACGTTCTTGTCATTATTGACTCCTTCGGGGACGTACTCATAGTAGCCGCCGAGAAGACCACCAATAACGAAGTGGCAAATACCCATTCCAAGTGCGCCCCAAACGAGGAGTGTACGGCGACCAAGGCGGTCGATATAGAAAAACATGATGGTCGTGAAGATGATGAAGAGCGCGTATTGGATCCCCGATGAGATGAGGTTTACGTTTCCTGACAGATTTGCCATCATAAAGACGTATACTACATAGTAAGTCATACTTTTTTGTCTCCTCAGTACAATTGAAACCTGCATGTTGATCTTCAAACTTACACGTTCGCTCCCGCAAGCTGTTGCCAAGCCTGGACGGAAAATCCAGTCAGAGTACGCTTCCACATGCCATGCGCGAACCATTTCTTGATACCTTTACCAGCCGCGCGCTCTGCAGTAAGGACCGTGGTGATCTCATTGAGCTCAGCGATGACTAAGGGATCATGTCGGTTGCCTCCAGCTTGAATCCTAGCAAGTATGTCGATTGCTTCGTCCATGCGATCTACCTTGGCCAACCAGCGAGGAGATTCAGGAAGGAAGGGAAGGCCAATCATGAAGAATACACAAGGGACAAACTGAATACCCCAGGCAGTTCTGAAGGACTTGGTCCCTTCCATAAAGGAGCATCCATAACCAATGAAGTACATGATCAGGACACCCCATTCGATCGCTAGTTGCTGAATTATGACCAGTGAACCGCGCTTCTCTTTCTTTGCGATCTCGGCGAGGTAGACAGGAACCTGGGAGGAAGTGATACCAACAGTGATACCATTGAGAATACGACCTCCGATGAGCATGCCTTGATTCTGAACAGCGACCTGAACCGCAGTCCCCACGAGCCAGGGAAGACATGAGATGACGAGGGCATTGCGACGACCAAGTTTGTCAGAAATGGGACCAGCAATGATTGAACCTACAACAGATCCAGCAGCGAGAGCAGAGCCGATGGCCCCTTGATTGATGCCGGATGGATTATGGAAGTAGTCCTTGTACTGGTTTGTACCGATGATAGCAGACATCGATGAGATGTCGAAGCCAAAGCTGTAAAGCAATCAGCATCCGGATATGGCCTTGGGAACTTGCAAAGAATCTTACAGCATGCCACCTACTGTAGCGATCATGGCCACAAAGTAGGTGTTGTAGATCTTAGGAAAGGTAGGGAGGCCCATGATGCCAGTACTCAGGTTCTATGATTCTTCTTGACGACAACTTTGAAATTGATTTTGGGGAGAACAGCAGGCAAGAAATGGATATGCAGGACGTGGGCAGATTATATTGAGCTTCAGGACGCACAAGGGCGCTAGTGTCCCAGGTGGAAACGTGATCAGTGCTCGAAAGTGAGGTCCACCATCATGACGGAGTGAACTGTGAGTGGTTTAAATCTGCTGCAGGCAGGGGATCGATCTACTGTGCACGGGACAGACGGACTGCGTGACCACATACTTGTTCACAACACAAAACTCAGCCCTTGCCTGCTTCTCTTGCATTGGACCAGTTCCGATACCGCGTGCACCAGCAACTATAATGGGCTGTCACCCTCCAGTGCAACATGTCTCCCAAGCACGACGATCAACTTCGATGGGAGTACCAATTTTGTAAGAGGCGTCGTCCATAGATTCGACAGTGGTTAGTATGACAGAGTAACGGATTGAGCTCATCCTGTTGTACAACTCGCACTGTGTCAGGGAGTGCGATGAGTGTTGTAGATACAGTGCGTCACATGCTGGACGAGTGAAGCTGGAATGTGAAATCTGGGGTAACCCTAGCAGCCCCCGCTTGGCCCAAGCTCCAGCTCCCCCACCGTCCGACCCGTCATGCACCGAGGCGCTAACCGCCCCCGCCTTTAATTAGTCCCTCAACCATCACTCCAGCTATCTTCAACGTCTGTTCAAAGTCACACAAGTGCCTCTTGTAGAGTTCCAGATGCAATTGTCTACATGGCAACCAAAGATTTCGAAGTCGAAAGACAATGATCACCAGATGGTCATCATACAAGCTTAATCTTTGCAAGCAAGGACTGAGCTAGTCATGAATACGAGCCCAAGCTCATGTCGTGATGCTCCTCGTTGCACGAGAACGATTAACATCCCCCGAACTAGTATACACAACGCCAACCCGTTCATGTAGAAGCTTTGAGCCTCAAGGAAGATGAGGGCGGAGTCCAGATGCGCCCCAATCGTACTCGTACACCAGCGACAAGAAACATATCCTACAACGCCGTTATGCTCTGGAAAAATGAGTTCTGCTGCAGCTTCTTGTTGTTCTTGACGAGATCCCGCAGGCTCTGCACCTGCTCTGCCTTCGTCAACTGTTTCTCGTCCACGTCCTTCTTCCACTTTAGTAGCACTTCCTTCAGCATCGCGCTACCTTCTTCCACTTCTTCTTTCGAGGCTTGCACAAAGTTCTCATCGTGCTTGGTGGTGAAGTCCTCGAGTTCATCCGCCTTTCGTTTCGCCATCTTGACCACTTTCTCTGGGAACCTGACCAGCTCGGCGACGTGGATACCAAAGGACTGGTCACACACACCTGGCTCGACTTTGTAGAGCAATGTGACTTCTCGTCTCTTCTGGGAACCTTCTTCTGCCTCGTTTATATGAGCAACAACGTGCAAATTTTGGACTTGGCTATACGTATCAACTAACGCGGTAAGTTCGTGGAAATGGGTCGCGAATAGTGCAAAGGCGCCAATCTCCTTGATAATGTATTCCGAGATAGCCCAGGCGAGACCAAACCCATCATAGGTACTGGTACCTCGACCCAGCTCGTCGATGATAATGAGAGATTCTCGAGTTGCCGACTTTAGGATATTGGCAGTCTCAAGCATCTCTGCCATGAATGTCGACACACCTTTCAATTGCGAATCGCTCGCGCCAACCCTGGCGAGTATGCAGTCGACAATTGAAAGTTCAGCCTCCGAGCAAGGAACAAAACAGCCGATTTGAGCCATCAAGGCAATGACTCCAATCTGTCGAATGTACGTTGATTTGCCGCCCATGTTCGGGCCTGTGATTATGACGAACTCTGAAGACCCCCTCTCGAGAGCCACGTCATTGGTAATGAAAGAGATATCGTCTTGCATCTCAAGACATGGATGGCGCGCTTCTTTGAGGACCGTATTACCCGTTCCCCTCGGATGCATCGTAGGTCGAACGTATGATGTCGGCGCATGGACGGAAACGTGGGCGAAACTGACAATAACATCCAAATGTGCAAGTATTCCGGCGAGCCGCTCAATAACCGGACAGTATGAAGATGCAACCTTCACAACCTCGCCAACCAGACCACTCTGGGTCCGATTGTAGTTGTCTGACAATTGGTCAAATTCTCGTCGGATGTTTTGCATAGTCTTAGTAGTGAAGTAGACACCATTCTTCTGTGTTGAGATCTCCTGGTATCCTTTCTTGTTGCGAATAACACCAGCTTCATTCCTAGTCAAACGAAAACACCAACCATGTTTGCTGTGTTGCTCGAGGTAGAGCTTCTTGTCGCGCTCTTGATCCAAGTCTTTACTCACGTCTTTGTGCTCTGCATTCATTTCATTTTTAAGCTTGTCTAGCTTCTTTCGAATGATGCGAAGTCCATCATCAAAATCTGGTTTGATGATGAATTCGTGATTTTCCAGAGCATCCAGGTCCACAGTGGTCTCAACCATCTCTTGTAGTTTACCCAGAGCGTCATTGCACTCACGAAGCTTTGATGTGTATTCGACGTCAAGGGGATCCTTGTATGTCTCGTCCATAACACCATCGAGCGTGCCCAGAAAACCGGGCAACCGGATAGCGACCTGATAAGCGCGAACGACGTCTTCTAGATTCGCGCCTTTACGTTGAAATTTCTTCGCTAGTCGATATAAGTCAGGTATGGCACGCAGATGCTCTTCTTGCATAGTTTGTCGTAACTCCGTGTCTTCAACAAAAGCCTCGACTAGCTGCTGTCTTCTATTGATTTCCACGGCGTCCATGAGTGGTTGCTTTAGCCACTGGGCTAGGAGCCTACTCCCGACCGGCGTCTTGCAATGATTAAGTAGCCCGTACAAGCTCATGGTCTTGGATCCGTCTCGTGGTCCTGGCATCAAGTTTAACGCTTTGAGGGCCGCCGCGTCAAGCTTCATAAACTGCGATAGGTCATGCTGATATAGCTGATACTGTCCGAAGTTTGCATCATCAGACATGACACCGAGATATCTAATGAGAGCAGCTGCTGATCCCATAGCAAGCTTCAAGTCTGTTTGTGGCAGCTGACCTGCCGCATGCTCATCTCTCAACAGTCTTTCGAGATCTTGCTCGATGTCTCGTGTCGCAAAATCTGAAGCTCCTCTTTCTGATACAGCGCAACCACAGTTGTCCGCGATCAACCGCAACTTGCCAAGCTCGACATCTTTCTTCGCTGTATCCGCTTGTATCAACACTTCTCGTGCACCAAGCTGGATGAGCAGACTTTCAAAATTTGAATACAGGTCATTGTCGAGGAACTCGCTGACACCAAGCTCTTTCACACTCGCGTCTGCAAAGCAAACGCCGACATTTCTTGCTTCGTTCGCCCTCGCCGATACTTTGACCGCCAATATGATCGGAGCCGTGTCAAGCTGTCCCCCAAGCTCTTCTTCTATGTCTTGCAGATTGCCCGGCGATGCCTGTTTCTCGACTTTCCATGAAGAACGACCTGAAGAGCCCCAGATCTCGACACGCTTGCCTAATCTGAAAAGTGCTTCGCGGAGGAAGCTTCGGAATACGGTGATAGATAGGGTGACTGATTGGAGGCCAGGTTCGCGGCCAAGGGTCTTGATGACTGATGTTGTTCGGTAAACCTTTAAAACATTAGAACATGCGCAGCATATCTGTATAGCTTCAAATGACATACTGTGCGGGCGATAAAGATTGCATCTTCCCCGTGCGCTGTGTAGAAGTCTCCCCGATTGAATATTCTCACAGTGCCGTTACCGTCGTCCGAGAGGCTGCGAAAGAATTTTATAAACCCGACTTCATCGTCGACTTTTAGTTCTGGTCGTGACGCCATTGTGTGCGAGACCTGAGGCGAAGATTTGTTGTGCAATCAGTCTATTGCTCATCGACGTGATCTCATATGATGGACGACGCGTCGCGCGACTATCGATTACTCCGGACGCGACGCGCTATTTCTGATTCGGGTCTAGCGTTCTTGACCTCATCACCAAGTGATAGCTCTGAAACTTTACCGGGGTCATGACTCTCCAACAGAGATGTGTGGGTTGGAGCCTTCCTGGTGAATGTGCTGAGTTTTCGGCTTTCTGGAGACCGAACTGTGCCGTATGACAGGTTATACCTGAGCCATCAAGGGAAGAAACTGATGCTACATGGCAAAACGAGTAACGTATATACGAAGAGTGAAGATAGCGCCATGAGAATCGTAGGCCATGCACCTTTTCCCATGGCTCTTTTGCATTTTCCAAGTGCATCCTCAGAGCCCTCGGGTCCAAAGAATGTTGGACCCTCAGTTCTGCGGGAGATCCAGTACTACCATAGTCGAGCAGAATCAATGGTCCTCATTTCAATCCAGCACATACACACAAGCCCTTGGCTGAGCGCGCGTCCCTTTCATTGGGCTAACTCACGGGGTACTAATGATGAACAACATTCACTTGAAGAGATTTTGAAAGGGAGATTTTGAGAAAGGGATACATTCAAACCTTCACGGTCAGGCTGTGAGATATATTTGTAACTCCTTAATTGGTCGTCTACTAGGCCAGCTAGTCTACGTTGTGTTCGTACACAGCCTGGAAGAGCGTCAAAGAGGTACTGGACCAGTGCTGAGCGAAGGCTTTAGAGTAGCCAATTGTTCCACTCGGGTTAAGAGGCCTGGGTGCCGCAATGTTGCGTTTCAGCGTGATCGCTATCTGTGTAGCTCTTTATGCTGCCTCCTTTTTCCAGACCCAACCACCGTCAGCTTCCCCCACAATCTTAATGTTGGTCTTGACCGGGTGTAAGTCAGTCGAGCCTCCCTCAGTCCGCTTTTCAACACCATGCCCTTCCCATGACATTTCATTTCTCAACATCATCACCCTGCGCTCGTATGTGACCGAAATGCCCCTCTCCCTTGTTTTCATAGTCATAGTCATGCGGTTTACAAGTCCCTGTGGCCCCTCTCCAAATGCTCCTATGCATTTCCACTCGTACCCGTATTTGTCGATCTCGAGCCACTCTGTCTTCCAGATAACTTTAGTGGGATTTCCTTGCTCTGCTGCATTCACTCCGTCGGGACCTAGCTTGCAGCCGTGACAAGCCCACGTGCCCTGGATAGCCTCTGGAAAAGCTTGTGCAGCATCTCTATAAGGGTCATCAAGACTTCCAGCCGGGCCATGCGCATGTTCAGCGGAGCACCCAGCGCATTCAACTCTTCTGGATTTGTACGAACCGCTTTTCACTTTCGGCCACTGCCTGATGCTTGACATGGTTGCGTAAGAGCTTTGGGCCGGGAAAGCTATGGTCTGATGTTCGGTATGTTTCTAAGATGTTATATGGTAGAATGGTTCGACGTATGTTCGAGTTTCAGGAGTTGGAAGTAAAGGTTTGAGCCGTCGAGGACCAGGTGTCGAAAAGCATACGCTGAACTCGTTTATATATCATATCCCTCGTGATACCAGCCGTGAAAACTTGTCGTAGAACAAGGGATATTGCTTTGTCTTCACGACTCCGTGGTCAACATGTAGTCACGTACAATCTCAGATCAGGGAATGAATACCTTGCTTGGAATGGCTTTGTCCTCACTTAGCACCAGAGACTCCAGTGTAACAGTCCGTTGCCTTTGCTTCCTCATTTTTCGTAACCTCTTCGTCTGACTGAAGTACTACAATGTCTCGGTCTTCTTTGGATTGCACCAGAACAATGAGCTGATTGGTATACTTGTTCGACTGTCTATGGAACGAGATATGCAATATCTCAAATCTTCCTTCTTACATCTTCTAAGGCATATCCCATGACCTCATGTAAATCCTTTGTCGTTATAATGGGCACAATTGCTGCATGTAGTCACTGACACCCAAGCTAGCTGGAACTATCAGTGAACAGTCCCTATAACTCTTCCGTATCTTTGTCGCGAACCTCAGGCAGGTTTCTAATCTTTCACAGGGTTGACGATCGGAATCTCGAAATGCTCAAGGCGTGAAGCAATACAAGAAACAAAGACTTAGTTAACAAAGTATGCTAAGAATGTATAAGTACACAGTGAGCTACGCGCTATCTATGCTACATATTGGCACCCATGATCAGATTTGACGTCACAAAATTAAGTTCATGTACGATGGAGTCTTTCAATCGACTTTATTTAGATTTTGACATACGACATCATCATATGTCATACATCATATACGCTCGCCTACTGTAGATGCAGTTGTATTTATGTAGTGTCTCGATGACATTTGATCCGTGGGCAGATACGTGCAGATCCACTCAAAGCTCTTCATTCATCATGCCCGTGAATGCTTCCACTCATGGAATGTCACTACTGAACACAGACTTGACTGTGGCTATATCGAGACTGACATACGCCATCTGCTTCGCATTGAACCACCCACTCAAGGTGTTCTTCCACTCGCTATCCTTGACCTTGCTCACGCCGCGAAGCTGCTTTGCATAGTCCGCTGAACTGTAAAGCTCTATAGCAGACGCAATAGCATCATACTCGGTGTCAAGTGGTAACGAGTTACACAACTCGTGGTAAAAAGCATCGGTGTTCCAGCCTATGCCAGCGATGAAAGGCTTATACGAGTCGTAGTGATCGCAGATGTACTCGCGATTGTCCTGGGTGGCAGCGGCGAGGAAGATTGTGCGGGCAGTAAGAGTCATGGTCGTCTCTTGGTAGCCGGTGACCAAGGTCTGATTGGCGACAAGGACAGGAGTATTTGGATCGTATGCTTGCGCCGTGTTGGCAAGCTTGCACACACTAGCGATGGGATCAGCCTTGGTAGTGACAACACCAAAGGCATTAAGCTTGTCATAATCTAAATTTTTGCATAAATATTCGTAAATGACGAAGAGCGGAATTCCGTGCTTCTGTGCGAAAGAGCTTAGAATCTGGTTGGTGAAGATGTCCGAGGCAGACTGTTGAATAGTATTGATGAGCCCGGGAATGCCCGGGATCGGTCCAGCCGCAGCATTACAGAGTTCGGCGCGGAGGGCGTCGTTGGCAGGCACGGAAGTAAATTTAGTCCAGTCCGCATAGAGGGAGTCGGTCTTGCAGAGATATGACAAGTCGGCCTGGTTGCGAGAAGAGCCAATCACCAAAGCTCCAAGTGTCTTGGAGAGCGCGATCTGGACAGAGGTGCGGTTGGCAGCCGCTTGTAAGGTCAGACAGAATAAAGTAGTTGACAGATCATATTTTTACTGACCGATAGCAGGACCTGCCTTAGGATTTACCTCGCGCCGGCTCAAGACCGCCGCCGTGACTGTGAGAGCGAGAGTGGATAGAAGAGCGAACTTCATCTTTCTGATAAGAGTTTGAGTACAGTTCAAGTACGTGGATGCTGAAATCTTTATGCTGATATGGCAAAAGCAACAGGACGCACCACTAGGAAAGACTCTATGAGGTCGAGTGTTGTGAATGTCGAGTTGAGAAGAGAGTAAGGAATCTGGCGAGATTCGGTACTTATATACTTTCTCAGTGAGCCCAGCAGCGATCACATGGTGCGTTTTTCGGGTTGAGAAGCAGTTGCCGTACGCGATACATCAATATACGCCGAAGCTACGGCCATGGTTGTTGCGGTCAGGCATACTTGGGACGTCTTGAAGGCGCGTAACGATTGGAAGATCAACGTGAGGCAAAATAGGCTGAAACGCGCAGAAAGGTTTGTGTGTTCCGTGTATGACTTTGGGATTGTTTATGACTACAGTATTCAGTAATGGAACGGACGCAAAAGTCTGGCACGCCGCTATTGAGGACGAGGATAATCGGATGGAGTTGAGCCTTACATCAAGTCAAGTAAGGTCGTCGATCCCTGTCGTGCAAGGAGGCATTAAACTGTAAAGGTACCCGCACGATGCATCATTTCGCTTTGTGCTACCCGACCATACGACAGAGCAATCACTGCTGAGCCCCTAAAGTAATCACTTTTTCAATTCCTGAGGTGGTGAGGCGCCGAGGAGAGAGAGATAGATTGACAGATGGAGAAAGAGCTTCACCATCCTACACATCATCTTAGTTTCCAGAATACCCTTTGACCTCACACAAGGCCTTCCAAGCACATCATGTTTCCAGTATATACACCACAGCTCCTTCAGAAATTAGATCGCCGTGACGAGAGGGGGTATCAGAAATCTCATAAGCAACCCATCCGCCATTGCAACACAGCCCAGTGCGCTCAAATGTTTGGACCAGGCCAATCCGGTTGCCGTGTCTATATTATCTCAGAACGCCGGGACATGCCAAAACCAGTAACCCAGAGAGAATGTAACATGCGGCGCATATATAAACAATAAAGACCTTAAGGCTTACAGCCCCAAAGCTGGCCTGTCTTCAACGCCGTGATGCAATATGATATAGTAGTCGTAAGAAATGAAGGGATATAACGCAATCTAGACGTCAGTCGCCGATAGCCAGGATGTCGTCAAGTGCAGAGTGCAACGCGTTCTGATCGACGCTTGCCGCACCCTGCCACCCAAAGTCCTGTGCTTGCTCGTCAATATCCATGGCATCACCATTTGTCAAATGGTTGTTGATAGTAGCCTTGGGAGCTTGTGCTACTCGCTCAGCCCTTTGTGCAGTTCTTTCGTCAGCCTTCTGCTCCTCAGGATCTGCCCAACCACTAGCCATTATCTGGCCGGCGAGGAGCGGCACGGCCCCAAGATATGGGTCACCAAGTTGTACTGCAATCTTGAGGTCACTCATGTTGAGCGGCTTACGCTGGTGATTCGCTTCGACTTCGGCGGGAAGCAGGCCCACAGCATTCTTTTGAATTTCACCTCTCATCCACATATCCTCCTCTTTCTCTAGTTGGCGCTTGAATGTGCCTGTTCTCACAAAATTCTCGCCGTTAGTCGCTACCCGTCCGATGAACGATGAAAGTGCCTCCTTGATGTAGAACTCGGCCGCGAGGCTCACAAATTCCGCTGCCCCTGCTGCCGCTCCATTGGTGAGACCTTCTTCGTAACATATGGGAACCATCCGCGCTTGGACAGTTTCAGGATCGGGAAATTCGTTTGTTTCGACGAAGAGTGGTTGGTTGTATCGTTTTCGGATCTCTGGCTCCCAGTCTGTTACATAGTATAAGCAAAGCTGATGCTACTCGCGAACCTGAGAGCACTCACTTGTTTTACTTGCGAACCCGCCAGCGGAAATCGCAGTAGCATCTGGTAGCCGCAGATTCCGAGCTTGATGATACTCGTCCATTGTGCGTGTGAACATGTCAAATGGGTCCTGCATGCTATTGTTAGCTCAGTCCAGTATTCTTGTGCGTGATTGCACCTCTTGGATCTGTTTCAGCCTCCGTCTTTCTCTACCAGTTAAGGCCATGACCTCCGTTTTTAATCGTTGTTCGGCTCCATCTCCCGATGTTGGCTTCGCGACCAGTGTAGGTTTATCATTTGCAGATACCCAATTGGCAACACCTGGTTCGGGAGGATCGCGTCCAGCATTGCCGTATACAGCAGCTATGAATTGATTGTGGAGGTGCACTCGTTGTGCGTTGACACCTATAAACGGAGTCCGCCTCGAGAGTTCGTCCTGGTTGAGGGATCCTGGTTGCCAGGCAGTTGCATTAGCTTCCTGTGTTCATGAGAGAGTTATGGTGTCGATGGGATCTTGAGCAGTATTCACCTAAGACGAACAAGCTGATTGCTTCTTTATAGAGAGCCCAATCGTGCGCTCCGAGCGCAGATTGAAGCGCAGTGTATATAGGTTCTATGTCGATCCGCGGGGCGGTTACTATAGGCTTGGAGGGTTTGGTCTGAGGCGTGGTAGAGTTGGGGAGGGATTTGGAGGGTAGTATGGGAGTCGACATATTATTGAGGAGCTGTTCTGTGCGCACGACAGTCGCCATTTTAATGCTGAGCAAGTCTGGTGAGGGAACAATGCGACGTGACAATGCGGACTGGGACGGGCGGCGCAACGCCGTATGGCGCACTTTAAGGAAGCGCAATCCTAGGAAAATGTTGGAGATGAACTCAAATGTCTCTCTGAATTGAAAATGAAATGTATTGATGATGAAGGAGATGGAACCTGTCGCGATCGCAGGCACGCTATACACAGTATGCGGAGGTAAGGTCAGGTCTGTCGTTTTAGCGTGAAATGGAACCGTCCACCCATGCATGAGGTACCAGAATCTTTGACACGGCACGCATAGTTCTCCGAAGGAAACAAAATAGTCATTGAGCAACATAGTGGATGCCGAATTGAATTTCGACAGACTTTAGATCTAAATGACCATAACGCTCGTTGTATGCCTTTTTGTACCCTCACTAACCATCACTCGTATGCTCACGGACGTTAATCGTCGCGAAGGGCACTTTCACCCAAGTCAACTTTGCCAACGCTCCAAACTTCTCTCTCATCTTCCTTCTCATCACTAGACAAACCAAGCCCCCCATGGCCACCTTCGGCTTCTTTTCTCTCCCTGGCCTGCGTCCCCAGCCGCGTTGCTACTCTTTTAAAGTAATCTTGCATGCTTCGCTTCTGGTTGGGGGCCAGGCTCGAACCTGGACCTGCCATGTACTTATCAAATACTACAGTCTCTTCTTCCACAACCGAGAATATCTCTAAGAACGCAGCCTCTGCGGAGAGTTTGATGGGGATGACCGGATCTCGCACACTTGCAAATATGGGCGGCGCAAGCAGTGGGAGATGAGGTCTGACAACATCGCTGTTTTCTCGAGCCACCGTACGAATGACCACAAGAGCGAGTCGTCTAGTATCGACAGGATTTCCAGGCTGTATGATCGGCGCAAGTGCTTCGAACAGCGGTTTGACTGCATCGAAATTTTTGTTGCTTGATTCGGTCAACAAATATTTACCTGCTGCCAATACGCAATTATCGACAATCTCTGGTTGCTAAAAGCCATTAGCGATGGTCCGTTAGGTGTCGAAATGGCGCTTACTTTGTGCTGAATCCCGGAGCTGATTACTGTTACAGTCTCTTCTTCGAAATCTCTGGTAAGTCTAACGGCAGCATCGAGCAGGACAGCATTGAGGTCAAACACCGAAGATCTTGTGAACTGCGTCGTAAGGACGCGAGACTTGAGGAGCTTTTCCACCGCATCCCCCTGAACAACCTTCACCAAAGCGCCAAATAGTCGAGCGTTGGTTATCGCTGTTGCTTCATCGTTATCACACTCATCGGCATCTATCAGACCAAGAATGAGATTTCTTGAGGCTTCATTCATGTTACTGCCTGCCTTACTGACCACTTCAAACAACGCCTTGAACATCGCGTTCCTGACTCCGGTGTCGATCGTCTTAGCTCCAGTGACAAGCTCTGCTATCAAAGGATCGATACGTGGTGTTAGTGTGATGAGGGTACCTAAAGCCTTCGCAGCTCGAGTGCGAAGGACGTCGCTTGATGTATCGGCCAATGACTTAGCGAATGTGCGTTGCAGCTGTGGCAAAAAAGGCTTCAGTAGCGTTGGTATCTTCTCGAGAAGGTTATTCAGGGTGAACAAGATTGCAGCTTTGACCTCCACAGAACGTTCAGAAACGACGCGGATAAGAGGGCCAGTGATTTGAGTAACGAAGGGTCGTAGAGCATCTCCATTTGTCCGATCGACGATGTCTGATATCGCCAGAGCGGCTTGCTCACGCTGGGTCGCCGTACCATTCATGAGACCTTGCAAGAATATAGGCAATATGGCATTTATACCCTTGGGTAAAGAGAAGCCTGGAAGGTTGGATCCTTTGACACCAACGTGGTTTAGGACTTGGCGCGTTGAAATGACCAAGGAATCCATTTCCTCTTTTCGCAGTCGCTTCGTCAATTCACTGAGCGCGGCCCAGGCTGCCTTGACGACGTCTTTGTCGCTGTCGTCAAAAGAGACAAGCAGAGCTGAGATTAAGCTCTCGTGGTACCGAGCAATGTCTATGTCGGTACGCGCAAAGAAAGCGGATAGATGCAAGTCTGCGGTGGCTCGTCTACGGTGGTCGTCATGCTTGACCAGGCCTAGCATAACGCTCATGGCAGTATTAAGCCCATCATATTCATCCACAGAGAGCAAAACAGTATCAAATGCTGAGCTGAGTTCTCTCCTCAAATCCTCGTCCTTAGTGCTTACTATGTTTTCAATAAGCGCATTGATGATGTTGGGTAGGCGCCGCGTCATGGTGTGTCCGGCGACTTCAGCGAGGGAAGCAATTGCGCGTGCATTGAAAGCAGTCATTGGTGTTGTTAGAAGGGTCGGAAGTAGCGTCGGGAGAATGATGTTGGATCTCATGTTGTCCGTCAACAAAGTGAGCAACGCAGAAAGGGCATTTTGAGCGTCATCCTCGTTACGCAGAAGGTTGAGGAGATAGGGCAGGACTTGATCGACGGCTTTCTTCCCTAGAATACGCTGCAACGAGTCGAATGCTTCTGCTGCAGCTTCACGGACCTCTGAGTCTGAGTCCACAAGTGCCGTTCGAACGACAGAAATGAGTGTTTTCTCGTACTCCTCAAGAACCTCAGTCGACGCGGCAGAAATGAGTTCCTTAAGCGCTATACAGATGCCTTGCTTGGCATCGCTGTCCGTGGTGTGAAGTCCCTCTTCTAAAGTAGGTAGAAGGCTTGCGAGAACACCTTCACCAGCTTTGCGAATAAGTTCTCCGAGCGCATTGCCCGCAATAACCTTTTGCTCCATATTGGAACTCGCAAGGCGGCGAATGAGCAGCTGAGTAAGAGTCGGAATAAGCTCACGGAGTATACGAGGAGTAGCTACCAAAGCCTTCCAGACATTGATGGCGGCGCTTCGTACAAGACCAGAAGTATCGCAGCGGCATATATACAGCGCAGAGAGAACCTTGTTGCGTTTGTCTTCCCCGAGAACTTCAAGAAGAGACTGTCCGGCTTCTTTCGCGCCTTCTTCGGCTTCTTCTTCCTCTGTAGAGCCTGTGATACCTGTGAGGTTGAACAGTAGATCTCCAACAAGCTCGACTGAGCTAAGACGGATCCGGTGGCTATCATCAGCCAAACCACGCTCAAGTTCGGGCAGTAGTAGGTCGATTGCTTTGCTTGAGAAATTCTTGACAAGTAGTCGTCCAGCTCGTAGTGCTGTTTCACGAATCGTCTCGTTGTCATCTGCAAGACCGCCGAGTATTGAAGGAATGATTTTGCTGAGGTAATTGGCAAAGCTGTTACCAAAACAGGCAGGTAAAAAGATGAATAGAGACATGAAACCTTCTCTGACTGATGACTTTGAGCTCTGTACATTTTGAAGAATCGATGGCAAGGTCTCTTCCAAACGAGCCGTTCCAAGCCCAGCGAGCACCTCACTGAGCGCCTGTGCCGAACCCAATCGATCTCCAGCGCCAGTGTCTGATTTGAGAGTTGCCATCAAGCTGGGTATCAAGTCCGGTAAGGCATCTTCGCCAAGCTTTTCGATAAGTGAGCCGAGAGCTTTGGAGGCCGTAGCTCGTGTGGTCGGCACTGGATCAACGATTGCAGTCTTGAGTCCAGCAACAAGGATTGGCAAGTGAGCAGTCAGGTCTTTGCGCTCTGTTAGGTGAGCCAGACTTCCAATGATTTGACTCGACTTTCGTTTAGTGGCAGACCTATCACCAAGCCCACGTTCCAAAATCCTGACGACAAGTGCAAGCGATGGAGCGTCTAGATAATGGACGAATGACACCTTTATCAAGGCATCCAGCGCGTCATCAGTGTGTTTGGTAGGATCACTAAGAGCCTTCAGAAGAACATTGACTGTACTCTTGATCTCAGGGTTACTGATTACCTCACCAAAGCGTTGCAAGCTTCTATTTGCAGAGGCCCTGACTTCTTTATGACTGTCCGTCAAGACTTGAGTCAACGGTGGAATTATCTCTGGTAGGCTCAGGGCAAGTTGCTCAGGGTCCAGATACGCCATGGCCCCCAGCGAATCGCAAGCTCCCTTCTTACTGCGCCATTGTTGATCATCGAGGCCCTCGAGAAGAGTGGGAAGTACTTGCTTGACACCGAATGAACTCAGGGTCGAGAAGCATACCTTCGCCGCGTCTAGACAGGCTTCTCTAACGTCAGCACTACTGTCGCCAAATCCAACCAGAAGTTGAGGGACCAGCTGAATAACATATGGTTCAAAAACTCGTCCAAGTACTAATGAGAGCAATTCGTATGCCAGAAAAGCTCCTTGTCGTTGGTTTGCTTCTTTCTTGTTTTCTGTAGCACCCTTCAACGTTACGAGAAGGCGATATTCACGAAAAGCAATGATTCCTTTGCCACTGACGATACCAGCGAGACCGTAAGCAGCACCTCGACGTTCCGCGTACTTTTTCGAATTGAGTAGTTTATCCATCATCTGCTGAACATATGCTGAAGTTTCCTGGCTACTCGCTTGCACCAATGGCGGCAGACACTCTGCCACTGCGTATTGGACAGTTTCAGATGGCGTACTGAGAGTGTCTAGAAGACGTTGAACTACCTTTGGTACCCGATTGTCTCCTGCCTTCAAGTGTCGAGCCAGAGCACCATAGAGAATGATGACTGCCTCGTTGACCATGTCATAGTCTGCAGAGCCTCTATCTGGTCCTTCCAGGGCTTGCTCGAAAAGCTGCATGAGCTTTTCGACATGCGTTTTACCTTTCGAGGCAATGATCGCCGTACAAGCCTCGATCATACCATCTCTGACTGTTGCGTTACGATCACCAAGTGGCCCAGCTTGGACCATGAACTCTATAGTGCTAATGACGCGAGACTCGACATATAGAGGTGCGAGTTCCCTGTAGGTGTGAGCAATGCCGTCTCGGGCCTCCCATAGGTCAGTAAGATTGGTCTTCTTGACGAGGCCATACTCGTCTCGCTCTGGCTCGCGAGGTTTCGCCTTTTCTTTGTAGATTGCCTCCATACTGGCCGTAATAGTTTGAAAGATGGTAGGATGAAGTCGTATAATTTCAGCAGTAGACCGAGCAGCAGCTCTACGTAGTTGCTTGTCACTAGACTCGAGGTAAGGCAAGATTTCCGTAGCGGACTCTGGTCGGACTGTGAAGCCACTGTCTTCCCAAATGGTCTGTGCGATCTCGACGTTCTCGGCAACATCATCGTGGCAAGCAAGCCATATCTCTTGGAGGAATGTCAAGTCGCTTAGATCAATCTCTGCATCGATAGCTTGCAAAACAGATGATCTAACCGAGATCTGAGGAACGATTGTTCCTTTCACCAGTGTAGAGATCTCCTCAACGGTTATGTTGGCCGCCAAGCTCCTGCAGAGATCGATCAGCAGGTCTTTGACAAGCTTGTAATGTTGGGTATATCTTTGCATAGTGGAGATCAGAAGTGCAAGCAGTCGCTGACGAGGTAGTCTATCATCCGAACACGCATCCGTATGCATCGATATGAATTCAAGCGAGAGAACGATCTGCTCGTCCGCCTCATCTACGGAGGTCTTGGAGATTCCACCTCGCTCCAAAACCAGGAACAGAAGCGGGAAGATGTACATGAGCGATGCAGAGTCGAACGATCTTTGTTCGCCGAGGAACCGAAGTCTGTAGAGTATACGGGTTACCATGTCGCCAAGATCTTCTGCTTGTAATTCTTCTGGGAGATTTGAGTTTCCAATGGCGCGTAATGTTGCGATACCAATAAAAGGCCTCAAAGTACCAATTCTTGAAGATATACGTTCGGAACATTTGATATAAGCGTCTGCTGGTGCGTGACCGAGTAGAAGACCTGCACCATTGCTGATTGCCTGCAAGAGGAGCTGCAAAGATTGTCTGAGCCAAATATCAGAATCAGTCGGAGGCCCAGAAGCAAGGCTTGCAACAATCCCTACCCCACGCCGTAATCTTGATTCGATCTGTGCTATTTCACTACGAATCGTTGATTCCTTTGCAAGCTGCGCTTTCAGTTTTGCCTGCTCGTCCGCGGTGAGCTTTCTCGTTTGCCCCTTCTTCTCGGCTAGTTGAGCTCGAAGGTCTTCTTCCCATTTGAGAGTGTCGTAATCTTTTGCGGTCTTTTGCAGGCTCTGCGCCGGACCCTTGTTCGCAAGAACGTCGACAAAAGCTGTTCCTTCGGGAGTTCGAAAAATGGCCGCTTCCGTGGGACCAACATTCTCCAGCTGGCTGGGATCAAGATCAGTCGCGATCTGTTGCAGAATAATTGGTATCGCTGTATCGGGTGCAACAAAGGCCAAGTCCGCAGCCGCGTTTCCAGCAGCTAATTGGACCTTGGGCAGATTCCGGTTTAGAGGATCCTATTGATATTCAGTGTGACACCTAGATAGGGACAGGGTTTCTTACCTCAGTAACCTTGATGATATTCTGAACAAGTTCGACACAGCTCGCTTTTACCAATGCTCCTGGGTCGTTACCAGTCCGCAGACACAAGTCAATCCAAGACACACGAGGGATGAGTTCAGGCCGAGCCAGTATGAGTAGATCTCGAAGTTGAGGTCCGATGATCGTTTGATCGTAGTTTTTATTCAGCGTCTTCGCTTCTTCTGGTCGCATGCATATCGATGAAACAGCATGCTGAAGCTGATCGTTCCCAGTTTTTGCCGCCAATGCTGCAGTATCCTTTTCATTCAGCTCTGCTCTCCGGTACCAGTTCCATAGACCGTCAATTATGATGTTTGCGATAGGCATAGGTTGTTGAGAGTATACCAAAGACAGCCCCCGAACGGCTTCTTGACGCACCTCACTGGGCAGACTGCTTGCGGTCAGACAGTAGATAAAGGCCTGTGACCACGCATCTCCTAAACCACTGTCTGTGCTTGCTTCAGCTACAGGCGATGCAACAGATGCCAGCGCACGAATCAACCATACAAGATCACACGAGCCCGTCAGCTTTGTGTAGACACGATTATTCAAGAGGAATGATGGCTTCGGTTCGGCCACGAGAAGTGTCTTGATTGCCGACACTTTGCTCTTTAATGCATCTATTTTGTCGTCACTGACCTCGGCTAGACGGGACATGCAAAGGGAGGTAAGTATGTAGCCTAGAACCACAAGGCCATTCTGCGCAGCCGGGACTGCGTTTGTTTGTATGTCATTCCAAGAATCGATGAATGCGCTAAGAGGGGCACGACAGAAGTCCAGAGTATTTGCCTCGTGCGATGGGACCTTCCAAATGATCTCCCCAAAGCGTAGCGCCCACACTCTTCTTATGGGTAACTTCTTATCAGTGATGCCTTTAGCAAACGCTTGCGAAACCGTGCTTTCAACATTTGCACCAGCCACGAGTATTTCCGTCACGTGCTTGGCAATAGCGTTCACTTCGGCGTTAGCCGCTTGTTCGCTGCTTTCTTTTAGTGCGACTTGAGCGAGCGCTGTTGCTATTTGCGGAAGCGGTGCATCGTGTCCTTTGAGAGCAGCCAGCATCTGGGCGTGAATTACTTTTTGCTCAGCCCCTGGGACTTTCCCTTGCTTGAGCGGAGCGAGTAGTTCCTCTGCAACCTTTTCAATTGTCTGCTGCGTGTGGGAACGGGTGGCAAGAGCCTGGAAGGTGTTGGAAGCGCCTATTCGGATGATTGCGCTCGTGGACTTGATGTTCGACAGGAGAGGCTTGAGAAGACTGTTTAAGAGTATATCCGATAAATCCATCTCTAATGGTAGCGAATTGACGAGGGTCGCTAACATATCATTCAAGACAACTTCCGGTGCTCGTAGAAGAGCCTTTTCTATGGCGGGAATAAGCTCTTTCTGTAGATCCCCAATTCCCGCGAACGTGTGAAAGAAATCATGCATGCCATTAGTGATGTGCTGCGGAAGGGCCGTCTTGGAACCCAAGATTTCGCGTGCGTAGAATGCATAGTAATCCTTCTTCACATCTTGAATGGAGGGCGCAATGGATGTTAATCTTGCACATACACCAGCAATCACACCCAACGCAACAGCATTCTTAGCTTTAGAATTCGCGCCTTTCGCTGATAGTGTAGAGACGAGTACTTTAAGCACTTGCGGAGGGTCGTGTGCCGCCTTGAAGATAGTTCTAAATGCACGGCGCGTTATCACCAAAGCAGATTGCTTCATAGTCGCCTTCGCATCAGTCGACATGCAGACTTCTAGAATTATAGCATCTGCACCGACAATCCTGAGACCGTACTTGTCCCATCGTTCCTGGCTCTTACTGATCGCAACCAACACAGTGGTACACCATTCCAGCAGCACAAACGCATTCGAAGGGGCCACGCTAGTCTTGGGCGCCTCGGTCTCGAGTAATCTCACGAATATATTCAATGCGCCGTCTGCGTATTCTCCAGATATAGCTTTTCTCAGACTATTCTGTACAGCTCGACGTGACGGTCGGTCGGCATATCGGGGGTATGTATCGAACAGTAATGGGACAAGGTGTTGCAGAGTAGCTGGCGAGAGATCTGGTGAATGAGTAGTAAGTTATGTGTACTTTATCCGCAGTACACTACGACATACCCTCCGCTACAAGCTGTTGACTGATTGTGTCGAGTGCGGCTAATCTACGTTTTGTAGAACCACTGAGCAATGCCTTCCGGATATCCTCGGCGGAGGTATCGGATTCTTTGACCTCCGCCATGTTTTGTAAATTGACATGGAATAAGTTTTTGGTGTGCAAACGAGTATTGCTCTCTGGCTGTGGAGCTCTCGTTGTGGACCCCTCAGTGCTCGCGAATTTCATCCATGCCAAGATTTCCGCCGAACTAGCAGCTGCCCCAATTCGGTCATCGCTCATTCTTATCAGACACGTATAAGTCACTTCCAATCTCTCGCTTTCATTTTCGCTGCACGATTTGTTCTTTTCCCGTCCTTACAGCTCCTAGTTTTCAATGGCTGCGAAGAAAAAGAAAAAAGCAGCCTCAAATCCTGCCAGAGGCTTCGCAACAACGTCAATAGCTAGCAAGATAAAAGCTGATGGCAACACAGAATCATCCAATATCTCCGAAGCTGGAGACGCGCAGCCCGCGGCTCCAACAGAGGCTATTGAGAAACATGACCCTGCTGTTGTGAAAGGCCACGAGAAGGATCTTGCGGAGCTGACCCCAGAGGAGCTTGAGATACAGCTTGAATACAGCGAATTTCAACTTCTTGTAGAGAAGCTCTCCCCAAAAGCCGTCCGGGACACAGCCAGGACACTTTCGCGCATCAAAACAGAGCGACGTGTTCTTCTATCCAATAGCCAGATTCTTTCGACCAAAGACTGGCTCGAGGATGAAGATGTGGATCATCTAATGAACTTGAAATTTGTTCCAAGCGTAGAACCAAATCCTTCGCCGACTGTACCAAGGTCTATCTTCAAGACTGCTGCAACTGAGGATCTGCTGTTGAAGCTTTGGACCCTCCAACAGATCCTCCTTGGTCTATACTTTCCTTCGAGTAGAGTAACCGAGGCACTGCTTTGGATCTGTCAGACAGCACCTTGTGTAATTCCTGAGGGTCTGCCTTGGGGTGTGCAAGAATGTCTCGACTGGCTGACTGTTAATTGTACCACTGAGGAGCTTCGTGATTTTGAATTTATGCAGAGACACAACAGTCGCGCAAATACTACCTTAACCTCTCCTGGTAAGTGTGTCGATTGTAAATATCCTCTTCTTTTTCATCTAATTGTTGCCATTCCGGTATGATTCTCCCCTGTATGAATCTACCCACGCGTATGACTATCAAGAGCGAATCGTGAGCCTGAGACGTTTTAACGCACTAGCGAAACGGCAGTTTTGAGTTTCTTTCCTATGTAGCTAACTCTGAGCAGATAAAACGTTACGATCTGGATCAAGCATCAGATCTAATCTGTCGCATAAAGCTGCCGTAGTAGAACCCCCTTCACAACATGCTCCTGTGGTGGACATTGCACCATTTGAACCGGACGACAATGTCTCTGACCTTGATAGCGATATGGAACCCGATGACATGATCTCAGCATATCTGAAGGTAAAATCAAAACTCTTTGAGGCCGCTCCTGCCAGCTTTGCTCGTAAAGGACGTGGACCGCAGGACAAGAAGGAGGTGAACATTAACTCCAGTCTTCGTATGCGTAAGTTGAACCGCCAGCTTGAGCAACTAGAGAAGGACGTATTGTTCGATCAGAGTTTGGCCGACGAGAGATGGCATGCCCAAAAAGTCAAACTTGCGCAAGAAAACGCGGCGAAAAAACGACTAGGAATTGATAGTTCCAATAGCAGGAAGCGCGATTCTAATAACCTGTCCAAGATGATAAATCCCGCCATGAAGATGACATTGGATTCTGACAAAGTTAATGGTGGTTCCGATGTGGATGGAGACGAAGATTTACTTGGTGCCATGTTTACAGAGCCCGAGAATGGGGGACATCAAGCGACCACCAATATAGCCACGGGCGACACGAGTATAAAAATACGTCACTTTGCGGAAGCTAAAGGTCTCAGCCCAAGACGCATCGTAGAAGAGACTCTAAAAGCAATGTAAGTCGTGTGCATCGATCCCTGGTCGTTGAATGCTGATATGCGAAGGCTTGTTGGCGCAAAGGCAACGTGGAAACATATCTCTCCTACAACGTATTCCAGTCGGCACTCTGTTTCAATACACTTTTCGAATCCCCCAGAAGCTGAAAGACTGCCGTCAATACCTGGACTCGACATATTTTGGATCAAATCCAGAACGCTGCGATTGGACATGGTCGATATCGCCACAGATTCCGAAAAGCAGAGCGAGTCTTTCGTCGCTACGACAGCGCTCTTTGTAGTGTGCAACTATTTACCAGGTGATGATAAAGCTTATCTACGTCTGCCATCGGTCTGGCGAGACCTTTACAAAGAATTTGCCGAAGCGAAGAAAGAGCAAACTGATGCTGAGGCACGGAAAACTTTGAAAGAACTTCGGATTCTGATCGATGAACAGAGAGACTACGATGAAGATGAAGACGTAGTGCTAACACATAACTTTCTCAAGCGCGCTAAAGAACGTGAGCAGCAGACATCTGACTCTGATTCTGAGCGAGGAGAGTATCGGCCTACAAAAGACCCTGAGAAAGTGAAAGCATTATGGCAGAACAAGATCTCGACATCTACATATCAGCGGATGCTTCTTGGAAGAATGCAGCTGCCCATGTACCAGTTCAAGCATGCTGCTTTATCGGCTATCGAAAATCACCAAGTCATAATCCTTTGCGGAGAGACCGGGTGTGGTAAAAGCACACAGCTACCGGCCTACATACTGGAGCACCAGCTGTCGAACGGCCGGCCCTGTAAGATATATTGTACAGAGCCGCGTCGAATATCGGCCATTTCCCTGGCTCAACGCGTATCTGAAGAACTGGGTGAGCCAAAGAATGCGGCTGGGACACACTCGTCTCTCGTGGGCTATGCTATCAGGCTAGAGTCGCACATTAGCACTGAGACTCGACTTGTCTATGCTACAGTCGGAATTGTACTGCGTATGCTCGAATCTCCTCGTGGATTGAACGACATAACGCACTTGGTCATTGACGAAGTCCACGAGCGTAGCATCGATACAGACTTCCTGCTCATTGTGCTTCGTGGCCTAATGGAACGACGCCCTGATTTGAGAGTAATCCTTATGAGTGCTACAGTTGATGCGCAGACATTCTCACGATATCTAGGGGACGCTCCTATCCTCAATGTGCCCGGGCGAACGTTTCCTGTCAACACTCGATACTTAGAAGATGCTATCGAGTTTACTCATTACAAGAAAAAGAATGACGACGCAGGTAGGGAGGGATCTTCGAGCGACGATGATGATCCCGGCACAGAATCAATGTCCGGCATACCGAAGAACCTCCAAGGCTATAGCATCGCAACGCGGAATTCTCTTCAAGAATATGACGAATACCGTGTGGACTACAATCTCATCATGAACCTAATCACGAAGATCACGAATGATGCGTCTACAACCCATTTCAGCAAAGCTTTCCTGGTCTTTCTGCCCGGTATCGCAGAAATACGCACATTAAATGACGTAATTCTCAACAACTCTGCTTTCAACGAAGACTGGTGGATTCTCCCTCTACATTCCACCATTGCTAGCGAGGATCAACAGAAAGCTTTCCTGTTCCCCCCTCCCGGTGTTCGCAAAATAGTGCTCGCGACCAACATTGCTGAAACTGGTGTTACGATTCCTGATGTTACCTGCGTCATCGATACTGGCAAGCACAAGGAAATGCGATTCGACGAGCGCCGCCAGCTCTCTCGTCTTGTACAGTCTTTCATCTCCCGTGCAAACGCAAAGCAGCGGCGCGGCCGTGCAGGTCGTGTTCAAGAGGGTCTCTGCTTTCACCTCTTTACAAAGTACCGCCACGATGAACTGATGGCACTTCAACAGACTCCTGAAATGCTGCGTCTGAGTTTGCAGGATCTCGTTATGCGCACCAAGATATGTAAACTTGGTGCCATCGAAGCAACACTCTCAGCCGCCCTTGACCCTCCATCGACCAAGAATATCCGAAGAGCGATTGATGCTCTCGTGGAAGTCAATGCACTGACGCCGAAAGAAGATCTCACCCCTCTTGGTATACAACTTGCGAAACTTCCGCTGGACGCTCACCTAGGGAAGCTTGTATTATACGCATGTATATTCCGCTGTGCCGATGCCGGTATTACTATTGCAGCAATACTGAGTTCAAAAAGTCCGTTCGTGATACCGTTTGGCGCACGTGAGAAAGCAAATGCGGCCAGAGTCTCCTTTAACCAAGGCGACTCCGATCTTTTGACCGAGTATGCGGCCTATCGTGCCTGGAAAACTGTCTGTCTTCAACCCGGCGCGCGAGAAGTCGAATTTTGTCGAAGGAACTGTCTTTCTGCACAGACCTTTTCTGCAATCGAAGAACTAAAAGCGCAGCTTTTCAGCTCGCTCGTCGACGCTGGATTCATTTCGCTATCAGCTGAGGAGAAGATCGGGCTCAATCGCGCACGCAACTCGCGGGCTGGATTCGGCCGCAGCAGAGCATTCGTTCCAGTGCCTTCTGCCTCTGACACACATTCAACCTGCGACGCGCTTGTTCTGAGTATGCTTGCAGTTGCGTTCCATCCGCATATACTCACACGTGCGGCAACTGCAGCAGGTGGTGGGGGCAGTGGAAAGGGGTATACATCCATCTCCTCGCCCTCGCCGATTTCTCTCAATCCAACATCCGTCCTACGTTTATCACCACCTCGAAGTCCGTATGCGTTATTGTCATATCATAGTATTTTAAGCACGTCAAGCTCAAATGCACCAGCTGCACATGGTCTGAGCCCGGTTCCCATATTACCTTTCCTGCTCTTGGCAGGCGATGCGGATTTCAAAGTGTGGGCGAAGGGTGTGGTGTTCGATGGCAATAGATTGAGGTATCGGGTAGAGAGTAGCAGGATGTGTGTTGGGTTGAAGAGGGCCAGGAAGGGTGTTAGAAATATTGTTGAGGGGAGAATGAAGAACAGCGGAAAGGGATCCGGGAGCAAAGCAGAGAGGGACTGGATCGAATGGTTCTTGAAGATGTTTGGGGAGTATAAGGGGGATGGGAAGTGGGGCAAGAAGGTTTAGTGTTGGGTTGTATGGGGGCACTGGAAAAGAGCCATGGGTGTCCAAATGTTGACTTTCCCGAATGAGAATGAAACTTGATGTGATGACATGTTAAAAGGGAGTATACGAAAATGCATGATAAATTGGGGCCTAGATCAGCTCTAATATAGAATACACACGATCTACAATCCAATACCTGTACTACACCATCGTGTTTGACTTTGATTGCAATTTTACGTTGACTAGCAGTGCATTTCGGACGACTGTATATGGTCCATCGTGTACGACATCTTCATGCCCCTAATGATGCTATCACAATCTACCCATGGCCTGGTTATGTAGCTTGGAAACCATTCTGGCCTACGATAGTCTCATATTGAGTCTTCGAATTGCCGAACAAGCAAGCCTTGACCCTGTAGATGGTCTTTGACTTGTTTTACTGTATACTCTGCTCGATGGAACTACAACTGTCAGCTCTAGACATTGAACGAATACCATAATCACTTACCATACCAGCACCCAAGGCTGCATCAGTAGGCGTCTTCTCAAATACTTCAGCAACGTGTTCTGGGTTCCCAGCACCACTACTAGCAATGACTGGGATCTTGATGCAGCCTTTGACGTAGTTGATGAGTTCAAGATCAAACCCAGAATTCGTGCCATCCTTGTCTATACAGTTCAACAGTATTTCGCCAGCTCCCATAGCTTCAACTGCGGTTACGAGTTGCTTTACATCCAGGTCTCGTCCTTCTCGTCCCCCTTTTATTGTACATTGATACCAGCAGTGACTTTCTCCATTTGGTCCGGGAAATTTGGTTAGGACAGTGTTTCGTTGCGTGACTTCAGGACTCGAGACGTAGATCCTGCGTGGGTCTACGGATACAACTACCGCTTGATTTCCGTATGCTTTTGATATGGCCTCGATGGCTGTAGTCCCTGATAATGTCTGGCCGCGAGCAAAATACTCCTCTGCCGCAGTCACTGCGTCTGAGCCTATACTCACTTTGTCGGCACCAGACTTGAAGTATAACGTAGCGATATCAAGAGCCGAGATCTTCGTACCGTCCGTATCCGTTGTATCTCGTATGCCTCCGCCTATGGTCAGGGGTACAAATACAGATTCTGAAGTCCTTCGCAATATCTCGAGCATTGGTAAATCGGCGACTGGACAGTTCCTGAATGATGTAATGTTCAAGAATGTGACTTCGTCCGCTCCTTGTTCGTAGTACTTTCGCGCCATATCCACAGGCTTTCCTAGATTCCTGACTGACCCTCCTGCTGAAACGCCGTCTTTTTCTCGCACGTCATACTGATCGCCCTTGGTGACTACGAGATCGCCGTAATCGTTGGCTCGAACATCGAGACAAGCAATAACGCGACGGGTAAGGCCTTCCTTTGTTGCAGATGTCGATGGTGTGGCCTCTAATTTGTTCAATTTCTGTCCTTCGAGGAATGCTTTGAGAACACGGAGTCCAGCGACACCACTCTTCTCTGGATGGAATTGAGTCGCCATTATATTGTCCTTTACCACCGCTCCTACGAACTCTTCATTCCCATATCTTGCAGTCGCGTATTCCCAGCCATTTTCTTTTAGTCCTGGATTTGGAAACGGTGCGGCATAAGAGTGAACGTAATAATACTTGCTGTCCGGTCGCAATCCAAATAGACTGTCTTCAGTAACAGTTCCATCAGCGGAAGTGTTTGCGGAATTCCAGCCAATGTGAGGCACGCTCTTGTCTTTGTCCTTGAATCTCTTCAATTGACCAGGTATGACACCCAAGCCTTTCACTTCTGGTGCCTCCTCCGATCCCTCGAATAGGGCTTGCATACCCACGCATATGCCCATGAAATGCTTCCCGTCTTGTATATGTTTACGGATCGGTTCGGTGTAACCAGCTTGGGAGAGCTGCGTCATACAGTGGCCGAAATGGCCTACACCTGGAATGATCAGTTTCTATACATGTATATTCTCAGCAATTGCACTATATAACTCTACGACTATTCCCCACTTAGTAGGTGAATTGCGCATACCTCTGCTTTAGGTACATCTGCTGGTGATTTGACCCATTCGACTGTCCAGCCTAGCTTCTCGATGGCATTGACGAGAGAGCGAATGTTCCCCGCGACATAGTCTAGTAGGTATACAGTTGGCATGTCGTATATCAGCTATAGAAAGCTAATCGGGTTCACGGGGAACAGACAATGAAGAGTATAGCAAAGTTGAGTCATGTTCGACCTTTTCTTTAGCACCCCACCCCCCTCACTCGGCCTGCGCCATCAGATAGTTCGCACCAGCCACGGACCCACTGAAATCTTTAGCGGGGACCAGGACATCCATCTATCGCATCGCAAAAAGATCTAATCTCGTAATTCTTCTGAGCAGCCTCTTGACTCTCCCAACAACGCACAATGGTTCGGCAACTTAAACACCACGAGCAAAAACTCCTTCGCAAGGTTGATTTCCATACCTACAAATCAGACAATAATCACCGCGACGCTCTTGTTATTCGCCGCTATCAAATCCAGAAGCCCTCCGACTACCAGCAATACAACAGAATATGCGGCTCGCTCAGACAACTCGCACACAAACTATCCGCCCTCGACCCGTCGGATCCCTTCCGTCAAAAACAAGAAGAGCTGATGCTAGAGAAGCTATTCGAAATAGGTATTCTAGGAACTGGCGGAGGTGGACGAGGAAAACTGAGCGATGTCGAGAACAAGGTCACAGTCTCCGCATTCTGTAGGAGGAGACTGGGTGTTGTCATGACACGACTGCGCATGGCGGACAATCTGAATGCAGCGATCAAATTTATCGAACAAGGGCATGTTCGTGTTGGAACCGAGGTTGTGATTGATCCGGCATACTTGGTGACAAGGTATGTCGGATATACTGGATCATCTGGAGGCTACCACTGACGCTTTTTAGAAACATGGAGGACTTTGTGACCTGGGTGGACTCTTCGAAGATAAAGAAGAACATCATGCGATATCGTGATCAGCTCGACGACTTTGAGCTTGATGGACTTTGATATAGATGATTACAGCCTTACTTATGGTTCCCCGTTAGTCCTCCGTAGCATGCTTTTAGGGCAAAAGGCTGGCTTTGGCTTCATTTCTGCATAGCGTTGGAGTATTACGACTACTTTTTAACTGGTTAAAACCTTTATCGATTGTGAGATCAGCTCGACGACTTTGAGCTTGATGGACTTTGATATAGATGATTATAGCCTTACTTATGGTTCCCCGTTAGTCCTCCGTAGCATGCTTTTAGGGTAAAAGGCTGGCTTTGGCTTCATTTCTGCATAGCGTTGGAGTATTACGACTACTTTTTAACTGGTTAAAACCTTTATCGATTGTGAGATCAGCCTACAGAGATATCTCTCAGCATGAACAAAATTGCAAGCACCAATGATGCCGAACGTATAATTGTCCTCTGTAGAACTATGCTGCGACAAACATCCTCATTTAAATTCATACAGTCTGATCTTGATGCTAATTTATCGGCACTTTCAAACGCCGACAATTTTTTGTTCAGCCCTAAACCTTGGCAGACTGAAACTTTCCCCACGCAAAAGTCACAGAAGCGCAACCTTCACATCAAAGGCAAATTCCTTAGTCTTTCCATATAATGGCGCCTGAAATATCGCGGCAACGCCCCCGAAAAGGGAAAACACAACCTGAGAAGAAGCCAGAAGCAGCAAGCGAGTCAGATTCGGACGATTCGCAGAGCAACGACGAAGCGCAAGAGCAGTCCGAAGATTCTGAAGAAATTGAGGAGCTTCAGGATGAAGAGAGCGAAGTTGATAAAGATGACATGGAGCTGGAGCTTGAGAAGCTCGTGTTTGGCGACAGCGCTGGCTTTAGAGAGGGTCTCAGGAGCTTTGATGTGGACAAGAAAGGCTCGGGACTAGACGTAGACATGTCTGCTGCTACCGAAGACGACGGCGATGACACTGCTGAACTGGGAGGTCTTGCTGACGGCGATGTATGTCTGCATTTCATAGAGCGGATCACGGTGCTGACATTCAACCTTAGCTGTTTTTCGTGGACTCTGGTCCTGCGACTCAAGCAGTAATCCCCAGCGCGCAGGCAGACCTTGGAGCTGCGGACCAAGATATCAAAGAGTCGGCTGCTTGGGAAGATAGTGATGACGACAGAATCATGGTGTCAATCGCTTCGGTGCCCAGATTAAGAAAGCTAAGGATAACAGAAGCAGAGGATGTTATTAGTGGGAAGGAGTATTCAAGAAGACTCAGGATGCAGTATGTGATCTGATTACCACCGGATCCTATCGCCTATGTTATGTTACTAACATAAGTCCTAGATTTGAGCGCTTGAATCCACCACCTGATTGGGCACATCCACCAAAGCAATCCAAGAGGAGGAGAAAGTCACAAACAGGTGGCTCAGAGACGGATTCTTCGGACGATGAGATGGATGTAGACGAGGAGCTCTCTGCACAGCCCCTTGCGAAACTGCTTCAAGATTCAGACGCCCTCACTAAAGGACCGAACGGTAGAAACACCAAGAAACGCAAATTGGCAGCAGAAAAGATCAACATCTCGCGATTAAAAGACGTCCCTGGCGAGCAACCTGTAAGCATCATCGTTCGCCTCTACCAATGCCCTTCATTAACATGTTCAGTCCTCTATATCGTCGCTTTCATTTCATCCAACTTATCCCCTCCTCCTTTCCTCGGGAATCGCCAAAACAGCTTGGTTGCACCACATACTCCCGTATCCTCCCCTGCCGAATCCTCTCGTCACCTCACTCCATATTCCTGGACAACCCCTCGACACAGTCTCCTTCCATCCCTCACCTACCGACACCCGCGTCTTCCTCTCCTCCCGCCGCCGCCACTTTCACATCTGGGATCTTCCCTCTGGCAACATCACCAAAGCCAACCACGCTCTTTCCACGGACCGCGAACAGCAAACCATGGATCGCTTCAAGATCTCGCCCTGCGGCAAATATATCGCCTTTGCAGGGCCCATCACAAAATCCTCGGGCGCAGTAACGATTGTCAGCGCCATTACATCCCAACTCGTCACTCACGCACGCATCGAGTCCTCTCTCGCCGATTTCGCTTGGTGGGCCGACGGATCTGGTCTCAGCATTGTCGGCACAGGCGGCGAAGTCAGCGAATACTCACTCCTAGACAGGCGCTTCACCGCAGTCTGGCAGGACGAAGGCGCGCTGCACATCACCACCATCGCCCTTGGTGGTCGCAGCGGCCACGACGACTTCTTCGGCGGCGACAGATGGATCGCCATCGGCTCCCGCTCCGGCATCGTCAACATCTACGACCGCACCGCATGGCTGCCAGGCAAGCAGCAGAAACAACAGCAAAAACAAAAGCAACAGCAACAGCAACATCGACCCGCACCGTCAAAACCCACTGACTCGCATCCCACCACGCTCATCCCGCGCCGGCCCACGCCCAAGAAGTCACTAGATAATCTGGTCACGACGATCACGTGTCTGGCTTTCGCGCCGGACGGGCAGGTTCTCGCGATGGCGTCGCGTGGCAAGAAGGATGCGCTGCGACTAGTGCATCTGCCGAGTTGCAGCGTCTTTCAGAATTGGCCGACGCAGAATACGCCGTTGGGCAGAGTCACGGCCCTGGCGTGGACGCACGGGAGTGTGCTTGCGGAGGGTGAGGGCGCGGGCGAGGGTCGCGGCACGGGCTTGTATGTGATGGCGGTGGGGAATGAGAGGGGCCAGATCAAGTTGTGGGAGGTTGGGTTGTAATTAGTAGTCTTTGTGTCTTGTGTCCTGTGTGTGTCTTTGTTGTTGATCATGTTTTAGAAGATGATCAGGGAAGACTGACAGGGTGCAGTTGAAAGCCGGCCCTTGATCACATGACCGAGATTGCATTCACATGCCTTCCAAGTCATTGTTCTCATGCAAGGTACGCGTGAACCCTTTCAAGAAAGCTTGTGAACGTGGACGTAATTACCTCTAGCTGGAGGTGAGGTTTATAGTCACGTGTCATAACTGGACAACGTCCGCATTGGGGAATCTAAATAGTCTACCATTTTGCACGCTGCATGCGGCCAATATATAAAACCGAGAAGAAAACGACATAAAAAATTAACAAAAGCGCATCCGTAGCGCCTGTACACCATGCCACCAGAACCTTTTGATATCTCATGGTAAGGTTGAAAGGAAATTTTTTGGGGAAAAAAATGCTTTTGTGGAACTCCCTGATCTTGTCGTCGCCACTGTGTTTGATACAACGTCAGTCATCGTCAACATAGTCGCCTCGTCTCGTTCATCCATATCGTCGCATCAACCCACTATATAGAGCGTGGCCGCTTCCTGGCAGACCGCAGCATCGTGCTTCGGCAAGAGGGTCAGCGTGGCATGCTTCACCCTCCGAGCCATCTCCAGCCCGACGTCGTCATCGCTTTCTTCCTTCCTTACCACGGATGGCGTATTCGGATACACGAAACGGCCATTGCCCATGACCCCCCATACCTTCCGTGCAAAAGCCTCCTGACTCTCCTTCTTGCCCGGCCTGATTGCAAAATACAGCCGACTCTCCAGATGTGCCTCCTCACCTGGATTCACACTAAACACCCTGCCTCCAGCCTCTTCCAGAATCGCCCAGCCGGCGCAGACGTCCCAAGGGTAACAGCCAGGCTCCCAGAACGCATCGAGTTGGCCGGCAGCGACGTAGCAGAAATCAAGTGCCGCACTACCCATGCTACGGATGGACTGAATCATGACACCGGCCGCGTTCTTGGTCAGCAGCTGCTTGTGAACGCGTGAACGTAGCTCCCAGCGGTCGCCAGCGCGGTCGTTGCCCCATTCGATTGCCATGATGCAGGTGTTCAGGTCGCCGACATCAACTGGGGCGCGAATGGGCAAAGGGAAGATGGTACCTCTACGATCGAGGAATGCACCCTGGCCTTTGATTCCGTAGAACATTTCGCCGTTCGTTGGGTTGTATACAACACCGAGGACAGGGCGTTTGAAGAGAGTCATGCCGAGCGAGACGGCGAAGTTGCCGAAGCCGTGAGTGAAGTTCAGCGTGCCATCGATGGGATCACATATAAAGGTAGGATCGTCGGTGAGGAATTGGTCTTTCTTGGACGTTTCTTCGCCAAAGAAAATGTACTCTGGGTAAGTTTCTGCGAGTGCGGCTTTGATCATTTCCTCAATCGCCTTGTCGGTATCGGTGACGACGTCAGAGGTGTTGTTCTTGGTGGAGGCGGATTGATCGAGTTTCGCTTCGAGCATCATGTTACCGGCCGCAAGGGCGAGTTCCTTTAGCTTTTCGAGGACGGCGTTAGGGCGAAAGCTGCGGAGATAGTACTTGAGCAGGACATCGTCGACCTGCTTGAGCTTTCTTTCATCGAGTTCGTGGCCAACAAGAGTGGTTGCAGACGACATTGAAGTTAAGCCTGTGGAGAAGCCAGAATGTGGAGAGGTAGCGGTAGACTGGTTGATGGAAGACATTGTTTGAAGGTTCGACAGACGTGGAATGTCCAAGTATTTTGTAGAGCTACCTAGCGAAGGCAACAAATCAAGGGTATAGAACAGGCTATAATGCTAGAGAAATCAAGAATTGAGAGAGGCAAATCGGCAAGATGCAGAAATCAGTACTTTTGAGCAAGAAATGATGGAAGGTTCTAGGAAGACAAAAGGGAGGGAGAAGGACAAGATAAGAGAAACAGAATGACAACAGACTAGACTCTCTTACCTAGATGGGCGTTGTGCAGTGTAAGTGAATAGGCGAAGATGTGACAGCTACCGAAGTATGGCATGGCATGGCAGTGGGTGAAAGTCGATATGTACCTAGGTAGTAGTATGGCAAGTACATTTGATACGGTAGCTAGCATGCGACTGCCGCTTTTGGCCGAGTGTATGGCGGCTTATCGGGCATGATCGGGAGGGGCACAGGGGGGGCGCAAAGTGTTGTTTGTGGGCGATAGCGTCAAGTGAATTTGCGAAGCTCAGGAGCCGCAGTCAACAATGTGCATGTCCCACAACACCAGTGTTGGAGGATCGAGGCACGATAGGCTGCATTGTATCATTGGTATGCAAGCCGTGATGCAGCAGAGAGCAGTCTCTGCCAGGTCACATGCCAATCACAAGGAACTGGACAGCGTGCAAGGATCCACCTCTCGTCGATAATCGACACCGCGACGGCGACGGCACATGCAAGTCTGACGGCGGCTTCGCTTAAACTGATGCTTGATGCTTGATGCGTGATGCACGATGCGGGAAGCTTAATGTGTGTTTGATATTTGATATGCAATGTGTATTGTGTGATGCTTTTGAGGTGGTGAATGTTTCTTACCTCAGGACTTTCTTCCAGGTGTGCTGAGGTTAACATAATTGACACAAGCTAGTAAGTCTAGCAGTATTACGTAATAATTTGATATTTGCCTGAACCTACTTAACCCGACGCTGGATGCCTGATCCTGGGCCTGAGGTCTGCATGATTGATGCCTCGTGTCTAGAATAGACGCCTCGTGTCGGATGCCTGAGGCCCTGATTGTCATTCAACAAGGTCTTTCCCTGTGTGTGCGTGTATGTGGCTGATGCACGCGTAAGTCACGTGCGTCCCTCGGCTCTGAGGCTTGACTGGATGAGGCGGTGCGCTGATCTGTCGGCGCGTCGACATTACCGACGTCGTGCCGTCTCTTCGACTACTCACCTCCACCCCAACCCTTCATCGAGTCCGTCGTCGACAGTCTTGCTGAACGTTTGAACTTGGAGAGAGAGCTGCCCTGTATGCTTGTCGAGCCGGGATCGCGCGCTTCGACAAGTTCCATGGAACCATTAGTCCCTAGCTACGCGGAAAGAGCTTGGAATTGTCAGACCCTAGGGCTCGCGACTTTGGCTTCATAACAAACACCCACGTCTCTGCTTGGCCATCTAGTTACCTTTATTTTGTCGTCTTACCCACATCTCACCATCTGGTCAGCCCTTGAATTGATCATGATTTGTAGAGCGACCTTGCCCTTCGTGTTTCGCCGAGCATTCATGTCTTCTCTCGCTTGCTACATCCCTAGACCCATCCTGCAACATTCCCTTGAAATTTGCTTCTCTGTTGGCGAGAGCATGGTGAGGCTAGTACTTACTGGCTCCTCGTCAAGCTCAGTTAACCCACTATCCTAGAGAACCGAAAGGTCAGGAAAGCAAGGGGTGTATTTTCATAGACCCGTCATATCTAGAGAGCATTCTATGGTTTTGATATTATTTCTTGTCTGCTGCTAGGCCGTGATTGGTGAACTATACCATATGCGCCGCGTTAAGCGTTGTGTCCCATGGATCTCTCGTTCCTGACGAGTTCAACTCTGGCGCGCTTTCCAAGTAGTCCCAATTCAGAGAGCGCAGTTCAGAGCGCCGTTCAGAGGGCAGTTCAGAGGGCAGTGTCGCGCAGCCTATAAGTACCCTCACTGCCCCTACTGTAATTGTGATCAGATAAAAGTCTAAGCTCTCTCTACTTTGCCTTACTTTGATCACATCTTTTGGCCTTACCCAGCAGAGCATATCCCAGAGCTCTCAACAACAGCAACACACGACAACCTCTATAGCCAAGAGCTATTGTAAGTCCTCCTCTCACCTCACCCTTACTTACTACATAGCCAATCAGGCTATTCCTCGCCTCCCTTCTACTCTCACCCTTATCCACTGCATAGCTAACAGAGATATACTTAGTTCACTCGCCCCTTGTCTCTGACGCTCTGTATAGCCATTAGAGCTATTCACAGTTCGTCCGTCTCCCGTCCTTACATTCCCTTCTATCCTTCGCTCCGTCCCCCGCCTTTCCTCCCATCAACTCTCACCAGCATGTCTGGTGAGAAGAGGGGAAGGGGCCGACCCAAGATGTCGGCAGAGGAGGTAGAGCGAAGGAAGGGCATGACCAAGGCGGAGGTCAACAGGGAGACGCGGGAGAAGACGCGTCTACGGCGCGCAGAGAAGGCGAAAGCCAAAGCGGAGAAGGAGGCCGCTACCGCTGCCGGGCGGGCCCGCGAATCCGCCCAGCCGGTCGCGGCCTCCCTCGCACAAGTCCCCTTCCCCCAGCAAGCCCCTCCCTCCGAAGATGCCGATCTTCACGATTCCGGCATCGGCATGCACATGGACGACGCAAGTCCGTTGCAGCTAGGAGGGGAAGGAGAGGAGAGGGAGAGGGAGAGGGAGAGGCCCTTCCCTCAGCAGTTCCCGGCCCCGGTGCCCTCATCCCCGGCGGCCCTCGATATCCCACCGTCCCCAACTGGGTCGTGGGCTAGCCTTTATGCCGCCGACCCTGTCCGAAGAGTCGAGGTGGCGGCTGGAGGTCTCGCAGAGGCCGAAAGAGTCGAGGAGCGGACGAGGACGCGGAGGTGCTCCGTCGAGGAGAGTCTGGAACAGCATAGGCGGACTGTGCAGGAATGGACTCGCACTCCCCGTTCGCATTTGGAGTATCTCTGTTCGGAGAAGCACTAGGGCTTCTTGAGGTTTTGTTTACTTATGGATGCATGGTTGGCGTTGGGTTGTTGTACCAAGAGTTGTTGTCTTGGGCGGCGCATTGGAATTTCAGTCTTTGGAAGGGGCGTGTTCTTACGCATAGCGACGGACTTGTATCATGTCTTGTACCATGTCTTGTACCATATCTTGTACCATATCTTGTAACAAAACATAGTGCTCGAACACGGGCATGTAATACCATATCTCACTCTCTCTCTTTCTCTCTCTCCACAAGAACACAAGTCTGGTTTTCAGGCTTAGCAATGATCCGATCCACCAGGCACACCGCTTTGTTCTAGACGTTTGACTTATCTTACTAGTTACGAAACAAGTGCATGTCGCCAGTCAGCTGACCTTTTTCCCACACCAATCCCCATGTCTATAGATAACCCTGGTCCTTGCGGGCTCTGACCTCGCACGCCAAGCACCCGTTGAAAAAAAAACTCTGTACACCATCACTGCATGTTTTCGTTGTGAATGGTTCGCATCTGGAACAGTGATACGAACAAGAGTTACAGCTAACGATCTACTTACCTTTTCCATTCCCATTGAATCCTGGCTTCTTGGCTCAAATTCTTCGTCGTTAATGCATTCCTAGAACAAACATATGGTGATCCTGTACGGAGCATCCTTAAATAATATATGAAGCATCCCCTCATGCTCGCACGCCAAGTGCTCGTTAGGAATTCTCTGTGGCCACCATTATTACATGACTCAATGGTGGATGGTTTATATTCGGAATAGGGGATCCTAGAGGAGTGCAACATCTAATTATATCCTCACTTTGTTCGTTTTATCTTAACCTTGGTATCTTGGCTCAAACTCTTGGTCGTTATCGGAGACAATGCATTCCTATTTCTATCCTTCGTTTCCCGTACTCAACCCTCGATTTCGGCGCGGTGAGTATAGTAAGCTAGGATGAATACCTTTGCCTTAAAACAAGAATGTCACGTGGAAGTGAATATAAACGTATATGAATTTTGGACAAATTCAGCCTGATTAGAAATCGAGCAGCCGGGTGGGTGGTACTCGCCTAATATGGACGGAGAACGAGCTTCATATATTATTCAAGGGTGCTCCGTATAGGGTCACAAAATATGGGGGATATGTCATTGCATCACCCCAATACGTCCATGCAGATCATTCAGAATTCTCTTCTGTGAAGTGCATACCACGCACGACCTTGCCATGGTATGCTAATTTCCGCTATCGTGGGGTCACGCTGATTCCGTGCACGAGTCCTGTCACTCCTGTGTACGAGGGAATGTCATATTTGATGGCACGGTAGGTAGAGAAGCCATCATGGTACGGCACTTGGGAATGGTTTCTGTCGCAAAAGTGGCATACCGGCAAACAGCAAACCAAGACGATGATCGATCGTGCGGTCTCAGGTGGACACTCTGGGGTCACGGAAAGGATGCGACACTGCCGACCCGGAGAAGAAATGAGGGTTTTTATCCATATTGACGGTGAGGGATAAGTAAAGACGGTGAGCCCCGGGCGGAGTCGACTTGACGGTCACAAATTTACTCTCTTCAGCCCGGAATTGATCCTTCGCCTTATGGAGAGGCATTGAGGTGATCACCTTACCCTGCCTGATAATTACCTATTCACCTCTTAATACCGCCTGCCTGCCTGCCTTACCCTTCGAAAATGGTACCTGGTCCAAGCGCAAAGAGGACTAGCGTGCTCGCTTTCGGCCTTGCTGCCCTGTCAGGCACTCTCGTGGGCGCCGACCGGCCCTGCGATATCTATAAAGCTGGTGGGACGCCTTGTGTTGCTGCACACAGCACGACTCGTGCCCTCTATCAGGAATACACCGGCCCTCTGTATCTGCTCACCCGTGAATGTGATGGATCCCATCTTGAGATCCACCCCAGCGAAGCCGGCGGTGTCGCCAACGTTAGTGCTCACGACGAGCACTGCAAAGGCACTACCTGCGTAATCTCCATGATACACGACCAGTCAAGCTCTGGCAATCATCTCATGCAAGCACCGAAAGGCGGGGCTGGACTCGGGCCGGAAGCACTCTACTTTGACTCCCTCGCTGGTGCATCTGGCGCGCCTGTGAGCGTGTCCGGCAAGAATGCGTACGGAGTCTTCATCGCGCCTGGCACCGGCTACCGCTCCAACGTGGCAAAGAATACAGCAAAGGGCGATGAACCGCAAGGCATGTACGCCGTTTTGGACGGTACACACTATAACGGGAAGTGCTGCTTCGACTATGGCAATGCGGAGACAAATAACCGCAACACCGGGAACGGACACATGGAAGCTATATACTTTGGCAAGGGAGATGGTTTTGGTAAGGGAAAGGGGGAAGGATCTGGTCCATGGATCATGGGAGATCTTGAGAATGGTCTGTTCCCTGGGCGCAAGATGAATAAAAACAAGAAAAACCCGACCATCGACTTCCGATTTGTCACTGCTGTTGTCAAAGGCCAGCCTGACAACTGGGCTATTCGTGGAGGTAATGCTGCGGACGGGGCACTGTCGACGTACTACAACGGGCAACGGCCAAAAAAGGGTTACAATCCTATGAGCAAAGAAGGCGCCGTCATTCTCGGCATCGGCGGCGACAACAGCAACTGGGCGCAGGGGACATTCTACGAGGGAGCCGTGACCTCTGGCTTCCCGTCCGACGAGACTGACGACAAAGTACAAGCCGATATTGTCACTGCCAAATACCAGAGGGTATTCGTCAGCGAGCTCAAAATCGACACGCGAAATGGCTCCTCAGTCTCCCTGCAAATCACCACACCAGGCTTCGAAAATTTCTACCTCGCCCACGACGGCGAGACGGTCAAAATGCTAGAAGTAACGTCGTCCAGCGACTACAGCCTCAAACAACGAGCAAGCTGGCGAGTCCAACAAGGCCGCGGCGAAGAGACCTGCTACTCGTTCGAATCGGTCGACAAACCAGGACACTTCATCCGGCACCACGAGCACTGGCTCAAAGTCGACCTCAACCTCAATCTCAAGAAGGACCGGGAAGACGCAACGTTTTGTTCGCAGCCCGGGCTGAACGGCCGGGGCCACACGTTCCGCGCCTGGACCTATCCTGCTCGCTACATCCGCCACGTTCTGGGACGTGGTTATCTCGCGAGCAACGGCGGTCCGCGTGACCAGGACCACAAGCTGTCGTTTAGTGACGACGTCAGCTTCATACTGCATAACCCTGGCTTTGCTTGAGGTTGGGGGCGGCGCTCGTCTTGTCGGGGCTATGCGCCCCGGAACTCTGTACATATGTATTTTAATACTGTTTTTTTTTGGAACCACTGTGTTCCTCTGTGCATCGCCCTCCCTGGATTTGTGTGTGTCGCATGTCTATCTTGCGTAGCTAGTTCGTGTGTCAACAACAACACAGAACTTTTCTCCTCTGATGATGATGGAGCAGCACGATTTTGGAGAATCACACCACCCCCCCCCCCCCCAAGACTCGTTCCTCCTTGTTGGACCTGTACCTGAGGGTTCGGAGGCACATTATTTACTTCTATACTTTGTAGAGCGGAATAAAACAATCAGTTCTATACACGTTTTAAGCTCTAAACTCTCAAGACTTAGTCTACAACTAGATGAATAGGGCTATTCTTCACAAGAACTTCCAGGATCTCTTTCTTAGAAATAAAAAAAGCAAAAAAAGACTCAATTGAAGATGATAAGAGACTTATGGTAGTAGGATGAAGATCTATCTCCTCTCTCTCTCTCTCTCTCTCTCTCTCTCTCTCTCTCTCTCTCTCTCTCTCTCTCTCTCACACCTTGTAGATCCGGATCCAGTTCTTCCTGC